ATTGCTCCTATACATATTCACCACTATAAAGTCCAGTATTTCTAGGTTTTTTCTAAGAGCATATTTGTCAGGGGAAGAGACCCAGGGCAGTTTTCTTTTTTCTTTTGATGGCTCTCACCGAGTGATGAAAGATTGCATTCATAAACACTTTAACAAATAACTTGTGCAATTACAATATACAACTATATTAGATATAAGACTGTAATCACTCTTCGGACGTACAATTTTCACCCCAAAAAAATCAGAAAAAATAAAATACACACTGGTGTCCGATATGAAAACGATTGAGAACTTTAAGACATGTTCCTGATTTATATTACTCGAATTAAAGGCTCATGTTATGCCTTTTCTGCAGGAAAATTTTATCAGGAAATATATCAGGGTTTTTATCATGCCCTGCGAAATTACAAATATCAATCAAGTTAGGATTTTGGAAGAGAAAATGTTTCCTGGATTAATTGTTTATTAAACCTGGTAACGATCCATTTACATCTTTAAAAAACATTTGTCACTAGATAGCGTGGTCAAATTCGACCACTTTAAGCTTTAATATTACCTCCTTTAAGCTTCATTCTACCCGTGAAACCGCGACTTTTGGGGTCGTTTCACTTACATGTGGCGTAAATGTTTAGAGTGAATAACTTATCACCATTCTTGGGGTTTCCGGGTCTATAATTATACCATTATCAGGAGTATTGGAATAAGAGTTCAGATGAAGATGGTACGGGATCGGTCTCAGAATTCTAATCATAGCACGCTCTCAAACACGTTGAGGTGAAACCCAATCCCTAGTCAACCTCAAAATGTCTCATCAGCGGCTCTTCGTTGAATTATTAGACGGGTTTTTTTCTGACCGGAGATCAAATACCACCTCCCTTTACATGTATGTGCGAGCGAGACCAGTGGGACGTCACATGGATGAAATCGCGAAAGTCGGTACAGAGATGTGAAAATAGTGCAATAAACGATTAAACTTTGTCATTATTGATCACTGATGTGATTCCGTGGATCCCTTCCCAATTCAATGTTTGGATTCAGGAGTAACCTAATAAAACTCATTCAAGAACCGGTCTTTATTGTTTATATCAGAATGCAACAACGAAGAAAAATATGATTAAAAATTTGTTTTTAAAATCCTAATACGAACCGGAAGATATCAAGCAACCAAAAACTTTGTTTTGAAAAAAATTAACGGCTGAGATAATATTAAAATGAAATATAAACGTCGCAGATAAAAAAAAAAAAAAAAAGTGGGGGGGGGGGGTCAGAATTCGGAATAATGACTGACCGGTGCTTACACTGCTATCGTCTAATGCGACTGAACAACTTAAACAAAAATGGTCTCTTACTTGTTCGTTTAAAAAAAAAGTGTATAAGATCGGTCTGAGATTAAAGGATAATGCCTGAAGCGGTGAACCGCTATTTTAATTCTTTCGTGTTACAAGCAGTTGATGTGTATCGTTTAAAAGCATACCTATGACGTTCAAAGTACAACAAGTCGATTAAAATCTACAAAGGTATTCATTTTTCTTCATTTCTCTTTCTTTCTTTCTTTTTTTCTCTTTTTCTCTTTTCCTCCCCCTCTTCTCTTTCTCTCTCTTCTCCTTTAAAAACAAATGATTGTGTAACATATCACTATTGCACAATGCGAAGTGGGGGTTATAAGAACAAAGAAAAGTGTAAATTATATTGCAAAAGCGTGTTCAACCCGATGGTAAATTTGAACCACGTTCGTTTTTTTTAAATCTTAATATTGATTGTAACAAGACAATTGTGGAGAGTGGAGCGCTAGGAACGTTAAGTCTGACAGACATGAGTGCTATACAATAACCCATTATTTTGCTAAAGCACAACAAAACAAAGATTTAAAAACTAAGGATTATAATTCAAACATATATATAGTCTATGTTCCATGGTAAATATAGCATTAGCTTCTACCAAATGCATATTTTAATCATGGACTAATCCAAGTGGCGAATTGGCCGCGACCTCTTTTTTGCGATTTGTATAATGCAAAGGAAAATGTATTTCAATTCTCCTAGTCCTTCTTTTGATAAGTGACTTTTGGAAATAAGGCCAGATTTGGGAAATTCATGTCATGCCGGGAAAAATACTGAGAAAAAAACATTTCGCCTCCTTTTGAGATTCCGGAACCGCCCGTTTTTCACATCATTTTGAAGTATTTTTAACTACACCAAACATTGACTTGTAAATAAGAACATTTGGTTAACCGCAAACACTTTATATAATGGATATTGCTGTAGCGAAAGTTATGATAAGGACTCCAACATAAAATTATCGAGTAAGATCACAAAATATCGCATTATCTTTGAGTTAAGAACATCCATTAGCAGTACTTCCATCACCATCGTTATATTTTAAAAATGTATATCGGATAACAACAGAAAAGAGAAATAAGAAAATTGTATCTAGGTATTGCTGAATATTTGCAGCAAATTCAGTTCCGAAGTCATTGCTCTGAAACTCAGGGGGTGTCTAAAAGAATTCTCAGGTAAGACTGTCAAAGCTCCCACACCTTATGCCTTATTAGACATGTCAAATTGAAATGAGGACTCGAAAACGTTTGGGGTATTTTCTATTGATCGACGTTAATGGGAATCCTTGGATGGTAGGCCAAAAACAATAAACGTCCGTAAAATTTGTATTTTCCCTCGAAAGTGCAAGAGCCCTGTTTAATAGTTACATGCGTTTCGTATTCTGATCACATGTTTATCTACCGTGGAATATATTTCTTTTATCTTTGCTGTCGATTACTGTAATTTCGAAAGGCCATCCTTTACTTAAACAGCTTAACGCACTACTATTTCCGTGAAATAGTGTCCTTAATCCTTAGGATCCCTACGATTGCGCCCTTTATTCCAATATCATAATTATTCTGTTACTATGTTAAGTGCAGTACGAAATGGATTGTGATTGGGATCAAATGTACTGTCCAAACTTGAGGGGTTCACTATTGAACTTACAATATTTGTATTATGGAAATATTCGAAGAGAGTCTGAAGATGGTCTCTCTCTCTCTCTCTTACTATTTATTATTGAAGTTCATGTGAAATGCTCACGACTTTATTGCACTGCGCTATAAAGAAGCTACATTTTTTTCTTCTAAATGATTTAAATGTACATGTATTTCATCACAATGTCACCCCTTCTGTAGCACCAATAAAACAAAAATACTGATAATTATCAAGCTTTATCCTTTCGAAAGCTGAAAACACAAAGTTCTGAATTAAGTCATCACATGCACAAAATATCACAGATAAATGAGGTGCCATAAACAAGGAAACCCTTCTGAAAATTTACCTTCATATTGTCATATTAATGAATTTGCCCAGCTATTGAGGAGTTTGCATGAACACAAAAATGAAATAGACACCTTCATGCCAAATACGCATCATATACAATCTGAATATCAATAGCTTATTGTTGATCCCTTAGCTATCTGTATTCATATTCCGGATTATGATAGACTATGGCTTCGTCATAAAGTCACCCAGATCTGTGGGGTTAGTACAAATTACGCAATGAATTTCTTTCTGAGGCATGAGGTTCGTTTAAAAATAATTCTTGTATCTAGGTATTTATTCAAGTTGCTGTGAATCCGAAAGTGTGTTGACATTTTTCGTTGTACTGATTTATCTGTAAGAGATAGGGAATGCCGAAATAGATATTATGATATCTTCAAAACCCCCTAGTAGTTCGCGTTGGAACATGAAGTAAATTATATATTATATAGACAGGCACGTTTGACAAAAATGGAAGAAAAAAAATTGTGATTATTTCATTGTATTCTCTAGCCCTCTAGAAAGGCATTTACTATTAAAGAACAAATAAATTGCTTATTTAGATGTAAAATACAATGTTTCTTCAAGAATCGTCCCTAAATTATTGGAGTGGTAGGGGATAGCGGACCCATAGTATCCGATTGTCAGAAACAAAATGATAAAACAAACTGTTTCACACTTCCAAATTGACCGACAAGAAAATTAAATAACTCCAGTTTATTTGGTAAAGAAAGACGATTTCAAAATGTGAGATTCTTCTTGTTAATCAAACATATACATGATAACATTCTATGATGTTGATTCTTGGCACAATCAATAAATGCAATAAAGAATGGTCTCATTTTCACAACATACTACCTTAAAGAGAAGGCCAGTTTAAGTTCGAGAACAAATGACATTTAATTGCAGTTGACTCAGATTGGATAAATACATTTAATATTTTTTCCTATAGGTCTCCATATCTAATTAGTTCTTTGATACATTCATTTATTGTAATTCAACATTCAAGTAAGCACGATATTTGATGTTTTCGTAGTTTAGCGCCCATTCAATTTCTCTATATTATATTGTCTCTTTACGGGTAATTGACGAATAATGAAGAAGAAATTTTTGATTTCACTTTGTTCAGATGCTATAGAACGATATAAAAGTAGACCTTATCAAAAGAAAATGAAATAAACACACCAAGCAGGTTCCAAATAACTATCTGGCGCACCTTAAAATTACGAAAACAAGGAAATATATTAACCCCTTTTGATAATCGGCATTACTTTAAAATTCATCTCGTTGACATAACACACTTCAAACATAGTTTATAACGTCTGGGAAACAGAGTATACTTTTAAAAATTAAGATGGACTTTCTCTTCCTCATCACACTTGTTCTATTTTGCGAACATATTCAATATGTGTGCAGTCAAGGTGAAATGAAAATGCCAATAAAATGCAATTTCTGAGACTCTACGCCATATTCGGATGTAGCAAAGAAAATGCATCAGAGCGATTTAAGGCTGGTCAAAGTCAATAGATGGAATAGTGAACGTTAATTCTTTGTTTTTTTCTAGTCCCCTATATATTTTATTCAGTTTTTTGGAAAAAAAAATCAATCATTATCGCAAAAGGGTAACATGATGTATTTGACGATTAGAAACATCATTTGATACGGAAGAACAAAAATGAATGTAAAGTATGTTCTTACTAGTTGTCGTTCTTCTGTCGTCTGGCAAATAGGTAGTTGTGGTCTTTCAATGGTGATCTTGTTCGAGTTGACTTCTGCGGCGTCGGAGCGTTTTTTTCCACCGGGCCTCCACCCGCTGAATCTGTGGTGCACTTGCCCGTTGCATCTGGGTGTGTATTCGCTGATGAGCACGAACAACAGCAGGGCGGCTGAGATAGAGACTAGGCTGGTGATAATTTGCTTCATGATCTGTTAAGTTTTTGCCGCTGGTAGGCGAGCTAGCTGCTGTCTGATGGGTAAATGAAAGATAGAGAGCAGACAGAGACGGCTTTTATCCCCCGTGTCAAATCACGCCCTCCGTAGTCGAGGGTTACCAACACGACTGGATTACTGATTGGGTCATCATGACGTAATCGAATCTACCCCCCCCCCCTCTCTACCTCCTCATCTTCAACCTTCCGACTACTACAGCATGACTTTAAGAAATATGATGAAATAGCGCATCTAAAGTGTGATGAAAATCATTATAATTTTCAAACTGATAATTTGGGATGTCATGTTTCTTTGTCATCATTATTACATCACCAATCAAGAAAGGCATATTTTGGACGATTCAAAGCGCCTTCCGGTATTCAAAGGGGTAGAAATATGAATTACGTCAATGGTTTGTCTCATCTCTCCTAACTTCGAACTATTGGTGACGTATGAAACACAAATGGCACGTAATAAGTCCTTCCTCTCCCTTAGAGTTGGTTTGACGGTTGCACTCTTAAAAAAGAGTTTACTATTTACTTTCTGAGAAATGAATGACACCTGATTCAGATAAGCTCTTCCAAAGAATAGGTCATGGATAGTCACATGATCATTTTACATAAGCGGCTAACTTCTGATTAAACATTAAAACATGAAACCATACACACGTTACTTTAAACTCATTTGTTTAAACAATGATTTGAAGATTTGTTAAACCTAGATTAATGGTGATTAAAAAGAAAAAAATTACATGGTGATGATGATGATGATGATGATGATGATGAAGATGATAATGATGATTACGGTGATTAATATGATGAGATCAATGATTGTAATGCTGGTGATGAAGATGATGATCATGATGATGATGGAGATGATGATAACAATTACTTTTCTTGACTCTCAATGAACACTACACCGTTTAAAACATAATAATACAATTATCGTATTAATCACATCATCATCATCCTATAATCTGCTTCCTCTAAACAATATGAATTATAATTTAGTCATCCTATTTTCTCCTCATATCCTCTCCTCATAATTGCCCTATCGGTCATGTGACGTGCTTTAGCTATCAAGGCTGGAGAATCAATCGAAATTGAACCTGGCTTGTTATTCGAATCTCTGAATGTTATTGTTTCCATTTGACCAAAAAAAAAAACGTTTTTGAATATTGGCAGTGCATGAGAATCAAACAAACATTAACAAACAGATGGTCATATGACACATGAAAGATGATAACATTTTGCATTAACCTCTGTTCATGTTTTACCAAAATATTTGAACAACGATGATTTTACGTCATTCTGACGTGCGCAGTACGGTCGAAATTATTCTCTTTTTAAACACTTGCTGGAAATCATCTTCGATAAAAACCACAACTCTTATTGCAGATATGTGTTAAGCACATGGTGTCGGGCCTACTTATCTTGATTTTATTATCTTTATATGCTCATTACCCAGCCCATATGAAATTTCTACCAAAACCGTTTGGTACATGCCATTTATTTGTAATCTTGAACATTCAATTTTGTCGTAGACTAGCAGTCATTTGAAACGGATGTAAATAGTATCAAACAAGAATAAAATAAAACATTTAATTTTGCATATGCATTATTCTCTGACTGTTTTCGTTACTACGATATATCACATCTAAAACTGCAATGGCTGGAAATTGTGAATTTCCATTCATTGTCCAATCGCTTAAAATGTACAAAGTTTATCAAACATTCGAAGTTCAGTCTATACCTTGTTGGGAAGCGATTAATACAATACATATAACATACAATACATGATGCCCCTGTTCAATGTGACAACGTTAGGCATCCTTTCATGATTTTAGTTTTAGTTTTAAAGAATGTGGATTATTATTATAATTTCAAATCTAACTATTTTTTATCTGACGAGTATTATCAATATTGGTCGTTGGTGTGTGACGATACAATTTTCTTTGTGATATAATTATACAGGCCTTGGTTATTGGTCGGAAATGTGGTCTTACTTATAATAATCTACCATATGGTAAACTGAGGAATTTATTCCTATGAGTATCCATGACGATAAATTGCCAATCAAGACTTTCGCTATTGCGATGACAAAAAGTACATTGGTACATACCAGCATTTTTCCTTAAGAATATGAATTGAAAAGAAAAGAAGAGATTACTGCGTTTGGATATGCGAATATAGTCAACTGCATATACAGGCTGGCATTCGAAACCCGTCTGCTATTTGAAGTACTCTTCCAAAAGTATTGTGGAATGGAATGACATACTACGATTCGTTTCGGTCAGAGGAAAAGGCCCATGCTGATATTTGGGGAAAAATAACAACTTTTCATGAATAGACGGATTTACGAAGCATCTTTTCATCCTATTAATCCTTGAGTGTTGCCAATAATATCACAACCTGCAGTCGTTGGGTGAGATACATAAGTGAAAATATTATCCTTATTTGTCCATATGGTACAATTATATTATTATCATTTGGTGTTGCAATTGTTGTTGTTTCTTGTATATAAAGCATCAATAACTGCTTTAAAGATGCGTAGATTTTTCATTAAACATTTTTGTTTTAAATGACAAAAAAAAAAAAAAAAAATTAACGTTGAGTTCTGGTTATGCGATTGCATTGTCAAAGAAACCTTGTGGAATCGATCAGAAAAGGTGGATCTTCTAGCATGTAAGTATTGGTATGTACTGCAAGCTTCTGGAATCATTAAAATGATAAGAAATTTGCCCCAGTCTTGGTAAAGTTACAAGCATTGTACACAGAAAGACGTATATGTGAGTACATGAACATGTGGCATAAAAATCCGTCCCGCTTTGTATGATGTTACATGCCATATTTAGAATATTAAGGCATTGGAAAAGCCATGCTTGTCATGGAACATCTTTTATCTGATGTTCTTCCACACTTGCATATGCAATGATAACGCTCACAAATTATTGTTCACCTCTTCCCAGAACTCAACCTTCTCTTTAAGTATAGACATTATAACAGCATCTAACGTCTGTATCAACTTTGCTAACGACAGTCATCAAAATATAAAAGGATAATGTTCTCATGAATGATATATGATGGGGGTGGTGTGTCCGGATGCTCAGCAAAAAAAGGCGTCACTTTTACCTTTGGAGTTTAACAACATATGCTTCAGTTGGCACTATGAATCATAAGCGTTTGTCCTTAAAAGATTTATGAAATAATGCATGCAAGGTTCCTCAAATTGTTGTTCTGACAATGTTTAGGTATGCATGAACAAACATATTATGACAAGGAATTATAAACTTGTTGGTCTATGCGACATTTTTCAAAAGAAGAAGGTATTGAATGTGTTTACAATAAAAACTGAGATGCCTAAGTTATTTTACAAACTCATTAATCTAAAAGCAAAAGTAAATTATATAGATCTTGAAGGGAAACATGCAACATTTTTTTTTTAGTAACCTATATAACCAGTGGCGTAGGTATGGGAGTGAAACATGAATCGACCCCCTCCCCCCAGTAAACTGGAGAAAACAACGCGTAAAGGAGATTATAAAATATGATTTAAACTCCAATTACATATTTATTTGAATTAAGAAAATTATATTTCATTGTGATGCTTAAAATAGTTCAGTCGATCTATCTCGCCTTGTTTTATAACATCATTCCATATTTTATCGGTCAAAAATATTTAGGGTCGGTCAAAACGTGCCCCATAAACTGATCGTCACTTTCGGTCTCAGAATATCTGCCTAATTTTGCGAACATGGCCGTATTTCATCCAACATGAACAAGCTAGCAAAGTTTGTATTTTGTCCTTGTACTTAGTGTTTTATCGATAACAGTCTAATTACAATTGTCATCTTAATTTCATCCTATCTTTATGAAATTCTGTGGTTAATTCAAACATCAGGAATTTCTCAGGGCCCCCATTAGTCACCCCCGTCCCTTTCGAGTAGGTTATAGTGTATGCAGTCACGCACACACGCACAAAGGCTAGATCTAGACTTTATTACTTTATCAATTTACGCAATCGGAGGTAGATGTGAAACGACTAAATTTCAGCAAATAGGACAATGCTATTCTCTCAAGTAAAGTACCACTTTACAGGGAGATGTATAAAAATATATGTATCATAATTAATTTTCCTGTGCCGAATCAACTCTAAACTGTAGTGAAAAAAGAAATAATGCGCAGTTTGCGCACAGTACAAACGTGTGCTTTGAACGAACCCATAAGTTTTTCAATTGCTCTCATTTTCAATTTTTAAAAAAAGGCACTGTTTGAAAAAAAAAATTACTTAGTAGGCCTATAATCAGTGGAAAATAAAGAGTGCCTAACAGCACGTGTATCTGCATTTTCATGTTCTCTCATTTTCAATTATTATAATATTAAAAAGCCAAGAGATAATTCCTAAAATGACAATGTAAAATTCGTCTATTATTTGGAAGATACTCCCTCTTTCCTGTCACCTTACATGGAGTTTTGGTTGGAAAATTGTTTTTTTCTTCTTCTTTTAACGGCAAATGAGTAAATTATGTTGATTCACAGATCGGAAATACATTTGAATTCGTGTTCAAAGTGTATAAACATTACCATAGCATCGTATGTATGATGAATTGATTACGATTGATGGCACATCAAGATCTTACATGATATTTTACAATAACATAGTCAGGTCTTCCATAGCTAGAAAATATCTAAAATCCATTAATACATAGATATTGACTGCACACAGCCTCGAGAATACCATTATAAACAGGATAAGGGAGCTGTAATGATAAAGCAATGTTATCATACCACTCATCTTGGATAGTGTTCTTCTCTCTAACAAAGCATATATAGTGTGATCATTAACTCGACGCTCTCTCAACTATGATGATTTTTATCATTATTCGAAACAAAAGTTTAATAATCCAACAGAACTCAAGGACAACGCGAAATAAAGAAACACGCTTTCGTTACATGCAGTCATATTAAAAACAAACATACTCATAGAAGAATCACGAACACTGACGATTAGTTGGCAAACTGGAACCCGGAAATTTGAAATCTTTCCTTTATTACAAAGGGTATGCAGAGAAAGAGTAATAAGAAGACGCGCGGAAGGGTTAGACTATTAAACACGAGTGTCTTTGAGTAATTATTGAATATTTGTCAAGATTGAAATTGCTCATTTTGTGACAAGGTTTAATAAACAGAGCCATGGACTTTGTACAATCGTTTCACGCCAAGGTAAATTGTCTAGTTTGGTATGAAAATTGCACTTCAGTAATACATTAAAATTGTCTCAAATTGTTAAAGATATAGCTTGTGCTGTTTTATTTCGAAAATTCAGGAGTCATGGCACTTGGAAACGTCTGTAGGATGTTTCTAATTATATTAAATTTTCAGAGAAAATCGGATGATCTATTGAAATAATTCCCTCAAAAATAAATTATAATCTACTACCCCTCCAAGAAAAAAAAAGGAAAGAAAAGATGCATGCAGTAAAAGGGAAACAAAAATATGGTTGAAAGGGACGACAAAATCCATGTCGTAAGGCTTACGAAACAGCAAAACAAAACAAAAAACAGAAAGCGTAGACATTAACCAAAAATGGAAAGAGAGAGCGAGAGAGAGAGAGAGAGAGAGATAATAAAGAGAGGGGATAGATAGTGAGAGAGAGAGAGAAAGGGAAAGAGAGAGAGAGAGAGAGAGAGAGAGAGAAAAAGCGAGGGTAAGGAGAGAGAGATAGAGAGAGCAGGAAGAATAAGAGAGATAGTAAAGAGATAGATTGGGTCGGAATGGGTTAGGGTGGTGGTGTGTGTAGAGAGAAAGAGAGAGAGAGAGAGAGAGAGAGTTAGAGTAAGAAGAATGAGATATGTACATAGCAAGGAGATAGAGTGTTTCGGAATGGGTTATGGTAGTGGTGTGTGTAGAGAGATAGAGAGAGAGAGAGAGAGAGAGAGAGAGGTGGAAAGGATTTCGTATTTTAGGCATGTTAGGAGCTGGGAAAACATGATTTATCACTCCCATATTGCGCCCTCTCATGTTACTTTGTGCGCAGACAGTGAACTCCTGGGTGCCATTTGAAGATGAAAGACGAAACGTCGCTTATGTATCCACGTTTTAATAATTTTGTAAGAGGTACTTCTGTAAATTACGCCATCAGTTTGCGCACAGCTATCCTATTTTTCTCGAGGTGTAAAAAGTAAAACACGTCATCGGAGGACGCCTTTCTTTAAGTTATCGACCACTTGAGTCTGTTGAACAAAAAAATAACAGCTTAACAACAAAATATAAAAGTAATATATCCACCAACGTTTACCCGCTTATCTGTACTTATGAATCTGGTTTAGGAGAAAAGTGGAATGGCCATGCTTTTTCCCCTTCAATACGTAGGATCAATATATAACCAAAGAGGGGTAAAAAAATAACAAAGAAATAACAAGGAATGGTGAATGTGAAGGGTGTTGAAGGAACGGGAATTTTTTTTTGGAGAATATAAAAATAACTAGTAACTAGAAGAATGAAGGGAAATACATTTTTGATTTGATAAATGAGGCGTTATATTTGGTTTACGATTTCACCGACAGTTATGTTCATAAAAATTGTAATTCCCAAAGTAAATTAATTGCACAAGAAGCGCAGTTAACACATTTCCTTATCTATTTTTTTTTACTACCAAAATATAAAAAATCGGTGAAAGAAAATTAATATCGTAATCATCGCAAAACAAAGCTTCTTCCAGGTACCGTCATAAAAGAAAGAGAGAGAAAGAGAGAGAGAGAGAGAGAGAGAGAGAGAGAGAACAAAAAAACACGGTGATGATAAGACGTCATGATTAGCGTGTTACGAGATCGTCGTGGGAGATATCGGTCATCGATAGCACCCGTGGTGTCTACAGTATCTTGCTTTCAAGTGGTATAGACCGATGGGGGCGAATTCTTTTCATTATTAAGTGTTTATCGGAGGCAGGATTGGGTCGAGTGAAGATTTATGACTCCAAATTTGGCCTTGCCTCCCCCAGTTTATAGATATCAGAAAAGAAAAAGTGTCGATTGCATTTACGTTGAGAAGGCGGTTATATGAGTGGAATAAATTGACTGCAAAATGCGCATGTAGAAATTAGCTGAAGACCATGATTTTCTTCAAGTTTCTCAGATGAATCATATTGATGTCATCATCTAAAGTGTGGAAATTGGTTATATGTGAGGTTTTTCATTAGTTTATAAATAATTTCGGATTTGCGTTTGCATTTGCATATAAAGTCAATACGCACTGGTTACGTCACAATCGGAAAATGATCAAGATTTTTCGTGTTTATTATCCGGCTAATGTGACTGTTGACATGAATCTTAGTTTTATAAAACGGGGTTGACATGAATCTTTGTTTTATAAAACGGGGCTGATAGTCGAGAAAAAAGCAACAAATATGATCAAAACGTCAACAGTTTGTTGAGGCATTTCCCCCGTTTTATGTTACTTCCATAATTTTCGTTTCAAAGGTAATGTCCTTTACTCATTTTTGTGGGTTTATTTTCCGGCAAATTTAAAATTTACACGCATGTAATAAGGGAATTAACCTCCTGACTATGAAGCATCATTTATTTTCTCCATATTTACAACGTCGTCTGTTCCCCAAAGAAACCACCATTTTGTCGAAATTTCCCTTTAAAAATTAAACCTGTGCATCATCTGTTTTATAAGATGGGGCCCCAAAAATTGTCAAAAAGACAAAATTGTGTTATCTTACAGATTTACCGGATGCATGGCAAAATCATGCGTCCGGTAATTTTGTTTACCGGACGCATGATTTTTTTACCGGACGCATGATTTTTTTTACCGGACGCATGATTTGTAACTCCTCATGAAATTAAAAAAAAAAAAAAAAAAATTGCCAGTGCACATTTAACTGTAAACTTTAAAAATAAATATTTAAAAAAATTATAGAATTTTTTTTTTTAAAACAGATTATAATTTTCAAAAAAAACACGAAAAACAAATAATTATCACCAAAAAAAATAATTATCAAAAAAATCATTAACAAAAAAAAAATTACATAAACAAAAATTGCCAGTGCACATTAAACTGTAAACATTAAAAATAAATATTTAAAAAAATTATAGAATTTTTTTTTAAAAACAGATTATAATTATCAAAAAACACGAAAAACAAATATTTTTAAAAAATATTTAAAAAAAAAAAAAAAATCCAGTAAAAATAATTACATGGTAATTGACCAATCAAAATGCAAGGATTCTTCTACCCATCTTATAATATTTGCAAGCAGAACATGCTTTAATAAGTGCAATAACGTACCACTTTTGAAAAATCGATATAATTTTGTTTTCCATAGCGACAGAATGTTCGATTTAGCCTAGTCTAGATGAATGCAGCTATAATTTGATAATTTATAATTTGGTATGCATTCGTCAGCGCAGGGTTGCACAATCCTGGGAAACCCGGTGTTTTCAAGCAAAATTGGCGTGACAAAGAATTACAAATTGATTGACTTGTAAAACCAAGGGGTTATTTGTCGACGGACCATCTGTCTATCGAAACATGGTTGATTGAAATAAGGGTTCGAATCCCACAAAACCGGATGGCCGAATGCGCATTCCATATAATGCTTGCTAGATCAAATGGAAACAAAATCCGTATCTTAAATAGGATTTAGCATACACGGAAGACCCTAGAGAAAATGTTTTTTTTTGGTTTATTTATGTTTTTATTAAGAAATCAAATCATAACATATCCAAACTTTCCAAAAAAAAATACAAATCCTGTGCCCTAGAGAAAATGTTGCAAAAACGGGTAGAAATTGACAAGAAAATGAAATAGCTCACGCACTCTATGTGTAGCTTTTCACATTCTCAATAGTTATGGGTCAAAATTCCGCTTTCCAAGCAGTGTCGCTGAATAATTCACTAAATAGAATAAACACAAACAATCACAGTGACATAATATCTTGAAAAATAGTTCGGTTTCAATTAATTATTTTCTTTTTATATCTAATTAACACTTCTGAGATCATCCCATTATAAACCGAAAGCCAAAGAGACCGACTGTCCATGAGACCAAACGCCCATGGCCATGGGACCATCAATTCAAAATGGCCCCAAAAGACCGACGGCGCGCTAACCGGACAGTCAACGAGACCGAAAACCCCAAAAGAATACACCAGGTTAATGATGCTAGTTATTTACTCACTGTTTATGAGATGTTCACAATGGTAAAGTTTTCAGTGATGAATGTTATTTTTTGCCCAACGAGGATTTATCACTTCTACCCCAGAGAAGCCAAATGAATTTGTATTATTTCACCTAAATTAATGTAGGAAGCAAATCATAATTAATACTGGACGTTCTTTACAATATCCCCAGCACTGTCATCTGATTCGGAATACAACGTCCAGACCCGCAACAAGAGAAAACATGCACTGGGAACTAGATAAAGGAACAGGGGAAAGGGTCTGTCTGAAATGCGTTGTCGTTCTCTTGGCGATTTTGTCCTTGGCGAATTCTTCTTCGGTGCTATCAGATGGAGATTCTTCGGCTGGTGCAGACGACACGAACACGGGAAATACTGCAGCAGACGACACGAACGCGAGAAATACTGCAGCAGACGACATGGGCACGGGAAATGCTGCAGCAGACGACACGAACACGGGAAATACTGCAGCAATCGAGGTCGATGATGTGGAGAATGATGTTGGTGATGATGTCATCGTCGATGCTGCCGTTGAGAAAGAAGGCAACTTGGACCCGGTTGACGAGAGGATACGACTTTACCAGTATGATCCTGTTGAAGTGAGTACTTTGTGAAGATGTACAAAAAGTTAAGTTCGAAACAAATGATATATGTGGATTTAGTGCATTATTATTATTATTTAGGGTTTATTTTTTGTATTAAACTGCAAGCGATAACGGATAAATAAACCTGTCTTTTATCCATGATCAAAGCTCAGAAGCGTAGAAAGACACGTGAAAAGACATACGAATATTACAGATTCATTGATAAACTAACCATTGGCAAGATCCATGAGATAAATTGTATTTCATACATTCAATGCAATTAAAAGGCGACAAAATTCGAACTTCAGGTCACATTTTTCAGAGACTCTATTCAAACTCATTCCCATTTCGTCATATATCTACTGTCCAGTTCCAGTCTGTTTTCATAATGCATGAGCTATTCACCTCTCATCCCTTTTTCTTTCTTCACTCGTCATTTGAGTAGATTTGTGAACACATATATGTTTAATACATTGCCACTCTGTGCAAAAATGACTTTAAATGACTGACAGATGTTTAATAGACACATAGAAATCGAAGTCATCTCCAATTGTTTTTTAATTTCCCATCAAAATATTTCCCACTAAAATATGTGAAGCCTCTCATGATATAGATAGATTCACTCAGACTTATCCAGGATCATAATGGTGAAGATGATTGTTGTTTTTGTTGTTTTTATTTCCGAAATCAGATAAAAATATTATACATAGTAAAAAAATACAAAGTAAAATATTTATACATGTACATAGACAAAAATCGGTGGATAGCCAATTTCAGCAGTGTTTATAGAACACTATTGTTCTTCCTTGGGGTCCTTAACATGATGACTACAAAAATAGCAATATTAACTAGAACAACGACAACATCATCTATATAAACAATGATAAATTGATAATGATAATAATAATGATAATGATTACAATAATTGTATTAATGATAATACTAATAACATTATGAAGTAAAAGGCTCTGCAAATGATTGGTTTGCTAGTAATCTTTCCAGAAGAAGGCAATACACATGCTATAATTTTGTTAACTCTGACATATCATTCTAAACGTGTGGGTGCCACAAGGTTCAAATCGGGTCCAATGTTATTTCTAATATGTTGTATTAACAAGAAATCTATATATATCCCTAAATGGTACATTGACCGGACATTATAAAAACTGGTTTATTAACCTAACCCTAACCCTATTATATTTATATGTGTTTAGAAATAGTTGACATATTAAAAATATCAGTGATAGGCCTATATATTTTTTTTTCTTTCTTCAAAATAAACTACCGCAAAATATGTCGTGAATGTTCACTTTAAAAAATGATGTTCATACTCACAATACTCTTGGGCGAGACTTTTTTCATTTCTGGCCAGTAAAGACAAATATATATTTGAAATCTGTAACAAACAATTTTCCTGTTATTTTGAACTCCATTCCTCCTGAAATATCCTCATGCAAGTCTTTAACATTATTCAAAAGAAACTTGAAGCAGCCTCTTATATCTAAATATCATTGATTCTTGTACCAATATTCTTATTATACGGGGAGGGGGGGGGGGGGGGGGTAAGGTCACTTTTTTGGTCACCCTTCAGCACCAAAAACAAAAAAATGAGGGGAGGGGGGGGGGTTCGACCCCACACCCCCGTCCCCCTGCGTACGCGCCTGCCTCTAAATGGGCGAAGTGAAGGGCGAAGATGAGGCCGCTCGATTAAAGATGACACATATCCTGGGGTCTGACCATGAATTGCCTTAAATGTGAGCAGCAGGACCTTGAATTCAATTCTGCTCTTGACAGGTAGCCAATGTAGCTCAGCCAGGACAGGAGAGATGTGATCATGCTTCCTCAGCCCAGTAAGCAAGCATGCTGCTGCATTCTGTACTGCTTGAAGTCTGTTCAAGGTTGCAGAAGGAAGGCCAGCTAGAAGACTGTTACAGAAATGAAGTCTAGAGGAAATGAGTGAATGGATAAGGCTCTCTGCTGCCATCCTCGTAAGCAATGGTCTAATGGCTGCAATGTTACGAAGCTGGAAGTAAGCAGTCTGAAATACCTGTGAAATATGCCCGCCCACTTTCATGGACTGATCAAAGTAGACCCCAATGTTACGGGCGCTTACCGTAGGAGAGACAGACACATTGCCAACTTGGAGGTCCATGGAGTTGATCTTGTTCCTCATGTTCGGTGATGAAATGATAAGATATTCAGTCTTGTCATCATTGAGTTTCATAAAATTCTTCACCATCCATGGACGGATATCGGCAAGGCATGAGGTCATCCTTGCAGCTATGGCCTTTTCATCAGTTGCCACTCTTGGATCAAATGTCACATACAGCTGAGTGACATCGGCGTAAAAGTTAACTTGTAGACCATGTTGACGGGTTACGTTCCCAAGAGGGGAAGTGTATAACGTTAAGAGTATCGGTCCGAGGATGGAACCCTGTGGAACGCCGTAGGTCAAGAAAGCTTCATCCGACACAGTTCCATTGATGTTCACAGCCTGTCGTCTGCAGTGAAGATATGACCTGAACCATTCCAGTGTCATCAACCTTGAAGTCCCGTTGAAACCTCTGGAGAAGGACTTTGCGAACAATTGTATCAAATGCAGCAGATAAGTCCAAAAGAAATACCATAACTGCTTTCTTGTTGTCGACTGCCCTCAGGATGTCATTATATTTTCAATAGAGCAGTCTCCACGCTGTGAAGCCTCTTGTAAGCAGACTGCATGGTCTCATGAAGGTCGTAGTCCTGAAGGTGTGATGTCAGTCTTTTGGCGACTACTTTCTCGAGGACTTTGGCGAGGAAAGGCAGGTTAGATACAGGCGCGTACGCAGGGGGGGGGGGGGGGTGTTTGGGGGGTTAAACCTCCCCTTTGGTATTTTTATGTGTATAAACCCCCCTAAAAAATCCAAACCATCCCCCCCCCTTTGGGTTTTTTTTTTTTTTTTGTTTAATAATAAAAAATAAAAAAAATATTCCCATGGCTGACCTAAAAAAGGTGACCTTACCCCCCCCCCCCCAACGGAGCAAAATGTCAAATTTTCAAATTTCGAGACCAAAAAAAAAAGGAAAAAGTGTCCTCTTATCTCCCCCCCCCCCCCCCCCCCCCCCCCCCCCCCCCCGCTTATTCAGCGGCTTCCTGAGTCGAGTGCGAAATTATCGGCCCGATTTGAAAATGTTAAAACCCCCCACTTGAAAAAAATCCTGCGTACGCGCCTGGTTAGATATAGACCTATAACTGCTCATCTGGTCATGATCTAGGGATTATTTCTTCAGTACAGGTGTAACATGAGCAAGTTTCAGTTCTTCCGGAAACTTCCCTTCCTGTTAGTAGGAGACCAGCCTGTAGGTCCCGTGACCAATCTTTGGGAACAAAGGTTTGAAAGTGTTTTTGTGTTCCCTGATGAATACCGAACCATTTTGACTTGGGCTGCCCCCTTGAAAATCCCGGGCATTTTCGTGAGGGGTCAACAAAGGTCATACAGGGTAGAAATTCAAATATATTTCAATCGTGTCGATATGCATATCAAATTAATCGTCTGGTAATGAGGATTCCAAAAATGTATAGTTTGCTATACCTCCGACCTTAAATAAGGGCGCCATGGTCAAAAACGTTGAAAGGTCAACACACTTTAGACTGGTTGTCAAATTCACCAACACAGTGAACTTTATTAAATTGCATATCAAATTACTCGTCTGGTCATAAGGATTCCAAAAATATATAGGTTGTAATACCTCCGACCTTAAATGAGGGCGCTATGGTCAAAAAGGTCAATGCACTTTAGAAATTCACCTACACAGTTAACATCGTCCGATTCTAATGATTTTAGTGTCTAATAATATGTTTTCTGACATAACAAATTCAACTAAGCAACTCTTAAAATCAAAAGTGGTTGCCATAACCTTTAAATTTCCCTCAAACCCATGGATAAGAAGTTGTTTGATGTTTGTCACCGAAACGGCAGCCATTTTGAATGTACATAGTCAAGGTAAGCACTTTTACTTTTGAAAGTTGTATAGTTGAATTTGCCATGTCAGAAAACATATTATTAGACCCTTAAATCATTAGAATCGGACAATGTTAACTGTGTTGGTGAATTTCTAAAGTGCATTGACCTTTTTGACCATAGCGCCCTCATGTAAGGTCGGAGGTATAACAAACTATACATTTTTGGAATCCTCATGACCAGACGAGTAATTTGATATGCAATTTGATAAGGTTAACTGTGTTGGTGAATTCGACCACCAGTCTAAAATGTGTTGACCTTTCAACGTTTTTGACCATAGCGCCCTTATTTAAGGTCGGAGGTATAGCAAACTATACATTTTTGGAATCCTCATGACCAGACGAGTAATTTGATATGCATATCGACACGATTGAAATATATTTGAATTTCTTGCCTGTATGACCTTTGTTGACCCCTCACGAAAATGCCCGGGATTTTCAAGGGGGCAGCCCAAGTCAAAATGGTTCGGTATTCATCAGGGAACACAAAAACACTTTCAAACCTTTGTTCCCAGAGATTGGTCACGGGACCTACAGGCTGGTCTCCTACTATGTAGGGAAGTATTAACTATCTTTGCGATAAGCATAGCCATCAAGTCATCATTTTCCTTCACAACTGAGCTAGGAATCGGATCCAGCGAGCATGACTTAGCAGTGGCCCGTCCTTCGAATGACTCTATGCACATCTAGCGAACTTGTGGGCGCAAGTGTAGTCAGACGCTCACTGCAAGATGAGGTTACATCATTGTCCAACTCTACTCCATCAGTCGAAACCATATCTGACTGCAGGTTGCATCTAATGGACTCTAATCTTACCAATGAAATACCTTGAAAATTTAGAGGCCAGATCATCAGGTGAGGAATGATGTTGAAGTGCCGTAGTCGATTTAGTCTTCCGGTGCAGGAGCTTGTTGATGATGGTTGATGATTAACTTATTTGTATAACATTATATTTTACCTATCTTTATCTTTCATGCTATTTAGGTTGGACACATAAGATATGTCGAAATTTCTCTGGGAAGATATGTCCAGCTGAAAACCATTGCCGTTAAACCACCAGCTTTCGGTAATAGCACCCAGATAAATCTTCATCTTGTACAATAGGAAAATTAAAATAATTGTTAATTCATGAATGAAAATAAAATCGTAATGGGAATTAAAATAAATAAAAACAAAACCTTAATGAGGAGACATATTTCTATGTAACACAAATATAATGTTGTATGTCATGTCTCTATAATCAGTGCAAGCCAGTTTTTAGTGCTTACATTTGTCCATTTTCTTTGTAGCTCGATCTCACATAGCTTTTTTTGGTAATCGTTTTTGCCAAATGGATAATTATTTCTTCACTATATATTTCTACAGCGGTTTCTTAGCGGTTAATGATGCCTTACGTGATACTTTAAACACAAACACAATTATTGCTCTCTTTTCTTTTGAATTTGCATTTCAGTATTTTTTTGTGTGAAACCTGTTATCTCCTAACGATCAGATGTGTTGTATGATATTTGTTTAATTTTCTTCAAGTATTTTGATGTGAGCTCACCTTTCTCTTCAGTATTAAGTTAAGATTAGCAATTGAAATTAATGACCGGGATAACCATGATTACAATGTAAAACGCTTTTTAAATGACATTTTACAGACGTGAAATATCATTAAATTTACCAATTTACTATCATTATTATTATCTCTTTCCACCAGAAATTTCAAATTTCCTAACACCAGAGGAATGCGAAAGGATCAAAGAGCTAGCCCTAGATGCTGGACTACTCACCAGTTTAACAGTGGGCAAAAACTTATTGTACAGCGGTATTGATGAAACCAAGGTCATTTATAACGCCACAGAATGGAAACAGAAGTTCGCCGAGTGCGACAACAACACTGACAAAATACTAGACTTTACAGAAGTACTACACTGTCTTCCAGGGCTCCAAGAAGGAGAGCTCGTTCCTCCAGCCATCCTGGACACTTTGTACGTACAGCTGAAGCTGGACCTCGACTCCGATGGATTAATTGATGCAAAAGAACTCTGGTTGATCCATCTAGAGAACAAGACTATTGAGATCGAGGAATGGCTCTCCCGTTGGCGAGGAGGAGAGTTGCCCAAAGTACCAAGAAGGGGACGCCATCGAATCAGCGAGCAGGCTTGGATTGAATGGGAAAATTCGACAGATCCTACCATAATGGCAATCCGAGATAGGTAATTCAAGCTATCGTTGATGCGTTTTCTTGAAAACATATCCTTCCTTCTAAATAATATCTTTTTGATGACGCTTAAATTGATTTTGAACTCTTTACGACCATATCGTGTAAGATGATAGGCCCGATTGTGCAATACAAATACATCCCCGAAACGTAGATAAATATTTATTGATATGGGGCAATTTTTCCTGCTTGCAAGAGACTATCGTATTATTGACTGTATATCCAAAAGGTCCTACGCCTCATTGGTCCTTCGTCCTACCACTCCAACTTCCTATCTCGCCCTAATCCTATTTCCCAACCGACCCACCTCCAAAATGTCCTACCTACCAAACCCTATACATGTATTCGTACCCATACAATACAACGACATTCTTCTTTTTAAACGCAACGATTACAAACATTATTTTCCGCTTTCTGATAGGGTAACAGCGCTCACGAAGCTTGATCGGAATATTGTATTTTCGAGTGAAAGCCTTCAGGTTTGAAACATATCATGATTTGTTTTGGTTCTTCTTGGAATGGACGGATGTATTGGTCTTTCTTTTTCTTCTCATTTTCTGCATGATGGAAGTATTGGGAATGTGTTCGGTTATTTTTTCCCCTCCTTTTTTAAAACGATAACTGAAGTCTGAGATTTACTGTTAAGATAATGCAATGATCATTAAATCCTCACTCAACCTTGAACAGCAAAACTGTAAAAGAATTGCAAAACATTACGTTAGAAACACTAAGAAAAAGTACCTAACTGAAAACGTTCACTATAGGGGGGTGGGGGGGGGGGGGGTTAAACTTATATGATTTATTTATCGCAGACAATTTTTCTCTATTATTATACATTTTCTATCAAACCGATGAAGCAGAAGCATTATGATTCACTGCCTGTTTCTTTTATACTTATTTATTGTCTTAAACATTCATTTTATATTTCCAGTGTGCACGTTTGTGGGCGTGTGTGGGTGCATGTGTGTGTCTTTACTTCAATCTAATATGATTTCAAGTAGTTACAAACGAGGTGCATGAGTTTTGCATAGTATTCCATTGTTAAGGAAGGTGGTGAGTTGTAATTTGTTCACTTTCTCATCGTGCTTATGTCAGTATGGAAGATATGAGAGATGTCCAATGCAGAGGATCGCGCTTCAAATGCTATCATATTCAAAATATGATTTTAGAAAGACCAAATTAAATATTTTGCTTTAGAAATACATGTACAGAAATTGATGCCTACTCGTGGTCACCAACCACCGACACATCCAGAGGGGTGTTTCACAAAGATCCTAAGCTGAACTTATCTCTAAGTTGGACTTAACAATTAGGGAATGCCGTTAACATCCTCGAAAATATTTGGTAAAAATTATTTAAAAAGGCATCAAATGTTGATACAAGTCATTCATATTTTCTATTATCACGGAGATTTCATGTTCTTGATGTGGAATTTATAAAAAGTCTAAAATACTTGATTTTTCGCTTTTGAATATATTTTATTTTATGACTAAAAATGGCTCTCCATAATTTTTAAGTCCAACTTAGAGTTAAGTTCTACTTAGGATCTTTGTGAAACACCCCCAGAATCCGCAGGAAACCAGGACATATTGACCTTACACGCTTTACACAGGTCAAGCTAAAGAAATGAAAAACCAAACAGTCATAACTACAAGACCAATCAATCCGCTACAGGCTACACTACTGTCTTTGACTAAAAAAATCAAGTAGTCAAATTATATTTATTATTTCATGAATTCATATAAAGAGTTCTGATCAATATACATAGTTCACAATTTACTTATTCAACTATTACTGTAATTATGAATACTTGTTCAACCTTTATATAGATAAATACCGAGAACCATTAACACTCTCCGCAAAAATGATATAAAATGGAAAGTTGCATGCACTTTTCTCTTGGTCGGCTGTGATTACATGCCCGACTTCCACCAAATCAGAGCCTGTAAAGTAAATGGCCACGCTGCCGAAATTCATTGCAACCAGGTACCCGTCCTATTGAAATATCACACCACCGTTTGAAATATCACTCCACCGTAGCAGAGCTACTATAAAACAAATCCAATAGTTCAAAGTAAATTCCTTTACCATGGCATAGAGACATCTAAAACCAAAGATAATTGAAAGAAATCAGGCCGATTATCTAAAAATTCCGATCACCTGTCTTCAAAGAAAATAGTTCCTATCGTCTGAAAAGAATTCTGTCTTCCGTGACTATTATCATGATTGTTATTGTTATTATCATTTATATTTTGTTTTATTTTTATAACAGGTAGTTCGTTATTACCCTGGTGGGCATTATCATGCACATTATGACAGTCAAAGGATAAAGAAAAATAAACCCTGCATTCACTCTACCCGCGGTTTAGATTTGGAGGGTTCTGATAGACTTTGCAGGTATTTCAAATTAAACTACATTTCATTGATATAAGGGTGACATTCGTTTTTCAGAAGATTCATAATTACGAAACACACATTTTCCGTACCAGGGGATTCGTAAGGGAGGGAAAGACGTTTTTTTTTTTAAAGCCAAAGGTTCTTATTCCGAGAAAAAATACATGTTTCTACGTCATTTTCGGAATCATGAACTCTATTTCATTTTCGGCATTGAGAACTCTATTTTAAATTCAGACTTATGTTCACCGATATTTCATTTTCGGAAAAGCGAATCTTCGGAATTATGAACCTCCGGATTGAAAGAATCTTCGGATTCATGAACCTTCGGACAAACGACATATAGCCGATACAAATTAGTTAAGAGCCGCATTTCATCTTTATTTACTGATTCATGAAAACCTGCAATTGTAATAACCCTGTTTCGATAATATAGTATAAATATTCATGCATTTATTATATGTATTGATTTTTATTTTTAGTATCTGCTGTTGATGCAATATGTTACTTAAACACCTTTCCAATATATCCAACTTAGCCTGATTTGTTTGATTTTAGAATTTTCGTTTTGCACTGTTCGATTGCACTCTTTAAAGGTAAAGACCAGTTTTGGAAACGTCCCAATTTCAAAAAATGAAATGGAACCTCTTAATTACCAATCATGTGAAAGAATATGTTGCGACTAATACATGATGATAACAATTTTTCCGGGAAACCGCCTACTAATTGATGTATTTGGTAAATTAGTTTATCTATTGGTATGTGAGAGATAAACGCACGTGTGCGTAGTCCCATGTACATCTTTCTGTGTACAGTGTTTGTAACTTTACGAAGACTGGGCCAAATTTCTTATAATGTTGATGATTCCAGAACCTTGCAGTACACACCAATACTTATATGCTAGTTGATCAACCTTTAGTGATCGATTCCACAACGTTCCTTTCACAATGCAATCGCATGACCATTACTGGTCTTTATCTTTAATACAAGGTGTGCAAATTGGTATTACTTTAAATCTGTAAACGCTCTGTAACTTTAAAACCAGAAACAGTTTACACTGAGTAATGTTTAACACCTTTGGTAGCCTCAAAAACTCCTACAAATATTAGAGCACTTACGTACATATAATTATAGTAATATGTTAAGTTTAAATGTTAAAAAATCAGGCAAACAAAAATGTTTACGATTATGTCTTCTAAGTTCTCCGCAATCTACAAATTAAAGAATATAGTTTGGGCATTCTTAGTCTCGATCACGAAAGAACGTTGTCACACTATTGATTAAGGTTCGGGGGGGGGGGGGGGGGGGTGTTTTCATTAAACAATTTTAAATTCAAATAATCAGGTATAAATGTTTTTTCCCCCAGATATATCACCATTTTGTATTATCTACAAAATGTGGAAGGTGGAGGAGAAACAGCGTTCCCTTTGGCTGAATTTGAGAACGTTTCTATAGAAGTAAAGTATTTCAATTTCTTGCCTCTTCATACAGAGATTCGGGGGGGGGGGGGGTAAAGTTAGAGTAAAGCATTTTCTTTGTGTTTTTTTTATTTGGGGCGGCGACGTACCCTAGCCCCCGCTGCGTACAGTCATGATTCAGTGGCTAAGCAATGGCCTCGTTACTGTGAGCCCCCAGGATCAAAAGCGTGTCGATGTGCTTTATTGGTGCCCTTTTATGAGGCATCGATCCTCATTCCTGTCAGTTATGACTTATGGACGTAGGTCCCCTAGTTGATTAGCATAGTAGCACACACATGCTTCAGCAGTCACGCAAAACAAACACTCACAAATTATTATTCAATAAAATCTGAGAATGTATACTATTATCTAGATCTATTAGGAATAAATCATTGTCAAAATCATTCCATAAATTGGGGTCAAAATAAGTATTCCACCATTATGACCAACAGTGTAGATTACATGGAAGAAAATTAATGTTTTAAAGCGATACTTTATAAATGTTGAACTTTCTGCCCTAGCGTACTGTTTACTGCAGAGCACACCATCACAGTTTTCAACTTGCCCAAAGTGTGAAACCGAATACATAATATCCACTTCGCAGAAAGAGAAATTTATGCCAGAACCAACATCCCAGCAAGTTACTGGACCATACTACTACAGCTGCCCTGAGATGGCGCTAGAGGGGATTTTACAGTAGTGCTTCCAGTACAATGTGGCTTTAAATTAAAATTGAATTGGAAACAATTCCATTTTCGGATGTGAAAAGAGATGTCTACGCAAACGTTACGTAATTTGTATTTTCTCTTTTTGTCATCCAGTACCGTAAAAACTTGAAATCGGATTATGACTACACTGACTTGAAGCACAACTGCTATAAAAATTTGAACGTCAAACCGGAGTTTGGGAAGGCAATCATGTGGTATAATTATTACATCGACGAAGCAACAGGTAAATAGACTTTTGTAACTTCTAGAACGTATATAAGACTACTCCGTCTGGGTTAAACTGCCTAGCAGACAAGGTCGAATACCAACCTTAGATTCTGTAGTTGGTTTTTAGTTTGACGATCGCAACTACTTTCAAACAATACACCAGTTTACGGTTGTATCAGTGCGCATGCGCAGACAGTTGACCTCGGGTCATTGGCTTTGAAACAAAGCTAATGACCCGAGGTCAGTGGTATTTATGCGTAAATTAAGAGATTGCGCCCATGCAAATGATGATGTGCGCGCAAAACGCAGCGCGTAGGCAGTGATGTCATCATAATTTGCATGGGCGCAACCTTAATTTACGCATAAATACATGACCTCTAGGTCATTGGCTTTGTTTAAAATGGCGCACACAACCGTAAACTGGTGTATTAACTTAATGTCATTACCTTTTAATTTGTGTCTGAACATGATTTTCATGGGATGTACAAGGGGTATGGAAAATACCCTTGAGGTATTTTTTTCGATCTCGATCCGTCCGTCTGAACAAAAGAACATCTTGTTATAAACAGTTCATAATTGCAATTCTTGAGCAGGGTTTGTCGCCTATTGCTTGGAAAGGGTCTGAAGAGAATACCAGTTTTGTTTTACTCATTTAGCCTGATAAATGAAGATATAATATTATAATGGAGCCTCATTTAAAGTCTGAAAAAGCCTGGTGCAATTCGGGCCACAACCTTAACACTAAGCATTCTCGCAATCTTGCAAAGATTTTCTGTAAGATTCGATCATAAAATGCGAGTGGTTATAAATCATCATTCAGTTTTGAATAATTATCTAATATTTTTGTTAATTTATACATATGCTTTAATACCCCCCCCCCCCCACCGTCAATGATTAGGTTGGATGTCGTCTCGTAATACTCACTCCCTACATGGTGGATGTGAAGTCACAGAGGGAACAAAATGGATTGCAAATAACTGGATCACCGTCGATGATGTGTATGAAAGGTTAGGTTGAATTATTTATTAAAAGCTAAAAACAGTCTTAAACACTTGAAATCGAATGAAGTTGCATTGTTTTGTAAATACTTGTTCCTCACCATGTCTATTTTCTGAAGAAGAAGAAGAAGAAAAAAGTTGAGTCTCAAGTCATTCTGATCTCCGATACCATGTGATCCAAAACGCAATTTGAAATTACATTGAAAAAGTAAAATAAAAGTAATTGATTTTTAATGTAAATCTATAAGCATATTTAAAAAAAACTGAAATAATATGAAGTTGCATGAATGATATATTGTAAGTAGATTTGCTAATAATTATACACTAAGCAACCATAACAAACTGTACACTCTTTAATGTATAAAAATGTCGTAAATCGTTAACATAGTCAATAGAATATATACCAACAGCAATCGAGTTTTGAACTTTCATTCTCAGTTAGGTTCATTCATTTAATCTTTAAACCAAGTAGCTATTCAATGTTAAGAAGCTTTATATGCTAATTTGTCAGTTTCATTCTGGATTATTTTAGGCAAATGGAATTACATGCGCGTCGATTCCAACCAACTGAAGATAATAAAAAAGCAGAGTCAGAAAACGAAACGGGCGTCGATGAGAACGACAGAACGGAAGAAGACGACATCCCAAATGAAGCAGAGGATGAAGGAATAGACAAAGGGGAGAAAGAGTCCAACAACGATAACATCAATGATCTTACAAACGACAACGCAATCTCTACAGATGAAACACATGAGAGCACGCCATCTACCGACAAGACTGAAAGCGATGATCTCCCAAAAGGACACACTGAATTTTGATTTCAATTGTCAGGTTGTTTGGTAAATGTTACCGTTAAAATATTATCAAGCAAAACGATACCAGGGCGATTTGTGGTTCTTGTTCATATATACCTTACATTTGTGCTTATTTTGATTTTTTTGTTCGCTTCCATTAACCAGTTTTATTTGTTTAGTTTCGATTATCTCTTCTTTTTTCGTTGTTATGCTGTAATATGACAGCTACATTGTTAATTTTCACATGATTTATATGTTTTGATTGCTTATTATTACTATATGTTTGTTAGGGTATATGTTTATTTTCATTATGTGGCTCAGACCCCTTTGAAGAAAAAAAATACCACCATTAGTTGACAAGGGCATCCAATCCATAAATGAATCAAAATCAATACCAATTCAAATCTTTAAACGCCATGGCAAATACTTTCGAAAAACAAACGCAAGTCAATTTAATGACTCTGTCCATCATTTTTTTTTAAATTTGCAAACATTACAATGACGTCATACATAATCCGAACATGATGTCTGTAGAGAATGTACACTAGATGCTAGGATCACCCTGGGCTTCATTTCTAGTCTTCGCGATATTGGTCCTTTTATTTGTAATTCACCCTTCACCTGTTGAAAGGTGTAAACATTAAGTACAAGTTAAAGTTCATTCATTTTCCGTATAAGTTTGTTCATATATATAAATATATATAACGCATTTTTTTCTTGTACATCCTTTACTGAAAAGAGTACAAATATTTGTTTCCAAATAGTATTCCCATGGTGTATGACATAATCGGAACATGAGGTCTAAGGGCAATACAACAGTGTATTGAATATACCCTTTAGTTGATTTTGTTTAAATTCTTAGCGTTCATGCTTTGATGAGTGCAATGGGAAAATGCAGTTTGTCAATGCACATTTTCATTTATATGTAAATATTGGGATTTCTTGTTTTTTGTTTGTTTTCTCAATAGGTAATTTTGTTTTCCAAACTTGTCTGATAATTATCGATATATTGAAATATAAGTGCTTTTAAAGAATATTCCATTTTTAGGGGACAGTTATGATAAGATATATAAAAACTGAAATTAAAAAAAGTTCACAGATTTATTTTGTTTTCATCTTCACCTGAACAAAACCTTCTATTTGTTTATTGAAACATCAATAGGACTTAGAATATGATATTATTACATACTATTGTGCTATCAAGCCATTATCTTCTGGGACATGTTCTTTGTTTATCAGCGGTGGCATGAATGGGATAGTCTTTTAGGAGAAGAAACTTACTCGAGAAATCACGATGAATCATGAAAAAAAAGGCGCCACCTTTGTCGAAATTTCCCGTAAAAAACTTCCGGGTTGTGACGTATCGCAAGAAGAACCGATGTAGCGCGGCGCGCGCATGATTATCTACATCAAACATGGTGTACTGCCAATGTGTGGTTGAAATAAATGTTCCTCGAAAACCGAGGAGAAATCGTTTCATCGATTTCAAGACAAACACAATCTTCATGAAATGTTCAAGCTATAGGTAGCAGCTGTGAAGGTGGAGACATTTCTGGACAAAAAGTACAAGTACGACAGGAAAAACGATGTGATCTGCAGTGATCATTTTACAGTCTACAGCAGGGAAATGTACGTCAGCAATAGCGGTCGAATCCATGCGATACGTCACAGAACGCACACTGCACACACATAATGGCGACGTTCTGAAAAGTCTCAGAGCCGCGAAAGACGAAGGATTTTGAAAAGAGTTACGTCCTCCTTTTCGTCAATTGTTTAATGTTTTATATTTTTCAGATAATGTGTTACATTGCCTACAAACTGAAATTAACGTTAAGGTTGAAGTTGATTCCCCTTTAATTATGTGTTGAAGTGATTGGTATCATCGTAGGATGTTGAAAAGGTTTTATTTGCTTGGTGAGAATAATCTGACTCATGCCAAATCATTACTGTTATTATATCATGTTCTAATTATTGTCTTATGTTTAAGTTTGGCACCAGCCAATGAAGAGAGCTTCTCGCCAGAATTCTAAATCATTTTAGGCAATCCACAAGTACTGGCTGGTACCCATTATCCTTTTCTCTGTATTGTTTATACTGGTGTATGTGTTACATTTTATTCTCCTCGATATTAAATAAATAATTAAAAAGAACAGTCCTCGAGGTTGCCATTAAAATTGTGTTTATTGAAAGAGACCATCATAAGCGCGCGCATTAATGACCTTGCCATTTGAAACTACGTGCATTTTATCGCGTTTTATTTTTTGTTATGCGCGCTAGAGATGACCAACCGTGCATTTTCACTTTTAGTGGGCCGTGGGTTATAACCTTTTTCCACGAAAGGCGTGATGGGAAAAAATGATGCATGGTCACGTGGTGTCATTTGACCAATTAGATTGCCTATATTCTTTAGCCCGTTTTAGAATTGAAGTCAGTTACTTAAATACTGGCCGTTTAAAATTAATAACAATGTGCCCAATCACCGTATGTTCTAATGTGGAGTCTAATAGGTGAACCAAACAGTGGCATTCAAAATAACACTGGGGGGGGGGGGGGTCAGACACACCACCCCTCCTTCCTCCCTCAGTAAGTGACGCCCAGTGACAATCAACTGTCCATATGGAATTACTAGCATCCTAAGGAGCCAAAGCTAACGTATCGTTAACGTCTGCAAAGAGCATATTTGAAAATTCTAATTTTAAAGATACTATGTCCCTTTTGCAGCCAACATCAAATTCTGTAGAACTTTGCAGGAATCATGAATATGTCATGTATGTCCTATCTGTGAAATTTAAACGTTAGCAGTGTCTTAAAGATAAACTTGAGTTCTGGTAAAAAAAGAAAATGAATTCTCACAGAATCTAACGAAACTTACACTGAATGTTCAAGATTACAAATAAATGTCATGTGCCAAACAATTTTGGAAGAAAATGTATACTGGCTGAGTAATGAGCATAGAAAAATAAGGAAATCAGGGTAGTACTAGCCCCGACACCATGTGTGTTGTCCCATATACATCTTTCTGTGTAAGTGATTGTTACTTTACCAAGACTCTGCCAAATTTATGATGATTTTGATGACTCCAGAACCTTGCATTACACACCATTACTTACATACTATATAATCAACTTTTCTTATCCATTCCACACCTTTTCTTTCACAATGCAATCGCATTACCAGAACTCAAGTTTATCTTTAATATTCAAATTATGCAAGGAAACAAGGTTTACTTGCTAGACTTCAATGTCGGACACTATTGAATGACTGACTGGCCTTTTTTCATCTTTGGCATAAACGTACATAAAATGAGCTGTAAAGGGTACATGAGCATTTGTCTACAACAATAACCCACTTCTTGTAATGGCCAAAATTAAACCGATTGAATCTTTGCGCAGCATAAAACGTACGACCATTCGGTACAATGGTCTGAAAAATCAGACTATTACTTACTGGCTCTGTAGCTCCTGAGTCGATTCGACGACTTATAATCGTTATTTTCCCACTTAAAGACATTTTCAAGCCCCCCCCCCCTTTTTTTTAGGGAAGTTCTAAATTAGTATTGTCTTTCAAATGCCGTTGGAATTTAACCTTTTCATTTTTATGGCCTGCAAATGGGACAAAGTACCTTTAAAGCACGAGAATATATGCAAGAAGAACATGCTTTAATACGTGCAATAACGTACCACTTTTGAAAATCGATATAATTGTTTTTACTATAGCGACATATATTCGATCTAGCCTATTCTAGATGAATGCAGCTATATAATTTGTTATGCATTGGTCAGCGCAGGGTCGCACGATCCTGGGAAACCCGGTGTGTTTTCAAAGCAAATTTGGCGTAACAAATAATTACAAATTGATTGACTTGTAAAAGTGTGAAACCAAGGGGTTATTTGTCGACGGAGCATCTGTCTAGGGCTCGAATCCCACCAAATCGGATGACCGAATGCGCACTTTCCCCGTGCCATATAACCATGCAGGCTAGATAAAATAAAAACACACCGTATCTGGGATAGAACATAACATACATGGAGGACCCTATAAAGCCAATGGTGACAAAAGTGAGAAATTGAAAAGAAAATGAAATGGACAACTACGAGAAGAGAACATGATATAATTCCCTAGCTATATATACGTATATATATATAATTACATATATATCTCTCTCGGTGTCTCTCTCTTTCTCTCTCTCTCTCTCTGTCTCTTCTAAAATCTACAATCTGTAAGAATGTATTCCTGTCATGGAACATAATTCAGCATCGCACGTGACTTTATCATTTAATCACATAGTAAACATATATAGGGGCAATTGTACATGTACAGACTCAGCAAATTTAAAGTAATACGACAGATCACGAAACAGCTGCCACTGTTGCATTTCGATGCGTATAATATGGTTCAATGAACAAAATCCCAATAATAGCGCATCTGTTGTTTTCCTTATTGATCCGGCCCCAATGTTATAACCTTTGGTAATTTCAAAGATGCAGGCATTATACCGGGTAACGTTGGAAAAAGCCGCATCCATTATTTCATGCACATAATAGGTTCAGAACTACAGAAAACATGCACTGGAAACTAGATAAAGGAACAGGGGGAAGGGTCTGTCTGAAATGCGTTGTCGTTCTGTTGGCGATGTTGTCCTTGGCGTTTTCTTCTTCGGTGCTATCAGATGACGATTCTTCGGCCGGTGCAGACGACACGAACACGGGAAATACTGCAGCAATCGAGGTCGATGATTTGGAGAATGATGTTGGTGATGGGGCCATCGTCGATGCTGCCGTTGAGAAGGAAGGCAACGTGGACCCGGTTGACGAAAGGATACGACTCTTCCAGTACGATCCTGTTGAAGTGAGTACTTCGTGAGTACACGAACATAATGCATGTATATACACTACAACGTCATTAGACGGACATATGTAGTGACAACATGAGTCATTAAGTAGAAATGGTCATTGGCAGCAGGGGCGTCGCCAAAGGGGGGGGGGGTGTGGGGGGGGGGGGGTGGGTTGCGACACCTCCCCACCTGTCAGGATAGTGTCGGTAAAATTGCGCTGCCGTCGGGAAAAAGAGAAAAGGGGGAGGGAAAAAGAGAGGGAAAAAAGAGAGGGAAAGGGAAAGAAAAGAAAAAAAGGAAAGGAAAAGAAAAGAAAGAAAGGAAAAGAAAGAAAAGAGAAGCAAGAAAGAGAAAAAAAAAGAAAAAGAGGGAGGAGAGGAAAGAAAGAAAAAGAAAGAAAAGGAAAAAAGAAGAAAAAAGAAGAAAAAAGAGTGAAAGGGAAACAAAAGAAATGGGGGGGGGGGGTGAAAGAGAGGAGAGAGAGAGGGGAGGTAAGAGTCTGAGAGAGGAGGAGTGGGAGTAAAATAGAAAAGGGGGTTGTTGGGTGGAGTCGTCTCGTTGAGGGAGCAAGAAAGCCACGGGTAAATATATTTCGGTGTCGGATCAGCTGTGTCGGTATTCTTGCTCGATCCTCGTGTACTATATATTAATGCAGAAGTTTGAAGTCGGTGAGATGTATATTGTCGGTCGGCCGACAAGTTTTTTCCCTACGAACTGTGACTTCTTATCCGCTGTGACGACTTCGAGAGAGACTACAACTACAATACTTGTATTTTCTCGAAGTTTCACTTTCCTATAATATCAGCTAAAGAAATCAGAGGTTTAAAATTTTTGGGAAAACTAAATTCAAACAAGGTTTAAGAGTCAACAACGGTACGACGAATCGTCTACCTTTCTTTATAATGTGATGAAACGCCAAAAATTCCGCGCTTTGCGCGGAAGGGGAAACTTCATTTAGACGAGTCGAGAACAGTACAACGAATCGTCTTCTTTCTCTAATAATTTAAGGAAACGTCAAAGCTTCCGCGCTTCGCGAGAGAGTGGGAAACTGAATTCAGACAAATAGGGCTTATTAAAAGTCAAAAACGGTACAACGAATCGTGTTCTTTCTCTAATAAACGTCAAAGCTTTCGCGCTTCGTGCGAGAGGGGAAAACTGAATTCAGATGAATAGGGCTTATTAAGAGTCGAAAACGGTACGATGAATCGTGTTCCTTCTCTAATGATATGAGGAAACATCAAAGCTTTCGCGCTTCGCGCGATAGGGGGAAACCGAATTCAGATGAATAGGGCTTATGCCTCGGTCACAAATGTCATTACGAACTGCTACGAACGCCGTACGAGCGATTTTCAGACAATGGAAATTCGAAAAGACAATAGAAAAACAGGGAGATTCGTACGAAACTATCGTTCGTACGAACCTTTGTGACCCCAGCTTAATTAAGAGTCTAAAACGGTACGACGAATCGTCTTCTTTCTCTAATAATTTAATGAAACGTCAAAACGGGAGGGGGAAAGCTTCATTCAGATAAGGATTAAGAGTCGAGAACAGTACACCGAATCGGTTACTTTTTCTCATAATTTAATGAAACGTCAAAGCTTCCGCGCTTTGCGCGGGAGGGGGGGGGGGAACTGAATTCAGAAATAGATAAACAGTCGAGAACGGTACAACCCGATCGTCTTCTTTTTTACAATAATTTAATGAAACGTCAAAGCTTTCACACTTTGCGCGGGAGGGGGGGGGGGAACTTTTTTCAGCCAAGGATTACCAGTCGAGAACGGTACAATTAATCGTCTTCTTTTTCTAATAATTTAAGGAAACGTCTAAGCTTCCGCGCTTCGCGCAGGAGGCCCATCAGAAATAATTCGTATATTTATGTCGTCGAGGAAAATGACCATTTTGCGCATATGCTAATACTATAGATAGTACATACGCAAAACAATTTAGCCTTCGGCCCCAGGTTTATATGGTTGAATTTGTAGATATTGGACATTTAATTTTGTCGGTAATTGGTGGCTAGTTTTGTCGGTAATCGTTGGCCTCTACACCCCCCACTGAAAAAGGTCTAGCGACGCCCCTGATTGGCAGGACATTTTCCTGTCCTTTTAACGATTAAAAAATAGAGTTACTTCCCGACCTCTGCGTTCGTTTGCAGGCAGAGGGAACTTTAAGGCCTCCCAAGAAACAATAGATACAATCATTAATCATTAGTTTGATTAGTTATATTGTTTTGAATTTGAGTTACGGTTAGGGTTAGTGTTAGGATTAGGGTTAGGGTTAGGGTTGGGGTTAGGGTAATATACCAGTTGTCATGTTGTCCAGTTAATCTACCAATGTATCAATGATAATGATCATTATACAAATAATTAAAACTGCAAAAACAACAGTAACAATATTAAAATAATGATGAAACTAATGATAATGATAATAATTGTTTAAAAAAATAATAATAATAACGTTAGAAGTGATAGACACTACACTGATATGTCTGCCAGTAGAAGGCAATAGACCTGCGATAACTGTATTAAATCTGACATACACTGTTGCTCATAACGGTGGAATATTTTTTTTTATCCCAATTTATGGAATTGTTTTAAAAATAATTTAAAAATACTAGATCTAGATAATAGTATACAGTCTCAGATTTTATTGAATAATAATTTGCCAATATGTGTTTTGCGTGACTGCTAAAGCATGTATGTTATGCTACTATGTTTATTAACTAGGGGACCTATGCCCTTAAGTCATAAATGACAGTAATGAGGATTAATGCCTCACAAAAGGGCACTAATATAGCACATCGACACGGTGTTGATCCTGGGGCCTCACAGTTACGAGGCCATTGCTTTGTCACTGAACCATGACTGTACGCAGCGGGGCTATGGTAGGGGGCAGTTTCCATAAATTAAAAAAAAAACAGAAAATGCAATAAATTTTCAATAATTTATTGCATTCTACCCCGGTCCCCAACATAATAAAATCTTCTGTGTGCCCATGCCTTGAGCCATAATGCATGGCCGTCCAGAGGATTTTTTTATGTTGGGGACCGGGGTAGAATGCAATAAATTATTGAATATTTATTGCATTTTCTTTTTTTTTTTAATTTATGGAAACTGCCCCCTACCCTAGCCCCCGCTGCGTACAGTCATGGTTCAGTGACAAAGCAATGGCCTCGTAACTGTGAGGCCCCAGGATCAACACCGTGTCGATGTGCTATATCAGAGCCCTTTTGTGAGGCATTAATCCTCATTACTGTCATTTATGACTTAAGGGCATAGGTCCCCTTGTTGATAAACATAGTAGCATAATATACATGCTTTAGCAGTCACGCAAAACACATATTGGCAAATTATTATTCAATAAAATCTGAGACTGTATACTATTATCTAGATCTAGTATTTTTAAATTATTTATAAAATAATTCCATAAATTGGGATTAAAAAAAATATTCCACCGTTATGAGCAACAGTGTATCATTTCTAGAAGTGTGGGTGCCACAAGGTTTCATATTATTAGGTGTGCTGTTATTTCCTATATTAAATTGATATTTGCATTGTGTCATCTATTTTAAAATACGTATAGTTTGCTGATGACACTAGTGATTTCTAATTTCATCTTGATAATCATATCCTCGAAAACGACATCAATACCAAAATTAGCTGATTCGTTTCGAAATAATATGCCGTATCTCAACGTTCGTAACATATATTATATCCACTCCCAAGGAGTGTTAAACTTATGCCTTATAGGAAGGAAAAACGTGCACGATGTTTCAGTGGGTTTACATCAATGTAATGAGCAACTCAACTGGAGTGATCATCTGAAAACTGAGGGCGTCAAAACTCCGAAATTTTGGCATATTATATGGGGTGAAATATCTTTTACCTGACAAGGTAATATTCATATTGTACAATAGTTACCTTCATTCAACCCTACATTTCATTTTGTAAGGTTCTTTTTGGCAACATCAAAATACAATTACAAATAGTATTCTATTGTTGCAAAAGTAAAACATTCGTATATGTGCTGGAGCTATTTCCATTTTAAACATAGACAAGGGGAAATGAGGGTATGAATATAGCAGCCTAGACGACATTTTTAAAATCAGATAAAGGCTACTTTATTCCTATACTTAAATTCTCATGCTAGCAAAAATGTTTTATATTTGTTGATCGTAATACATGTTTAGCTCGATAATTAATTATTTGTCATGCTGTCATTAGTATTTAATACTAATATCTAGTATTGACAATGCTTAGTTTGTTTGTTTTTGTATTTTTTTTTAAGAATAAATTTATTTGAATGGTAAGGTGTGGAAACGTTTTAAGTCTTAGACTTATATTACCAAACATCTATCTTTTTCTTCATGCATTATTACTCTAAATGTATTTTGATTGTAACTTCTTTTTAAAGTCTACTACTATTATTTGTTTAATCTCATGCTGATCATAGCACGTTATTTTATCAAACATGTACTAATGAATAATGAATAAATAAATAAATAAATAAATAATTGATTGATAAATAGACAAATTTATAAAAAATTATAATAACAACAACAACAATAATCGTAAAGATTACGATGATGATGATGATAAAGATATTAATATTATTAGGTATAGCGCACCAAAAATAAGTACAACAAGCACATGTTATTTGATGATTGCAAATGATCAAGCTTTATGAAACCTTCAAAAAAAAAAAAAAAAACAGAATTGAAATCGGTCGATGCATTGTGATTTTATACCATTTTTTTGAAATCGCAAAATTACCGAAAAACATGCCAGAAATGGTCAAATTGGCAAAAATGGCAAAATTCGACAAAGTTAACAACTTAATTCATCACTTTCTCGGACACAAATAATGAATTAAATTATCAGATACTAATCTTTGTGGTAAAAAAAAAGAAAAGAAAATTCATATATCTATTACCGTTTTGAAAACAGAAGCCAACAAAATAAGTCATTTTTGCGAATCTGCAGATATGAAAAAGTTGTGAAAATAACTAAGTCCGCCCAATTATTATGCGCATATGTAATCAAATCGTCTTTCGGATGGTGACGTTTAAAGGTCGGTCCCAGACGTAAATAATCATATCTGATTGATACACGTCCGTAAAAACCCAATACACACACACACTACATCAAATATTAACATTAAATTCCAAATATTTTTGCAATGTCAATAAAATATGGCGATTGAAATTACTTGGATCACCGTCACAGCTATTTCCGCATATGTTTCACAAATTATTCAGAAAAACCGATCAAATGATAAAAATTTGCAGATTTTTGGCTACATCACAGTATATATATTTTTTTTAAATGTCAGATTTGAGGATTTGTGACGATTTTTCGAGAAGCCAGTCAACTGGCCATAACATTCCACAGGGACTAAATTTTAGAGTGAAAGAAAGTTTGGTGACCTCAGTCCAATTGTGGCTACCTTGAGTGTATACAACAAATTGATTCAAAGAGTGAAACACATGAGGATATTGCATTTTTGTACGGGAGTTTTATACATTGAGGTGCATTTTCACCACGCAGAATAGCAGCGCGAGTCAATGGGCGATCAGCGGGCCATGTCACACAATGGCTGAAAAGACAATATTCTAATTAAATCATTTAACATATTTCCCACATGCCTATAACAATGAAACTACACATAATTGTAAGTAAAGGTATATGTGAAATAAAAATTTAGAAATATTGTTTAGTTTTTTTAAAAATAAATTTACAAAAAATGCTATTTCTACCAACTGACTGCTGTTGTGTGTTTGTGTACGCGGGGCAGACTGTGTGCACAGGCAGTGTGATCACCCCAATATTATGTCATAACATTTTAAATATCAAAAATATGATAAACTTAGTATATGTAGATGTATTAAATAATTTGTATTACATATTAGTTTACGTATCTTTATCTTTATCTTCCATGCTATTTAGGTTGGACACATAAGATATGTCGAGATTTCTCCGGGAAGATATGTCCAGCTGAAAACCATTGCCGTTAAACCACCAGCTTTCGGTAATAGCACTCCGATAAAACCAACTCTTGTACAATAAGAAAGTCAATATAATCATTGTGAGTTCATGAATGAAAATAAAATCTTCACGGGGATTCAAATGAGAAAAAAAACCTATTGGAGGAGACACGCTTTTATGTATCAACATTTTTAAATGTCGTGTCTCTAATCAGTGCAAGCCAGATTTAGGCGCTTACATTTATTACATTTTTTCCATTTTCTTTGTAGCTATATCATACATTGCTTTTTTAGTGTAATCATTTTTCCAAATGGATAATTATTTCCTCACTATGTATTTCTACAATTTAGCGGTAAATAATGCCTTAAATCATTCATGAAATACCAACAAAATATCGATCTCTTTGTATAATTTGTATTTCAGTATCAATTTTGTTTTATAGTTGCTACCTTGTTTGGCGTTCAACAATAAGGGATAGAGCATAGTCGATCTGACGCTGCTCAGTGGCTGCCGGGCTCACGAACAATTGGGCAAAAAGAATTTCCGTTTCGGGTTATAAAATTTGGAGTGGACTATTAGGCTATTATTAGGTGGTCTGTCAACGACAGATCACCTATTGTTTTCGTCAGAATTTTCTTTCTTTATTATTATTATTAGGTGGTCTGTCAACGACAGATCACCTATTGTTTTCGTCAGAATTTTCTTTCTTTATTATTATTATTATTTATTTTTATTTATTTTCACACTTTTTTGTTAACAGGATAACTCAAGATCAGTTTAGTCAATTTCGTTCAATTTTGGCACAGTCATAGGTCATTGTCATGAGACGTTAGAGTAACATTTTCGAGGTCATCAAGTTTTCATGACGTCATCCAGGCGCCATTTTGTGTTTTTTTGGTACTTTTTACTCATGATCATATCTTCTTAACGGAAAAGCATTTCTCATTCATATTTATCATGATTAAGGTCAATATCCGTCCGGTCAACTTCAGGTCAAAAAACGCGCGCGCACGCGTACGTCCGCGCGTCAGCGCGCGCGCAAAAAATAAAAATGCTTCAAATCGTTTAAAATTAATTTTGCATACGTTTCAGGCCATTTTAAGCGTTTTGCAAAAAAAGCTCGCACGCGGGTGCGCGCGCGTTTTCGCGCGTACTGGTATTTGCCAACATAAAATCGCAAAATTTTCTCTGTCATCATATTTAGCACATTTTTCCAAGCATTTTGATACCTTGTTCACCTTTTTCTGCCCATTAATAACGGAATGAGCGTCCGTTTAAGATAATGTCCGTGCGTGCGAGCTCTTGTAATACATAGCATACATGGGCAAAAACATGCCTATACAAAATCCATTGTAGCGCTTTAGGATGGAAGATGAACCAAATTTTGTTTTCATATGTTGATAGAGTATGAATTGGAGATATGATTTCATGTCTCATTTGACCCTCAATTGACTCATGACGTCATCATAATGGCCTCCGAACTCAAAATTTCAATTTTCATATTATGACGTCAGCAGATTTTTGGAAAATTGATTGTATCTCTGTAAATATTGATCAATTTTCTTTCAAATTTTGATATGTTCTACCTGAGAATATTCTCTACAAATGTAGTCGTCACAAGATATCATTTTGACAAAGGTATCATGGCGTTTTTTGCGATTAAAGGAGGCATGTCAATTTTTCACATTTTGCGTGTATTCTCTATGGGACATGACTTTTTCTCAAAACTTGATTCTACATTCTCGTCTTTCACGAGCAATATCTCCGTCGTTTTATCTTTGTTTACGCTGAGCTTTGAGTATGTTGTAGCTGAGAAAATAAGCTATCGTAAGTGTGTCCTTTATCTTTCGATCAGATGCCGGGATCATGCTCATATTTCACTTACAAAGTGGGATTTGATAATTCCATTTTCCGTTTACGTGTAATCTCTATGGGAAATGTTTTGGTATATCGGTAACGCACTTGACTTCCGACCTCAAGGTCCCTGGTTCGAGTCCGGGCGTCTCCAACAATTTTTTTTCTTCACTTTTTTTTCTTTTTGACCTTTCACTGTACCATCTCCTTTGAATATTAAAACACGTACAATCGCAAATAATGTAATAAACAACCATATTTACTTTATTATTACCCTATTATCACTAGATCCATTACTTTTGGCGTGTAATCCTTATGGGAGATGACTTTTTCTCAAATCTGGATTCTACATTCTTGTCTTTTGCGAGCAATATCGCCGTTATTTCGGCTTGGTTTTTGTTGATTTTTGAGTATGTTGTAGCTGAGACTATACGCTATCTAAATGTTCTCTAATTTTGTTCAGTCTGATGTCATCGTGGTCTGTTGATGATAATCATCAACATCATCATCATCATCATCATCGTCATCACCATTACTATCAAGATCATCATCATCATGATGATCATCATTGTTTACATGTATATATAACTTCTCCCTTTCTCAATATAGTAAATATTATAATCTCTCATAAGACTTGAAGACAGACCACCTAATTCGTCTCCATGACGAATTAAATTTCTAGTTATTATTATTATTATTATTTATTTTTATTTATTTTCACACTTTTTTGTTAACAGGATAACTCAAGATCAGTTTAGTCAATTTCGTTCAATTTTGGCACAGTCATAGGTCATTGTCATGAGACGTTAGAGTAACATTTTCAAGGTCATCAAGTTTTCATGACGTCATCCAGGCGCCATTTTGTGTTTTTTTTGGTACTTTTTACTCATGATCATATCTTCATAACGGAAAGGCATTTCTCATTCATATTTATCACGATTAAGGTCAATATCCGTCCGGTCAATTTCAGGTCAGAAAACGCGCGCGCATGCGTACGTCCGCGCGTCATCGCGCGCGCAAAAAATAAAAATGCTCCAAATCGTCTCAAATTTTTTTTGCATACGTTTCAGGCCATTTTAAGCATTTTGCAAAAAACGCGCGCACGCACATGCGCGCGCGTTTTCGCGCGTAATGGCATTTTGCAACAAAAAATCGCCAAATTTTTTATGTCATCATATTTGGCACATTTTTTCAAGCATTTTGATACCTTGTTCACCTTTTTCTGACCATTAATAACGGAATGAGCGTCCGTTTAAGATAATTTCCGTGCGTGCGAGCTCTTGTAATACATAGCATACATGGGCAAAAACATGCCTATACAAAATCCATTGTAGCGCTTTAGGATGGAAGATGAACCCAATTTTGTTTTCATATTTTGATAGAGTATGAATTGGAGATATGATTTCATGTCTCATTTGACCCTCAATTAACTCATGACGTCATCATAATGGCCTCCCAACTCAAAATTTCAATTTGCATATTATGACGTCAGCAGATTTCTTGAAAATTGATTGCATCTCTGTAAATATTGATCAATTTTCATCCAAATTTTGATATGTTTTAGCTGAGACAATTCCCTACAGATGCAGTAGACACGAATTTTCATTTTGACGAAAGCATCATGGCGTATTTTTGCGATTAAAGGAGGCATGTCAATTGTTTACATTTTGCGTGTATTCTCTATGGGACATGACTTTTTCTCAAAACTGGATTCTACATCCTGTCTTTTGCGAGCAATATCTCCGTCGTTTTAGCTTTTTTTACGCTGAACTTTGAGTATGTTGTAGCTGAGACAATAAGCTATCACAAGTGTGCCCTTTATTTTTCGATCAGATGCCGGGATCATCCTCATATTTCAATTACAAAGTAGGATTTGTGCATTCCATTTTCCGTTTACGTGTAATCTCTATGGGAAATGTTTTGGTATATCGGTAACGCACTTGACTTCCGACCTCGAGGTCCCTGGTTCGAGTCCGGGCGTCTCCAACAATTTTTTTTCTTCACTTTTTTTCTTTTTGACCATTCACTCTACCATCTCCTTTGAATATTAAAACACGTACCATCGCAAATAATGTAATAAACAACCATATTTACTTTATTATTACCCTATTATCAATAGATCCATTACTTTTTGCGTGTAATCCTTATTGGAGATGACTTTTTCTCAAATCTGGATTCTACATTCTTGTCTTTTGCGAGCAATATCGCCGTTATTTCGGCTTGATTTTTGTTGATTTTTTAGTATGTTGTAGCTGAGACTATATACTATCTAAATGTTCTCTCATTTTTTTCAGTCTGATGTCATCGTGGTCTGTTGATGATAATCATCAACATCATCATGATCATCATCATCATCATCGTCATCACCATTACTATCAAGATCATCATCATCATCATGATCATCATTGTTTACATGTCTATATAACTTCTCCCTTTCTCAATATAGTAAATATTATAATCTATCATAAGACTTGAAGACAGACCACCTAATTCGTCCCCATGACGAATTAAATGTCTAGTTATTATTATTATTATTTATTTTTATTTATTTTCACACTTTTTTGTTAACAGGATAACTCAAGATCAGTTTAGTCAATTTCGTTCAATTTTGGCACAGTCATAGGTCATTGTCATGAGACGTTAGAGTAACATTTTCAAGGTCATCAAGTTTTCATGACGTCATCCAGGCGCCATTTTGTGTTTTTTTTGGTACTTTTTACTCATGATCATATCTTCTTAACGGAAAAGCATTTCTCATTCATATTTATCATGATTAAGGTCAATATCCGTCCGGTCAACTTCAGGTCAAAAAACGCGCGCGCACGCGTACGTCCGCGCGTTAGCGCGCGCGCAAAAAATGAAAATGCTTCAAATCGTTTAAAATTAATTTTGCATACGTTTCAGGCCATTTTAAGCGTTTTGCGAAAAAAATTCGCACGCGCGTGCGCGCGCGTTTTCGCGCGTACTGGTATTTGCCAACATAAAATCGCAAAATTTTCTCTGTCATCATATTTAGCACATTTTTCCAAGCATTTTGATACCTTGTTCACCTTTTTCTGCCCATTAATAACGGAATGAGCGTCCGTTTAAGATAATGTCCGTGCGTGCGAGCTCTTGTAATACATAGCATACATGGGCAAAAACATGCCTATACAAAATCCATTGTAGCGCTTTAGGATGGAAGATGAACCAAATTTTGTTTTCATATGTTGATAGAGTATGAATTGGAGATATGATTTCATGTCTCATTTGACTCTCAATTGACTCATGACGTCATCATAATGGCCTCCGAACTCAAAATTTCAATTTTCATATTATGACGTCAGCAGATTTTTGGAAAATTGATTGTATCTCTGTAAATATTGATCAATTTTCTTTCAAATTTTGATATGTTCTACCTGAGAATATTCTCTACAAATGCAGTTGTCACAAGATTTCATTTTGACAAAGGTATCATGGCGTTTTTTGCGATTAAAGGAGGCATGTCAATTTTTCACATTTTGCTTGTATTTTCTATGGGACATGACTTTTTCTCAAAACTTGATTCTACATTCTCGTCTTTCGCGAGCAATATCTCCGTCGTTTTATCTTTGTTTATGCTGAGCTTTGAGTATGTTGTAGCTGAGAAAATAAGCTATCGTAAGTGTGTCCTTTATTTTTCGATCAGATGCCGGGATCATGCTCATATTTCACTTACAAAGTGGGATTTGATAATTCCATTTTCCGTTTACGTGTAATCTCTATGGGAAATGTTTTGGTATATCGGTAACGCACTTGACTTCCGACCTCAAGGTCCCTGGTTCGAGTCCGGGCGTCTCCAACAATTTTTTTTCTTCACTTTTTTTCTTTTTGACCTTTCACTGTACCATCTCCTTTGAATATTAAAACACGTACAATCGCAAATAATGTAATAAACAACCATATTTACTTTATTATTACCCTATTATCACTAGATCCATTACTTATGGCGTGTAATCCTTATGGGAGATGACTTTTTCTCAAATCTGGATTCTACATTCTTGTCTTTTGCGAGCAATATCGCCGTTATTTCGGCTTGGTTTTTGTTGATTTTTGAGTATGTTGTAGCTGAGACTATACGCTATCTAAATGTTCTCTAATTTTGTTCAGTCTGATGTCATCGTGGTCTGTTGATGATAATCATCAACATCATCATCATCATCATCATCATCGTCATCACCATTACTATCAAGATCATCATCATCATGATCATCATGATGATCATCATTGTTTACATGTATATATAACTTCTCCCTTTCTCAATATAGTAAATATTATAATCTCTCATAAGACTTGAAGACAGACCACCTAATTCGTCTCCATGACGAATTAAATTTCTAGTTATTATTATTATTTTTATTTATTCATTTCTTGTAGTACCCGTTATCTCCAAACGATCAAATACGTTGTATGATATTTGTTTTATTATCTTGAAGGATATTGACATGCGCCGACCTTTCTCTTCAGTATTAAGTTAAGATTTGCAATTGCAATTAATGACCGTGATAACCATGATTACAATGTAAACCGCTTCGAAATGAAATTTTAAGCGCTTTAAAGACATAAATAATATTATTATTACCAATTTACTATCATTATTATTATCTCTTCCCACCAGAAATTTCAAATTTCCTAACACCAGAGGAATGCGAAAGGATCAAAGAGCTAGCCCTAGATGCTGGACTATTTACCAGTACAACATTGTCCATAGACTTATCAAAAAGCGGTATCGATGAAACCAAGGTCATTTATAACGCCACAGAATGGGAACAGAAGTTCGCCAAGTGCGACAACAACACTGACAAAATACTAGACTTCACGGAAGTACTACGCTGTCTTCCAGGGCTCCAAGAAGGAGACATAGTTCCTCCAGCTATCCTGGCCGATTTGTACATGCAGCTGAAGCTGGACCTGAACTCCAATGGATTCATTGATGCAAAAGAACTCTGGTTGATCCATCTAGAAAACAAGACTATTGAGATCGAGGAATGGCTCTCCCGCTGGCGAGGAGGAGAGTTGCCCAAAGTGACAGGACGGGGACGCGGTCGAATCAGCGAGCAGGCTTGGATTAACTGGAGTCGTTTTACAGATCCTACCATAAGGACAATCCGAGATAGGTAATTCAAGCCAGGGGCAGCGATCCCGGGGGGGGGGGGGGACATCGTCCCCCCGGAAAATTGGAAAAAGTGCAAAAAAAAAATGGAAAGCAAATACTGACTAAAGACTGCAACAAACTTTTAGGCTCTGGACGGCCCAAGAGTGCAGCGTTTCGACAACAAAAATTGCAAAACTCTTCTTGCTCGGTACCTACGCTCCCTCGCATAATACCCCTCAAAGTGTTCAAATATATATTGTAGAAAAGTGAAATGTGAACAAAATGTTATTGCTTGTTTTGATACTATACTTTTGCTAAGGAATATGATTTTGTAATACAACAAAACTTCAAAAACCTGAAAGGGGGTAGTCACTCTCGTTCACTTTATACCTCGCACTGGCGTAATAATGGAGGGGGATTTGGGGCAGTTGCCCTCCTAATAAAGTTCGATCGTGGTTTATTTCGAATTCGATACCAGTGATTTACAAATTTTACTGAATTGGCATGTTTTTTTCCCTGAGCTTCCGGAGGCTCTGCCCCCTGGTTGCTCATCTGACCGTAATGAAATGCCTTTAAAAACCTAAGCTTCCGGGAGCTTTGCCCACTGGACCCCACCAAGGGCCTTAAGGCATCCCCCTGAATGCTCAACCGATCGTTATTTACTGCTTAAAACCCCTTAGATTCTGGGGGCTACTCCCCTTTACCCCAATCCAATTAGTTAACTCCATGCCAGTGTCACAAATAAGGTATCAAAATATGCTGATCAGACCGTCATTAAATGCCTAAAATTCCTGAGCTTTACTGACCCCCGATGGGGCTATGCTTCTGGACCCCAAGCCAATTAACTTGCTTCGATGGCTTTGCTGTACCAGACCGTAAATACTTCAGCCCCACCTTGAAAAACGTTCCGCGGGGCCTGCATGTAACATGTAAGAGTGGGGGTGACGCAGATTTTGTTCTGCCCCCCCCCCCCCTCAACGTTTTTGCTCGTTACGCTATCCCTCGTCCCTCACATTTTGTCCTCCCCCTGTCATGAAAAGAAATCACCGCTCTTGATTCAAGCTATGGTTGATGCGTTTGGGGATTTTAAATTTCCAGGCGCAGATCCTCAAAACACCATCGCCTTTCCAAATAATATCAACTCTTTTAAACTGATTTTGAACTCTTTAAGACCATTCCACGTAAGATGATAGGCCCGATTGTGCATGAACATACATCCCCAAAACGGAGATCAATATTTATTGATGTACGGCGATATAAAAACTGATTATTATTATTAACATCTTTCCTACTTGCGGGAGACTATCGTATTATTGATTGATTTCCAGTAGGTCCTACGCCTCATTGGACCCAAACGTCCTATATCGCACGGGTCTTTTGTACCAATCGACCCAACTCCAAAACGTCCTACCTCCTAAACCGTATACATGTAATCATATTCATATAATACAATAGAATCCTTCCTTTTTAACTCAACTTTTTTTCTTCTTATTATTTTCCGCTCTCTGATAGGGTAACAGCCCTCACGAAGATTGATCGAAACATTGTATTTTCGAGTGAAAGCCTCCAGGTTTGAAACATATCATGATTTGTTTTTGTTCTTCTTACGGCAATGGGCGGATGTAGTGGTCTTTATTTTTCTTCTCATTTTCTGCATGATGGAAGTATTGGTAATTAGTTCGGTTTTTTTTCCCCCATCCTTTTTTAAAACGATAACAGAAATCTGTGGGTAAATGTTAAATAATACAAGAATCATTAAATCATCATTCTGCCTTTGAACTGCAAACTGTAAGAATCGCAGAACGTTACTTTAGAACAAAATTTAAAGGAAGGTACCGAACTGAATAAGACTTCATATTTTTAATTTATGTCAACAAAAAGGAAAATCCTCACCCTTATTTCGACTTTTCTCTATAATAATATACATTTTCTATTAAACTGATGAATAAGATTTATCACTCACTGTTTTTTCTTCCTTCTTTTATATTGGTTTAAACATTCATTTTATATATCTTGTGTGCGCGTGTGTGGGCGTTAGTGGGTGCTTATGTGTATCTTACTTATATCTAATATGAATTCAAGCAGTTACCAACGAGGTGCATGAGGTTTGCATAGGATTCCATTGTTAAGGAAGGTGATGGGTTGTAATTTGTTCACTTTCTCGTCGTGTTTATGTCGGTATGGAAGATATGAGAGATGTTCAATGCAAAGGGTCGCGCTTCAAATGCTCTCATATTCAAAATGTGATTTTAAACAGATCAAATTCTTCTTCTTCTTATTTTTATTCTGCCTCTTCTTCTTTCTGCCCTTAAGACAATGGCTTGATGCAATTGATAGTTCCGTCCGTCAGTATGCCGCGATTCCAGTTTATGGTGTCTTCATTCACCTGGGTGACCGGTTGTGGTTGGTGTTCCCATGAATGATTACATGTCGTATACGGCTTATAGCGAAAGGGCGGGTAGCGTCGCGTCGTGTCGCGTTGACTTGGACGCGACCATTCTTCCAAAAAACGAGCAATTTACTTTTTTTCCACACTTCACCTTGACTTTGCCGGTATCTAGTGTGCAGTCCGAAATGGTTGTTAATATTTATGAGGTAAATTTTAGTAAGTAGGTAGGAAGGGACTTCTTAAAAAAGCAATTAAGCTGAATATACATTTTTTTTTAAGCACTGACCTATTTCTATAACTCTTAATCTTGTAAACATACAGTGTAAGCTGTGATTACGTGATACCAACAGAATACATATTTTCTACAATATTTAGCCTTCTTGTACATTTTAAAGGATATTATGAGAGGGAGCGAGAAGATTTTTGCATTTTTATTAGTCTAAACGCTGCACTCTTTAGCCATCAAGAGACTCAAAGTTTGTTTCAGTCTTTAGTCAATAACTGATTGCTATTCATTTTTGGGTGTGCACATTTTCAAATTTTCCGGGGGGACGACCCCCCCCCCCCCTTCCTAAAAAAAAATGAAGTAGGGACGTTACCCCCTGAGAACAATTACCCCCCAAGGACAATTACCCCCCGGGAAATTACCCCCCCCCCCCGAGGACAACTACCCCCTGGGACGATTAACCCCCAAGGACAACTATCCCCCGAGGACAACTACCCCTCGAGGACAACTACCCCCGAGGACAATTACCCCAATGCACACTACTGGGCATGGTGGCTCAGTGGTTAGAGCGCCCGCCTCATGAACGGAAGGTCGTGGGTTTGAACCCCTGCCGAGTCATTCCAAAGACTTATAATAATGGGAGCTTCTGCCTTCTAGCTAGGCGCTCAGCATATTAGAGTGGATTGGAGAAGGGTAGTAATAACATATTATCTTATGCTGGTCGCGCCGGAAGAGCAGTTTCATAACTGAAGTGGGTACCCTGGGTAAATAAAACGTTATTATTATTATTATTATTATTATTATTATTACCCTCGAGGACAACTATCCCCCAGGAAAACTACCCCCGAGGACAACTACCCCTCCCCCCTTCGAGGACAACCCTCCCCCCCCCCCCTCGAGGACAATAATCCCCCGGAGGACAACTACCCCCAACGACAATCATCCCCGAGGAAATTATAACACTGTGACGTATAACGCAAGCTTCTCTCCAAATTTCTATTTACCCCCTTGATGCAATTAATATTGCATGAACCTTTATTTTCTTTGTTATTTATGAAGTTCATTTCAGTCTTTTCAAATTATTCAATTCGATATGGGGGGGGGGGGGGTGAAAGTTGCCCAATTCCCCTGTAGTTTTGCTACCGAGTAAAGAACAGAAATTACATTTCTTAGAAATTGAACAATACATTGCGCGCAGATGAGTACGCGTTACAGCCTCTCTCACCATCAATGGCACAACAAAGAAATTAGGATGTAAGATTTCCTTTATGCTTCCTCTGTAATTTGTTTAATCAGCTGATCGTGTATTTGTCTTTGTTTGTATAATGGGCCCTCATCCATGCCATGATCCATACTCGTAGCCATCTCGTAGCCATAGCTCAATGTGTCAGATCGTCTTTTGCTATTGAATGCTGATTGTCCACGGGGGTAGTTGTCCTGGGGGGGGGGTGTAAGTGTCACCGGGGGGTAATTATCATCGAGGGGTAGTTGTCCTCGAGGGGTAGCTGTCCTCGGGGGGTAATTTTCCTTGGAGGTAATTGTCATCGTGGGGTAGATGTCATCGGGGGGTAATTGTCCTCGGGGGGTAATTGTCCCCGGTGGTAACTGTCCTTGGGGGGGGGGGTAATTGTCCTAGGGGTTATTGTCCTCCGGGGGTAGTTGTCCTCGGGGGTAATTGTCCTCGGGGGGTAATTCTCCGGGGGTAATTTTCCGGGGGTAATTGTCCTTGGGGGTAGTTGTCCTGGGGGGGGGGGGGTGATTCTCCGGGGGGGTAATAAACCCGGGGGTAATTGTCCTTGGGGGTAGTTTTCCGGGGGGGGGGTAATTTTTCGGGGGTGATTACCCAGGGGGTAATTGTCCTAGAACCAAATGTAAATTCTTCTCACTTTTTGGTCTCGAAACAATTATTTGACCATTGTTGAATATTGTATTACATTTTTACTAACGAAGAATTCCCATTGTAATGCAATTTTCAGGTTTCCCAGGTTTATTAAGGAAAATATAGAAGATTGATATTGTTAAGTTGTTCGATAACATCACTCAGTTTGATGAATTCATCGTTAGTGAAAATGTAATACAATATTCAACAATGGTCAAATAATTGTTTCCAGACCAAAAAGTGAGAAGAACTTACATTTAATATTGAAACTGTCACCGTTTGTACATACAAGAACTTGAAATAATAAGTGGCCTTGAAAGTGTCGCAATATATCATGTGTGAGTGAGCTTGAAATTTAATGGTGTATGTTTGTTTGAGACTATATAGCCTCTACACTGTTTTTTAAGAGATATATCTCCAATTAAATCAATCTGAATGATGTTATCGAACAACTTAACCATATCAATCTGGCTTAAAGTGACTCGGCAACATCGGTGAACGTTGATGAAAAAACAGCGTAATTTGTGTATGAAATGTTACTGATAATATTCCTTCTACTGTACTAACTCTCTATTTACATGCAAAATAAAACTGGAACAAATCCACTGTGCGACACCCTCTAACAGTAAATTCTCCCAACCATTTTTGAATTTTTCCATCCGTTTTTCCAGTGAAAATCATATAACAGGCTTTTAAAAATCTTCCAACAATTAAATGTCTGGAATGGTATATAGAGCCAATGCATTGCTTTGCGACAGTTTTCTTTCACCTAAAATGTAATTAAATTGTAATGATAAAATCGATCAGATCTTTTTTTCCAGTTTGTATCATTGATAATGGTCTGTTTTTACTCAAACTTCAGATTATCTTTAATTGTACATTTAGCATTGAAGTCACCATTTTCTCTCATCTGAACAATGTTACTAGGGCCGGCGATGGAACTAAGTTTAATGGTTAAGGTTTGTTTAAGAATATATCTAACACTGATTCGTTAATGAGTTTATATCTCGGATCAAATCAGACTGAGTGATGTTATCAATCAACTAACCAGTATTGATTGTCCATTTTCGTAAATAAACATGGGAAAACTCGGTCTTTAGAAACACAACAGAAGATTACTTAATTTGGTGCCTGGCTTAATGGCGGAGACACTGGCCCGAATTCACAAAGGAGGTTTATCGACAAACCTAGGTTTATGACGCGTTTTGACGCGTTTTTTTTTTTTACAAACCTAGTTTGTAAAAACGCGTCGAAACGCGTCATAGCACGAAAACTTAGGTTTGTCCACAAGCCTCCTTTGTGAATTCTGGCCACTAAGTTTGATGGTGTAGGTCTGTTTGAGACTTTAAAGCCTTTACACTGTTTCATTAATGAGATATATCTTCAATCAAATCAGACTGAATGATGTTATCTAACAACGTACCAGTATTAAATGTCCATTTTCCTAAATAAACCATTACACAGAATGATATTACTAAATATGGTGCCTGGCTGGATGGGGATCGCACTCTGCTTAAAGGTAAAGATCGGTAGTGGTAAAATTGCGGTTCAGGGGTTTTGGGGGCAAAATATCCATTCAATATGGTTCAAATATTGCCTTCAGAGGTTTAGATGGCAATACTTCAACCTAAATTCGCAAAAAACAGAAATGAATTCCATACATAGAAAGAAAAGGATTTAAAAGAACGACTGATATGCAAGACTAGGTAAACACCTTTATTTGACATGGGGGGGGGGGGGGGGCTTTCTAAATTCCATACATAGAAAGAAAAGGATTTAAAAAAACGACTGATATGCAAGACTAGGTAAACACCTTTATTTGACATTTTTAAATGACATTTTTAAATATCAGAGTAAATTATTTGATTGCGTTTCGTGTTATTTATTGTTTTAATTTTTATAAACGCTTAAATCTGCAAGACTACGTTATTTTCCTTAAATTCTATTATAAACGACTGATGTGGAAGACTAGTCAACGCACCCTTTCGGCCAAACCGGGGGCGGGGGGGGGGGGGGGAGGGGCTTTGGATGAATGGTCGCGCTCCAGTCAACAACACACCATTTCTGAAAAACCGGGGAGGAGGGGGCTTTGTACGAATGGTCGCGTTCAAGTCAACGCGACGCGACGCTACCCACACTTTTGGCATAAGCCGTCGTATACCAATGATCCTTTAGCAATTTCCAATGATTACGTTTTGCAATATTGTCGTGTCGTGTGATATAATCCGTCTGAGCAAGAGTCGAACATCCTGACACCAAAGGCATGGCTAGTGTTTCTGGTTCTTTCCCAGACAGCTTGCAGGTGTCAAATCGGTGTCTACTTTGAGAACTGGTTCTTCATTAGACCGAAAGCTTCAGTTTCTGATATCGACGATTGTTCTGCTGAGATTGCATCTGGCTTCTCTGACCGTCTCTAAACATAGACTGAAGTACGTCCTATGGGGACTGAGTCATGGGTCGGTTCGGCCGGACCCCGATAAATGAGATATGCAAAGAGTTTTTTACTCTTGACGTGTTCATATATCCAATTTGCCTGTAATATTACACTAATTGTTATTTCAGATAAAAAAATAACACAGAAATATCTACTTTGACTTACGATAGCTTGCTCGTTTAGATCCTAAATTAATGATTAATCCGATAAAGTCTCGTACGTAGTCAACATGATTCGTTGTCAGCCATCTTGGTTATAGTTGACCCTGTGATATAGGAATATTCATAAACCCAATATTAAACGAGTGCTCTGATTGGCCATTGGCTATGTTTTGGTAGGTTGACCCGGAAATATTTCGGCCGGGTCATGTCATAGATTACTAGTTCGAATGCATGAACGAACCGTTTCACGGTTCTGAGATTAAAAAAAAAATTAAAAAAATTGGATAACTCATATAAGTAAATCCCTAAATTTTGCATTTTGTAATAGTAATAGGTTATCAAACTTTGATAACTGTAAATAGGAAAAAAAATAAACATATTTTTTTCCTATCTCATTTATAAATCAGAAAATTAGATCTAAACTAGACATGTAATACTTGTTTGGAACAAGTAAAGTTGGGCTGGTCCAACTAAAATTTGAGACAAAATAGAGCCAAAAAAAGCGAGATACTGCTAAAAAACAATGTCATGTAGATTAATGATGTGAAAGAAATTCACCTTCCATAGGCATAACACGCAACTTAGAAATTTCTTATATGTGCCCTTTAATCGTAATTTTCACGATGATGACGTCATCAAAATGAAAAATGGTTATAACTGAGCTTGTAGAAAATTGTCTTAGCTACAACATATCGAAATTTGGAAGAAAATTGATCAATATTTACAGAGATACAATCAATATTACATAAATATGCTGACGTCATAATATGCAAATTCGTATTTTGTGTTTCAAGGACATTATAATGATTTTACGAATACACTTAATGGCCATATGAGACAGGAAATCATATCTCCGACTCATACTCTATCAAAATATGAAAAAACAATTGGGGTCCAGGTGCATCCCAAAGACCTATAATGGATTATGTATAGGCATGTTTTTGCCCATATATGCTATGTATTATAAGAGCTCGCGCGCACGGACATTTATCTTCAATGGGTTTTCATCTTGTTATTAATAGTCATAAAGAGAAAAACATGGTATCAACTTGTTTGGAAAAATATGGGAAATATCATGAAAGAATAAAAAATGGCGATTCTATGTTTTGTAATGGTGTTACGCACGAAAACGCGCGCGCATAGGCGTGTGCGCGATTTAAAAAAAAATAAAATGCTCAATCTATCCCCCCGTTGCGAGTCGTCTGGGTTACCGTCTGTGTATGGGGAATGTCAACAAATGTCATTTTCATTAAAGAAATGACCCATATCAGACGGTTATTTCTGTCTAGTTATTCATATGCTCGGGTTTTTACCACCTTGTCTTGTATGGCAAAGGTGACGCCCTTAGCTTCATCTGTGAGACCGGCCGACATTAGCCAATTGTGGGTGTTCTGTTAGTTCACAAACTGCTGAAATGACTGCTTTTCATGATGCCATGGATGTGTTGACTATAGGAGTTCTTCTTGGAATTTCTGTTGAAGGAAACATTTGAGTTTCGTTTTCTCTCTATCACCAAATGGCAGTGTCATTATTGATGTTGCTCCAGTATGGCTGAGGCTTATCTGCTGGAAGAGTAAATTGCTTGACTTTTTCCATGATCGAGAGATATACTCGTCAGGATATTAGAGGGGTTTGATAGGTAGCCCGCAAGGTATGACGCTTCCATATATCACATTATTTTATTACTATTTTTTAAATCATTATCATTATTCGTTTATTTCAGGAAAGAAAGAAAGATTACCGACAGTCTTTCTCAGGACTCCCCAATCCCCCTCTCTCACATGGTGCAACCGTATAAGTCTACTGTATATTGTTATTATTATTGTTATTGTTATTATCATTAATATTTTGTATTATTTTTTCCAGGTAGTTCGTTATTACCCTGGTGGGCACTATCATGCACATTGGGATAGTGAAGAGATAGAGGCGGACAAACCCTGCGATCACAGTCACCCTGACCAAAGCTCAGATTCGAATGTTCCACTTAGACTTTGCAGGTAGGCCTATATCAAATAACATTATATTTCATTGATAAAAGGGAGGCACTCATTTTTAAGAAGGTTCATAATTATGAAACACACAATTTCCGTACATAGGGGTTCATACTTTTGGAAATCAAATAGAGCTCATAATTACGAGCGTTATTTCGAAAGTTCGTTTATCCGAACTATTTCATTTTCGGCTGTTGATGCAAGGTGGTTCTTAAACGCCTTTCCAATATATTCAACTTAGCCTGATTTGTTTGATTTTAGATTTTTTGTTTGTTTTTGCAGTATTCGATTGCAGGTGTGCAACTTGGGATTACCTTACATTAAACACCCGAAACACTTTACACCTAGTAATGTTCAACATCTCTAGTAGCCTCAATTACATGAAAAAAACTCCTACCATTATCAGAGCATTTACGTACATAATACGGTAACATGTTAAGTTTAAATGTGATAAGATCAGGCAAACAGGAATATTTACGATAATATGCCTTCTCCACAAACTACAAACTACAAAATATAGTTTGGGCGTTCTTAGTCTCGATCAAGAAACAACGTTTTAACACTATTGATTAAGGGTGATGGGGTTTGTTTTCATTAAGCAGTTTTAAATTCAAATAAAATCTAATAAAAGTGACATGTTAATAATATTAATAATCAGGTTGTTGTAATGATTTTTCCCCCAGATTTATCACCATTTTGTATTATCTACAAGATGTGGAAGGTGGAGGTGAAACAGCGTTCCCTTTGGCTGAATTTGAGAACGTCTCTAAAGAAGTAAAGTATTCCAATTTCCTGCCTCTGTGGTAAACTTCATACAAAGAGTCTTGTGGGTGAGGCTAAAAGCTAGAGGAGGGGTGGGGGTAGGGAAGAACATGGGGCTGAATAAACTACGTTTGAGTGTAATACTCTGGACCTGTACTTAGGACAAACTCTATGAGTTATTTTTCATGTAGTCTGAAGGCACAGAATCCAATTTAATTCAGTTCCTAAAGCCTTGAGCAGAGCCTATCTCTGGAATTCCCTGGCTGTATCATAGCCTATGCTGAGTATGCTGCCAGCCTAGTCTCACTGTGCAGACAATGTTACGCGTAGCGAATGACAAGAGTTTGTGCATGAAAACTAGTTGTCGTGGGTGGAAATCCCGGGGGACGGGGGCGCCCCCCCCCCCCCTCTTAGTACGACAAGAATAAATTACTCAAATGCTCAACTTGCAAGCTAATTGAAAGTGAAACAAATGTTAATTGTCGATTTGCGTGTAACAGACTGTTGTAGTAAAATTATTCGGTACTTTCTTTTACTTTGTATATGACTGCAGTCAAATGTAAGTACCCTTTAATAAAGAATATTAAATTCGGCCCACAAGCAGCGAATGATATTCTAATTCGATAAATGAAAAATGAATAAAAGGGGATCCCAAAACGTGATATTTGCTCTGTACAGAATTTGAAATATACCAATGTGTTCCCTCCAGCTAGAGGGGATTAATTTGTTTATGTTTTTTAAAGTGTGGCTTTGAATTAAATTGAATTGGAAACAATTCCAGGTTTTGATTAGAAAAGAGATGTCCACGCAAGCGATATGCAATTTCTATTTTTTATTTATCTATCCAGTACCGCGACAGCTTGGATTATGACTACGCTGACTTGACGCGCAACTGCTTTCACAATTTGAACGTCAAGCCGGAGTATGGAAAGGCAATCATGTGGTATAATCATTTCATCGACGACGAAACAGGTTAATGCCTTTTGTAACTAGTACGTTAATAAGGTTTAAACTTAAAGCAAACAAGATTGAGCAGTGTTTTCGTGCAATATTATTATAATACCAGCTCTGTATTTTTGGTTGTATGTTTTTTGTTTGACTATCTATACACGTGGTAAAGCGATCGCAACTACTTTAGAACAATCCAACCCTTGTAATAAGTTGATTTTTATGATAGCGGAAAAAGTAACAGAAACAGAATGGCAAAAGTTTGAAATGAATCAGACTAAAAGTAATGAAGTTATGAATGTTTGAAATATGAGTTAACTTTTATGCGAATCTCATGTATTGGTAGTTCGGACAGTGGATTGTGACATAGGACGTGGATAACTCTCCCATTTGCCGTGAACAAAAATATCATTAATTTCTTTTTTTTCTCGTAAGATCCTTATCCGTTGGGGCACTACTCAAAAATATTATAGATAGCATATTATTATAAGTCCTCTAAAGAGAACAGACCCTACTGAGCAATTATTTTTTTCTTCATTTAAGCAATTTTATATGTTGGAACAGATGGAAAAGTAGTCCGGTACTACATTACATTGACATTACCGCTTAAGCCAATTGAAAGTGCACATACGTAAAGGGGTTACAACTTTCAACAATTCATAACTTTCTTATATTCAGTCAGATTTCATTTCTTTCTGTTAGAGTAGTCGTCTATTTGGGTTGGATCTCCCTTTAAGATAATTTTAATAGCCCCGTCCTTTACCTTTTTAAAAGGGGTGAACATTACAGTGACGTATATGATTTCTATGGTATAAACAGTGGAGTGTTTTTCTCGAAATTGGTTGCGATCTCGATCCGTCCGTCTGAACAAAAGAACATCTTGATATAAACTGTTCATAATTGCAATCCTAGAGCAGTGTTTGTCGCCTATGGCTTGGAAGGGGAATATCAAAGAGAATACCAATTTTGTTTTTACTCATTTAGCCTTTATAGATGAAAACGTAATGTTGTTGTTTTGTTTTGTTTTGTTTAGATTTTTGTTTTTAACGATATTTAAAAAAAAAAAACCTCTGTAAGACTCGATCATTCTGTTTGGAATAATGTATAACATAACATTTTTGTTAATATATATAATCTGCTTTAATAACTATCGCCCCCCCCCCCCTACTGTCAATGATTAGGTTGGATGTCGTCTCTAAATACTCATGCCCTTCATGGTGGATGTGACGTCACAAAAGGAACAAAATGGATCGCAAATAATTGGATCACCGTCGATGATGTGTATGAAAGGTAAGCGGAATTATTTATTAAAAGTTAAAAACAGTCTAACTTAAAATCGTATGAATTTGCATTAATTGGTAACTAGTATGCATCTATTGAGCGAAATAAGCTTTTTCATAACCATTTCTATTTTCTGAAGAGGAAGAAAACAAAAGTTGGGTCTCAAGTTATTCTGATCTCCCAATCCAAACCACGATTTGAAAGCTGGATGGAAGGAATCGCACGTTTACAAGGCGAAAGTAATTGATTTGTTATCTAAATCTAAAAACTTGAAATCATATGAAGTTGCATGAATGATAAACTGTAAAGAATATTTTGTAATAAGTATACACTCAGCAAAAAAAAAATAAGAATGGCACTTCACTGTTCAAAATGCTCATACAAACCGTCAACGTGGTCAATAAAACATTATATAATCAGCAATACAAATAGAGCTAAGGAATAAAATGTTAAGGAGGTCTGTACCCTAATTTGTCAGTTTCTTTCGATGATTATTTTTAGGCAAATGCAATTTCAGGCACGTGAATTTCAACCAAATGAAGATAATGAAACCGCAGAATCAGAAAACGAAACGGACATCAGTGAGAACGACAGTACGGAAAAATACGACAACGACAATGAAGCAGATGATGAAGAAATAGACGAAGGGAAGAAAGAGTCCAAAAACGATAACATCAATGATCTTACAAACGACAACGCAATCTCTACAGATGAAACACATGAGAGCACGCCATCTACTGACAAGACTGAAAGAGATGATCTTCTAAAAGGACACACTGAATTATAATTTCAATTGTCAGGTTATAGTCGTAGATTTTACCGTTAAACATTATCAAGCAAAACGATATAAGGGTGACTTGTGGTTCTGGTTCGTATGTACCTTATATATTTGGTTAATTTTGATTTTCTGTTCGCTTCCATTAACCCGCTTTTTTTTTCGTTGTTATGCTGTAATATGACAGCTACATTGTTATTTTGCACATGATTTGTATTTTTTGATTGCTTATTATGGAGTACATTTTCTTTGTTAATGGTATATGGTTCTTTTTTATTATGTGGTCACCTCCCTTTGAAGACTTTGAAGAAGATAGAGAATGTACAGTAGGATACTAGAATCACCTCGGGCTTTATTTCTAGAAAGTCTTCGCGATCTTGTTCCTTTTATTTGTAATTTGTCCTTCACCTTTATAAAGTTCACTAATTTTCCACAAAAGTGTTGTCATATACATAACACATTGCTTTGTTATACATCCATTACTGATAAACTATGTTATCATTAAATAATCAATAAACTTACCTCCACTATGATTTATGATCTTGTATTCCTGGGGGGCGTTTCATGAAACAATTTGTCGGTGGTTTTCACCGACTAATATCATGTTCACCAACAATTTAGTCAGCGCTGAATAAATTTGACCAATCACAGGCCTGGAAAATAGTCGGTGACAAAAGACTTGTCGGTGAACATGATATTAGTCGGTGAACATGATATTAGTCGGTGGCAACCACTGACTAATTGTTTCATGAAACGCCCCCCTGTTATTTCATAGTTCTACAACCATTTCAGAATAGACTTCAAACCGACCGTACCTTGACCCTTTGAGGGTAATGTAATGCTATAGTGGGTTCTTTTATAGTACTCATGTCTATCATACCAAGGACACGCCTGGCGCTTAAGGGCCCGGGAAAATGTTGAACTTTAAGATGCTCTACATGGTACATTCTAAGGCATTTCTGAATGGGTAAACTGAACATTTATGTGATTATTTTTCGGAAGGAAAGGGGGGCGTGCCCCCTCACGATCCCCCCCCCCCCCCCACGGAGCAGCCCCTGCTGTAGGCAGTTATGCTCGTTGTGTTGTCGGTATGCATGGTGTCGGTCGCGGTGGCATGAACGGGATAGTCTATCACTAAAAGACGAAGCTATAAAACTCGAAATTCATGTAATACTTCACCATTAATCATAAAGAAAATGGCGCCACCCTAGGAAAATATAATATTTTGACCATGACAATTCTCCCTCCTACCATCCTACCACTGCCCCATCTCTATTTGTTTTCCCCTCTCTCTCTCTCTCTCTCTCTCTCTACCTTTCTCTCTCTCTATTCCCCTTTCTCTCTCTCTCTCTCTCTCTCCCTCTCTCTCTCTCTCTCTCTCTACCTTTCTCTCTCTCTATTCCCCCTTTCTCTCTCTCTCTCTCTCCTCTCTCTCTCTCTCTCTCTCTCTACCTTTCTCTCTCTATCCCCCCTCTCTCTCTCTACCTTTCTCTCTCTCTATTCCTCTCTCTCTCTCTTTCTCTCTCTCTCTCTCTCTCTCTCTATCTCCCCCTCTCTCTCTCTCTCTCTCTCTCTATCTCCCTCTCTCTCTCTCTCAACCTCTCTCTCTCTCTCTCCTCTTACAATAATAATAAAAAAAGTCATGGGATGTTCCACCTCTCACTATGTTTATATCGCACCACCTGTCTATTCAATCTTTGAATATTTTGAATGTGTTAGATTCGTTGAAAATAGATAAAAAAGCAAAATTGACTGCAAACATCATACAATTATTCATCATATATATTTGTTCTCTGTAATAAATCAATATGATTTTAGCTAATTATGACTGATATTAAAATTGAATATTAAATTAAGCACGATCTTAATTTGATTATTTACAAACTTGAGTATGCTTATAAAAAATACGGAATATTTCATACAGGTAACAATATCAAGAGTTTGTCCAAAATACAAGTTTAAAATGCCTTTACTTTCTCGTAAGCATTGCATTCATTTTGGAGATTTTTCAAAGCTTAAAAATAAATATTTTATTTCATTGGTAATTTTCTAATCGAATTCTACACCATGATTTGAATCTTGTATTCTTCAAGAGAATTATCACAAGTAATTTCCTGAGCCATTCGACATTTTTTTCGAAGCTAAATGTATTTCATCAAGTTATTCGGAGAAAAAATATCAAAGGGGTTGGTTACACCGTCACCAACAGCCAATTATTACATTATATCCGTTGTATAGGGGGTATCACTTTGACCTTGTACAGAAAAAAACCATGGTATAAAGAAGGAATACTGGTGTAGTCATGGCGGTTCATGCCCCCTCTCCAAGTGCAAGGACTCCAGGGGAGTGTTTCACAAAGACTAAAATCGACTTTAAGTTGGACTTTATTATGGCAGGCCGTTCATGCCACTGTTTTCTCTCACCATTTACTGGCATTGGTCTCTCAAAGGACGTACAAATCATGGTCTCAAATCTACAGAATTTACATTTTTTGATAGTTTATCATTGAGGGAAAATATATATTATCTTCATATCATAATTGAAAGACCAATGGTGAGAGCAAAACAATGGCATGAACGGCCTGCCATAGTTAAGTCCAACTTAAAGTCGATTTCAGTCTTTGTGAAACACCCCCAGGAGTTATTAAAACAGTATTTTAGCCACCCGGTTCTACTTGGTTACATTATGGAAAGTGCAGCCTTGTCGGGCAAGTATAACACGAGAGACTAGATACAGTTGTGACCAGCTAAACCAATGCCCCGTAACACAACGGTTCGCAATCAATCATGCATAATGCATAATGGTAATGGCCAATCAAGATCATCGTTTCATTTACATATTGTTAATAAGGCTGACAATTAGCAAATCAGAATCGTTATGTCAAATTTGACAGTTATTATAGTATGTGAGTGAAAATTGCAGCAGTTAAGAGTTGTAGAGACATTGCCATTACAACAAAAAAATACAATTTTTTGTATTGTGACTACTAAAGAAGAAAAAATAATGAGCTCTTATCTACGTCTCGTCATACATTTGCGGAGTACATATAGGCTCTACTGGCTCTTGTTTGTCGTTCGCGTCTTTTCTCGAACTATATGATGAAATATTAGTGTTCTTCTCTAACTTCGAAACAGATTGTGATCTATCTGGAGTCGTTTCCGTTATTTTATGTGTCCTCAGGTTTGAATGGGATGGTGTTGCACGAAGAAATGGTCTCAGTTTGTCCATGTATCGTTGCTGTCTGGAATTAAAATAATAAACATGTTAAAGGCACGGGGAAATAGATTAAGAGAGAGAGAGAGAGAGAGAGAGAGAGAGGGGGAGAGACAGGGAGAGAGAGAGAGACAGAGAGAGAGAGAGAGAGAGAGAGAGGAGGGAGACAGGTAATTGAGAAAAAGATACATGGAGAGAAAAAGAAAAAGGCAGACAGGTAGAAAGAGTGAGGGAGATAGTGATCAGGTACAACAAAAAAACCAGACGTCATTTACATAAATTACGTCAATAATCAATCGATGGTTACCATGGTCACCATAGTCAAACAATAAGGTCATACAAACTTTTTGCAAAGATATATCCAGTGTCACGAGTTCGAATTATTATCCGAATATCTGTTTATGCTATAACGTAAGCTCATTATCAGCAATGAAAGCTTTTCATTTCCCGCTAACCTCGGAATTCTTGAATTATGGATCCTATTATGTTTTTATTTCCTTCCTGAATCCTGCCCACGGAATTGAAACAGTCATAATTCCCCAGGACCCCTGATCATGTTGAGACAAGGATAACATGTTCAAAGTATCAGTAAGCTTGGTATTTTGTATTTGATAAAAGTGCATTGAAGGGTTCATTGTCGTGGCATAGTTACCTGGCGTAGACGTCATCGACCGAGATCCAGTTGTTGGCTATCCATTTGACCCCGCGAATGACTTCACAACCTCCGTGCAGCGAGTGACCTCTACTTGTCCCTAGCCAACCTAGTTTTAGAAGATATATAGCGGACTGAAATGGGTTCTGATTGAAGGAGAAATTGGTAGTCGTGATGGAGCAAAGATAAAATGGACCTTTCTCCGATCGTTGTTATAATTGTGTGGTTTTTTTTTTTTTGGGGGGGGGGGGGGTCATTTAAAAAAATACACTACACTGGACACTGGACGTATTCATAGCTGAAGGCCTAAATCAAAGATTAATGCGGTTATCATAATCATAATAGGCTTATTTGATGATTTTTCGAAAGCATCAACATGTTCAATATACTTAGGTATACTTAGTATTCTTGAAGCGAGTTGGTAAACAAACGATTTCGTGTATAACGATAGTCATTTTTATATGACGTGGTTGCGTAATGATACATGAATTTTGATAAATATTATGCTAAAACTAGAAAAATAATGAGTTACAAATATATCGACGAAGTCTCAAAACTAGACCATTTGTCAATACAAATTGGAAGGTGATTTTTAAAGACCAGTCTATACCGTGGATACAGAAAAGTTAGGGAAGGGGCAGAAGGCCCCTTGCCCCTCTGAGTAGGGTGATGATGTTTATAGTTACCCGTTTCAGGATCTAGGTTATGGTTATACCACATGATTGCTTTTCCGCGCTCTGCCTTGACAACTAGACTGCTATCATGGCAATGATCAGTCAAGTCAGTGTAGTCATACTGGAGTTTCCTCTCATACTGAAGTTCAAAGGTCAAAGGGGGTAAGGGGAGGGTGGAAAGCAAATTTATTCGAAAATTATGTTATGGAGAAAAAAAAAGCGCGTTTGTAAATACAAACAAAATACGAGAGGGAATTTCGAAATTTTCTATAATATTTCTGTTTAGAATTTATTCCATAAAAATTGTGTTTTTTTGATTGAAATAAATGAAATGAATTGAATTGAATTGAATACAGTAATTATGATTATCAACGGAACACAGAAATGCCTATTGCAGTTATTACCGCATACACACTATTGTATTATTTTGCATATAATTTCAGTACGCTTTGATTCTTTTACACCGTTTACTACATAATTATCAAAGTCTGTGTTCTGATTTGTTTGCTTTATAGACATCCCAACCTCGGGTAGCTTAGCGAAATGAAATGGCACGGAAAGAAACATCCGGGACACAAAATGCACAATACTTAGTAATGTTTGTTAATTATAAGTTCTTTGTGTGAAATTATCTGCATGAAATTTCAGCCTCATCAAGATAGTATGTGTATTTGCTAGCTTCGTTTCCTAATGATATGACCTTATACCTCTAAGTGATTAACTAATAATTTTCAAAAATTAAACAGTTTTCGTTCCGGGCGTGTCAGTTCGTACCGCTACATTTAAAACCCCTCTAAAGTGTTGAGACTTTTAAATTCGCCAGAAATTTCGATTAAATTGTATCATAATGTGAAAGAGGGTGTCATTTAAGATACACTTCTGCGAAAATGTGTTTGAAGACAACTGTTGATAATTTGGGTTTTCTGTTGTATGCAGATAACCTAAATTTTGTTTTGAAAATCCTTGCAAAAACGTGTCTTAAATGACATTCTCGTTCACATCATCAAACAGTTTAAATGGAAATTTGCCATCAAGTTTTAGGGGCTCCCAACACTTTAAAGGGGCATTAATATTGTGAGTAAAATCTAAGAACAAGTACCTCTGGTGATTCTGGATCCATGTCGGCGAAAGGAAATGCCGTCTCTCCTCCTTGGTCTACGTCATTCAAATAGTACAGTATTGTTATCATCCTGTAAAAATGACAAAAAACAAATTGTATGAATAAATCAATACTCTCCCACGTTATCTTAATGATATGAAATTGCTAAAAAAAATAAAGACATGAGGCAGAATTGTACCCGACCTAGAGGTTTTCGAATAAATTATTACTTTTTAAGCGTCTCTCTTCTTCAAATCATCAAACAGTCAAACAAATTACGTTCTGCATATGATTGTTCAAGATTCGACGAGCGTTATTGTCATCGGTATGTCGTAATGGAGATAATAATTCCATACTGGACATGATTTTCCTGCTACTAGAATGCAGGCGAAATCTAATTTAAACTCATGCTTAGGTCAGCCTGTATCACATTTGCTATTGATCTTATAATCTTATAAGTGCTGTAATAATAATACTAATAATAATAATACTCAGTTTTTATATAGCGCTTATCAGAATCACTAAGCGCTTCCAAACTTGGAGATTATTACCCTGGCTTTGATAGAATGAAATAAAAATGTTTGGTCATTGAAGTTTAATTATTTACAGAAAACAATTTGACTGTGCACTGATTTATTTTCGAATGGATTCCCAGACCACTGTGCTAACTATTCACATTACCTCATGAATTCATATCATACAAGTATATATTTAGACATTAAAATTTTATATTTGGGTTATCTAGTTGCAAAGTTATAAGAAATTCAGGAAATGGCGGCCATTTTGGACGCCATCTTGGATTGCGCAAAACGCTCATGGAGGAATTATGAGGACTTTTAGTATGTTATTCTAGACATATTCCTGGACCTATCCTGAAAATTCAGCTTGTTATGAGCAATGCTCATGTTAAACTAATGCTCTTGGCCTACATTCATTAATCGAGTTGAGTTGGATCGAGGAAGGGGATTGTCTCACCCCGCGCCCAGACAAACCTGCAATATCGACAACGTTCTTCATGGAAGGGGGTCTCCTCTGATTGGTTGAAAGTAATAGCTGTATGTCTGCACTCCAAGTCTGACGTCACCTCACTACTGTCGAAGTGGGCGTGGTAATGCCCTCCTGGGCGGTACCGCACTACCTGAAAGAGGAGGGGTGTTGGAGTTAAGCCAATATTATACAGATTTTATCGAGTTTTGAATAGGGCAACTCTGAATAAATACTTATATACATCTTAATACTATCGTAATGCATAGGACTGGATGTGACTCACTTAGAAGTGGTCATGTTAAGCCCACCGCACACTACACGATCGTCATGTGATCTGATCTTCGAAGAAATTGCCATTGTATTAGATAGGAAATATAATAAAACACCATCTTCCTGATTTAGCTTCTAGATAATGGTAAGAATACTAACAACCGGAATTGAAATGCACTGAACTCTTCCAGACAGACTTCCAGGTGGATTTAAGAAAGCATCAAATCTCTTGAAATTTACATTTTCTTAAATATATAACTATTAAGATGTTCGGTCATTAAGATATTACGTGATTGAATGTTCGTATCAAAGTTCTATTGCAATTTCTTCTAAAATCAGATCGTAGTTGGATCGTATAGTGGAAGTTTGGCTGTAGGATCACTGCCTTAAGAGTTGAATACGCCCGAGATTTGTTCATTACTCTTGATATTTCTCTAAAGGACTTATACCAAAAATAGCCTCCCACGCAAAAAACACCCTTTTGGCATGTATTGGACATTTCAATAATACTTTCTTTTTTTCAATCTGATTTATGGATAAACACCGAGTATTTAACAGGTTCTTTTGAAACCGCGCGTACGGTTCAAATTCCAGTTGATACATCTGACCCTTGATAATTATTTCAAGCCTCGGATTTCCCCGACTACTCCCTTTTGAAAATAAACAAAGAATGAACTATATCTCTTCTTCTCCATTTCTATGACGTGATAGGTTACATAGTGCAGGCCTTTATCATCCATCTTTCTTGTGAAAATATTTTCGATTTCATTTTGACGTTTCAAATTGAACAAGGCATGAAGACCATTCAGTGAATGAAATGAATCTGATTGTAACCGCACTCGACGGGTAGATTTGGGGGAAAATAAATTCCGAGATACTAATATTGTATTTTTTATGTTGTTTTATTACGAACAGCTTGATTTTCTTCTTCTAAAAAAACAAATGCGACATCGCACCAAAGGCCTGTCGCATTCCTGACATTTCATCAAACCAATTTCAGCCGAATTCTAGACTGGGGAATATTTTCTTCCTTTCTTTGTTCCGGCTGAGAATTACATTATTTTGATTTTCCTTCAAAATTTCTTGTAGCTCGAACTGATTCCAATGTAAACTTTAGGTAGGAAATGGAGCATTGTCCTTCACAACAAAATCAGAATCGCTATGGCTGTGAGCCGAAAGGAACCGAGTAATAATGATAATGACTGGGTGTGGTTATTCTATTTAGCAAAAGTATAATGGAACAAAATGATACAAGGTGCAAAAGGTCCAACACGCTATTAAAGTAACGACGTCATAATTACGGTCAACAAACGGTACCCGAATATGATCAGATGATGTGATTCCTGTCACAGTATAGGTCACTTAAAGAATATTGGGACACCCACCCCTTCCCCAATCGATCCCCATGCTAATTAGACTAACAATTTGTTGTTTTCATCATAATTGAAACTGTGTCAATTATGATGAAAATAACAAATTTTGAATCACAAACATACTTTGATTTAAAGCATACAAGTATATTTATGTAGGAATAACGCATATATGAATATGGGAACGTGTAGATATGCCGAAAACGTAGAAAATATAAAGAAAAGAAAGATGTTGATTAATTGGCAATTAAGTCGGCTAATAATTAGTAGCTTTCTGACTCGCCAATATATTATATAAGCATGGAAATTCATGCTATAATTTCAAAAGAGTTAACAATAATAGGTAGCGATAGCGACAAGCAATCAACTGGCCCGTATTCGACTGAATCTTAAACCCGACGCTGGGCTTGAGCTTCTTTTTCCAAATCGGATACTAAGAATTTCTTATGTTAAAGGGGAAGTACACCCTGATTTAAAGTTGGTTTTGGTAGAAGCAGAAAATGCGACAAACGGGTCGGTGAAAATTTGAGCATCAACCAATTAAAAAATCAGTAATTATTTGTTTAAAGTTGCAATCAATCAAGCACACATTGGTAACCCTGTGACGTGTTTTGCGAGCTTCCCTCCCATTTCCCCTATATTCATATACCTTATTTCTCAATATTATATATTTTTCCTTTAAAAAAAATTCAATCACACTTGCACCCTAAATATAATTATTGCTAATATATTTGTATACAACCCCTGTATGAAACAAATCTACTCCGACATTAATAACTAAGAAAATTAAAGTTTATCAAATTTTCTGTACAGAGCAAATTTGTGAGGAGCACGCATGATAAGTAACAGTGTAATACCAATTTGTGTTTCGCTGATGACAACTTCAAAAATGCATAATTTTCTTATTTTTAATCGGATTTTGCTTTCACTAACATGTTTCTCTCATTTATCAGGGTGGACCTCCTCTTTAAACGTGATTTCTAGACACAGGGTCGGGTTGAATTGAATTAATCAGAATACGGACCGGTTATATCGGTGATATGTACTTTACTATCTTCTGATTCTTCTCAAATAAATGTGTATTACTGTGTGGGCGGCATAATGGATACTTATGTGACACTAACTTGCATCGATTCACTCGTCTGCACAATTTCTGGAGAAAGTCTTGTAAGTGCTATGATCCTGAACATCGTCGTATGAAAAAAGAGGGAAAGAGGGCCACGACAGAAAAAAATCGGAGAGAGTAAAAATACAGAAAGAGAGGCAGAGAGGAGCGAGAGGGTTGTAGTAAGGGGAGTATGACAGAGAGAGAGAGAGAGAGAGAGAGAGAGAGAGAGAGAGAGAGAGAGAGAGAGAGAGTGGGGTAGGAGGGGTAGGAGGGGGTGGAGAGACAGACAGAGGAAGAAGGAGAGAGCGGACGAAAAGGAAAAAGATAAAGAGGGTTTGAGGAAAAAAGTGAATGCAGAGTAAAAACATTAAAAACGTGCTAGAAATAGGATGAAATTTTCGTAAGTATAATTATTTTTACAATGTTTCACATTAACATGATTAATATACATAAAATATACTCATGACTTGTCTTCAACGGTAGCTGTTTGTGCTAGCATTTTTGTATACAGAAAACACATCACAAAGCAAAAACAAACAAAAAAAGACCCCCCCCCAAAAAAAAAACAACAACAAACAAAACAAACAAACAAAACAACAAACAACAACAACAACAACAACAACAACAACTAAAAAAACCTAAGGAAATATTCATATCTTTGGACAACTTCTATTGAAATAGATGTACAGGAAAACAACGTTTTACAAAATCAAAAGACGATTTCTGTTGGCAAGATATGATTTTAATCTACCAAACAATAGTGTTTTGAAATAACCGTATTGTCCATTTCTTGAAATTCTTCGAGATCATGACATATTCATGTGGTTATATATTTTAAAAAATATATACATACTTGACTATTAACATGATTGGTCATGGCTTACTTCGAATCATCTGGTCATCACGTCGGGTCGGGTGGTCGCGTTACCCGACCTTTTGTGAAAACTTGCCCTTTTATTCACGAAATGTCGGGGGTAACGTCTGTGAAATAAACCCCTTTTATATCTACACATGATCTGGTCCAAATTACCCGACACTTTGTGAAAACTATACGGCAAATCTACGAAAGATCGCGTCATCTTCTGTGTTCGATTCACGAAAGGTCGTGTAACGGTACCACCCGAACGGACGCGATGATCCAATGATTCGCAGTAAACCATTGGTTATAATTATTAAGTATACCTGTTTTGAATCTTTTGTAGAGGATGTCCATTGACGGTATTTGAGCTTATCCAAGTTTGATCACTGACTCTCGTCCTCCCTTTCCATTTCTTCACCATCCTCCCTTCCTCCCCTTCTCTCCTCCATCTATCCAACCATTGTCGGATATCCTCGGCAACTCCCGGCACCTCCGATATATGCCACATTTCCTTCGCGTCGAACCGAGCGTCCGAATCGTAGTCGAGCTCTAGATCCCCCATCATTAAATCCAACATGGCGGCTGTCACGTTCTGCCGACGGAGATCAGGAAGACATCGTAAAGCCTCGTCCTGATCGAGCAGGAAATCATTGTCGGTATCGCAAGGTGCTATCTGTTCCTTCCAAAATGTCTCATTGTAGCCGTGTACATGAGCGTGTGACATCAACGAGTGCCCATCATTGTTTGATAGAGAGCCCTTAAAGGCAGTTTTACTGGTTTCAAGTCCGCTCTCCGAAGCTACTCTTTTAATGTAGTTACATTCTCCGTGAGTTAAAAAGTTTGGTATTTCTGAAAAGAAACAGTATGAAAATCATAACTGATATTTACATTCCCCTTGGGTTAATAGCAGAAAAAGTAAAACAATATACGGAGCAAAACAAACCAAAAACAATAGATAAGACTGTGAATCCAGTCCAAACGGCAGCAAAGACTTTCGGGAAATCAACCTCGGGCAATGTAGATAGCATCTTGCGTCACCTTCTAATACCAATGACGTATTACGCAATCCGAATAATATTTCTTCGGGATATGCATGAGTATATCAGAATTGCCTTTCTGTCAGTTGATTTCTCGAAAGTCTGTGCAATCGTGTTATAAAAACAGTACATATTTTTTAGGAACAGCAAGGTAGAGGTGATCTGGGATTACACTCTAAGCCTTGGGCAGTTCAGGGTTCACGAGACAGACATCAAGCTATAGTATTGCATGTCTCAAAAATAGTCATAAGATATTTAACATGAAACGTACATCATGTACATTTACTTGGCATTGTCTAAATAAAGGTCATTCGATTCAAAAGACCGAACATAGAAGATTGCTGAATTTATAGTTCCTATCTAAATCTTGATTGATTCAAGATGAACTATTTTGACTACAGATGCCAACTATAATCGGGGCTGGAAATGAACTTGACAATGTAAAGTGTTCGCATCATATACTTCCATGGAAGAAGTGTGTACTATTGTAGTCAATCTGTCAGATACCCCTCTCTCACTGTTATGGCTTGTTATACTTAAGTGGTCAAATCAAATAGACAGGCTGAGGAAAAACATGTTTTTTAGGTCGAGAATTGACATTCTCCAGTTTCCATTTTGAATACTTTCGGTTCTATATAATCAGGGTTAATTCATACCACTTTATCGAATAATGTATACTCTTCGCTGTCATTTCTAAGTCGAATTCTTGTCCCCTTGCCTGCGCTCCTCCCCGCCCCTCTCTCTCTCTCTTTCTCTTTCCCTCTCTCCCTCTCTCCCTCTCTCTCTTTCTCACTCTCCCTCCAGCTCTCCTTTTCTATCTCTCCTTCTCTCTGTCTCTCTTTCTATTCGTCTTTATTATTTCTCCTTGTTGTATAGTTTATTAGTTTATCACTCGTTTTTTCTTAATTTTTTTAAATAATGATTAATTTTGTATTTGTTTTGCATTTCGTGGTAATTTTCGTTCTCTTCTATTCTGCTGCATCTCTCCCACGCACTATATTGTTCTCGTCTCATGAGATCTCCCTTTCTATTTCACCATTCCCACTCCCGAGTCTGTATCTTCAAATACTTACAATTTTTGTTATAATTATGTTGTAATTTGCATTTTTTTTGTAGCTGAACAAAGAAATCAAACTGCCAAAAATTGCAGGTGACTTATATTTCAATTTAATAACAGAAAAACATGTGTTGGTTATTTCACCACTGTTGTTTAATTAGTTTGTTTTATTGTTTATTTAATTCATTTATTACTTTGGGTGGGGTCAGAATATACATCATTATCAAGTTTATACCTTTATTCTTCCATCAACACCAAGCTGATATTATTGTCACACCGTAGCAAATAATATCATTACATATCACCCTCAATATTCCCTTACTCGAACCGAGGTAACACCATGTGGGCATGATCGAGTTCGAATTAGGACGAAAAGTTAAATTCTAACAAATGTCCACTAGAAGGCCAAATACATATACGTCGTATTTCCCTACCAAAATATATTAAGGAAAAAAAACACGTTTGAATTACTAAATAATGACAAAATATTGTATGTCGCTCATCAGTAGTCCCATACTCGCATATGCAGATGGTTTGGATTTTTTTATTTCCGTTCTTTTTTCTGCTTCTTAGGCATACGGCATCTGAAATTGGGTGGGGGTAAGTTAATATAAGTTTAATGACATTGTTTGCAGGTTAATTTAAATGACCTGCTTTTAATACTGCACGATAAAAATACAATCATATTCATAGTGCATTCTCGAGCTATTCTCACTTGAGATTTGATTCCATACCAGAGCTCAAGCTTACACCTGTTCTGAGCGGATTGACGACCTTTCAAGTTTGAAAGTTCAATTGTAATCACTACGGAATACATTCCATTCATGTCCATTAAATACAAAGTTAAGTGTTGATCATCCGACTATATTGTGACGGAAAAAATAAAGGTTACTATATGAATTTATATTTACTGTGACGTTTGGTATGACCAAAATTACAAAGTCGAAATTGACTCAAATTTTTGGGAAAAATGAAGTCTATATTCCAAATAGAAACGGGTATAAAGCTTAATATCAAAGGATAACATTGGTTTGCAGCTCTCCGTGATATTATGATGATCTGGGGATAAATGCTCCGGGCTTTATTTAGAGTCATGGTAACGATCAAAGTAGAGCAATTTGGTTCAAGGTAAGGGTTTAAGGTTGGGATTAACGTTATGTACAGCGTACGGTCATGGCCTGAAGTCAAGAATTCGGTTGAATGCTCCCCAGGGAGTGGAGAATGTACATGCATTGTGTGCGGTTAAGCCTGAATCCGATCGTGACCGGGGTAATAATATCGCTTAGACACATTGTTTTATCGATGTATTGGGCGCTATATAAAAGCGGAATATTATTATTATTATTATTATTATTATTTAGGATATTACTTATTAGCCGCAGAGCAATTGTCACCTGAGCATGTTATGTTTGCATGTACCTTTTCTAATATTCTAGAAGATTAAGGAATGTCTATATTTTAACAGAGGTCAGGGTTGGACGAAGCTTAGACCCATTTCCGATTGAACTTGCTAAGGAGAATGAAGTGGGTCATGCTAACGCCTAAGCTTTACAACAAGTTTTCCAAAGTAGATCAAAGAAAACCAAATAGTAGTAGATCAGATGCGGTTCAATTATGTTGAGTAAAAATTAAAAGTTTGCATATATAGCACTGTTTGTGTTATTCAATAATGAGTGTAATATTCCTGGTATAGTGGTATAACTAAATATGATTTGGCCAGAAGACTTTATTTTCTTCAAATTTACGCGTAGAAGTTTCATCATAGAAAGTGATAATCCTTTTGATGGGTTATTCTGTAAACAAAAGAAAGTGTATTTCACTGGATATTTATTTCCCAATGTAGATATATTTTCATTTGGCGAATCATATCAAATCAAATCAAATCAAATCAAATCAAATCAAATCAAATCAAACCAAATAAGCGTTGTGACAGTACTCACCAAATATGGGTGGATGCATTGCGAGTGTTTTCATCTGCACGTATCTGCCCGGCTCAACCTCTACGAATCGCACATGACCAATCTAACAGTCAAAGAAAGATAATATACAATGGGTTTTGTTATGACTCCATATTAAAGATGTTTGTTACTTGTTACTTTAGATTCGCTCTTCGTCAAAATTACTTTCACCTTTCTATTAAATAAAAATGCATTATTATTTAGAACTTTATAGAAAATACGGATTGGATATCACCATATAGGCCTATCTATATTCTTACGGCTTCTTTTTGAGTATTGTCGAGTTCCTAATTCAAAGATTTAAAAAAATGACATCAACTGCAAATCCACAACAGCACATACTGTGTGACTTACTTCGAGTAATTGGGGTGTTATTAACTTTCATACTGCTTCATTTAGCAATACAGTGATCGTGGAATGCATATATATCTGTCAGCGACAATAATACATCGGATAGATCTCTCTTTAACTTACAGTCACTCACAATTATTATAAACACTGTCGGCTTCTAAATGTTTACCAAGCCGATAATGCCGTGCTCAGTGGCGTACTGATAATGAGGGGGCGACATTTTTTTATAGGCCTTCATAATTATATGGGGGTTGAACCCTGTGGTGGATACGCCATTTTATACGGATAACAATTGTAATTATATATTATTTCGTAGCTCCTTTCAAAAAAAATCTTAACACAGTTGATATTTATGTTTTGTTTTTGTGAACATTTTCTGCAAACAAAATCATAATCATGACAGATTTATTAAGGGGGCAGGTATCTTATAAAGCAAGATCGCAGCTCAAGGGCTAAATTACATTATACTTACATCATACACAGAAAATACTGAGAAAAATACAATGTGATATACAATTTCATACACATCCAAATTTACAAAAAGGCAAAAATACACCTTGATGAATGGCAAGATCGGTTGGTATTCCATGTTCATTGATAATGTTGTCACAGCTGAGGGTGACCTTTGAACTACACCGTGTGTTACATGAGGACAGTGCCACTGATAAGAGAGTATAATTCCAAAAGGAACTAAATCCATTTTTGAAGCTTCAGAGAAAAAGATTGTTTACCAGATTGTGTATACAAGCGTCTATGGAAAAGTGATATTAGAAGGTGCATTTTTTCATAATTGCTACCAAAATGTAGGTACATAATTGTGTTGAAAGACGGGTACTTAAATGGGCAATGTTCTTAAATCGATAACTCAATTTTCATCAAAAGTGGATTTAGCTCCTTCTGGAATTAAGCTCTTATATCATAACGAAGATGATTGGAATCATCAGACAACAAGGACATTAGGTTGGAGGGTTAAATACAAGGGATGATGCCTTGCAGGGGAAAGATGATTCAAGGAAGAGAGGTGAACAGAAGCTACCTTGCCATCTACTTCGACAGACAATATGATTTAGCAACTATCATATCGCAGACATGGATAAGGCCAGGAAAATGATTGATATATAAATAAAGGGATAGATACAATAGATAAGCTTTGATATATCACATTATCAAAAAACATAAATCGGCACAAATCAATTTTTCACATACAAAACTTGGTAACGGTATGAATAATTTTGTTGTTTATTGTACATACTTTTACCAAGACGGACAGACAGACAGACATGAAAATTAGTACACGATTAGTATACAGGAATAGTACAGGATGTACATTGGCCAACTTTAAATATACATGTATATAGATTATGTACAGATGTTTCTATGTCTGCATAGCTCCGTATATATTTAGAGAGAGAGAGAGAGAGGAGAGAGATGTAGAAAGTTCGAGGCGAGGAGGGAGAGGAGAAGATAGAGAGAGAGGTGTGGGGAGAGGGATATATTGAGAAGAGAGAGAGAGAGAGAGGGAGGGAGAGCGAGAGATAGAGAGAGAGAGAGAGAGAGAGAGCTTGGGCTTGAGCGAGATAGAGATTAATCAGAAATAAAGTATATAGAAATTACATTACGTTCGTACAGATGAAAAGAGAGAGACTGACAGGTTTAATTATACACACACATAATATGAGACTGTTAGGATGAAAAAAACAACAATATACAAGTATAAATTGTATCCATTTCATACATAATGATAAATCTATACCAAAGCGCTTGATTTTATTAACATGACGAGATAATTTATACTCACTTTAACAGGATGATACTGAAATAATTCCATCCTCTCCGGAACATCTCCCATTGGGCTATAATTATGTCCTTCCGTTGAGCAAACATCGTCACACGACAGCACATGATTCAAGAAGAATACTCCTGAAAACAATGTCAAAATTAGTTCAGCGTTCAATTCCATGGTTATGGTATCTAATTGAAACAATGCATTTAAAGATAACTCAGTTTAACACGAGTTTGTATCTGTGAAGAGTACTATGTCGTCCGGGTTACTCATCTAGTATAGCTAGGCATTCCAGGTGACAAAATGCTTCTGAAGATAGGAGGAGTTTGCGAACAAAAAAATACATCGTCGAAACGCGTATTCCAGTTTATTCCGAAATGATGATCAGGATGGATTCCACAGATCTAGGATGGGGCGGAGATGTCAATTCGATGATTTGAAATGTTGCCAACAGCAGGTGGGCTTTTGTTGACGTTTGCTGAAAATGAATATAAACACGGCCTACATATATTATTCCTCTGGTCTGGGGCGACTTCCCTATAAATGCTCTGACTGTTGGGAGCAGAGCGATCCAGAGAGAGTGAGAGACATAGCTGCGAGTGAAGAGAGCCAATTATTTTGAGCATGTCGATGAACATCCATCGGAGTGAGAGCTAGCTGAGGAGAGATGTGGAGGACGGGGAAACAACCAGGAAGCAGTGATAGAGAAAGAGAAAGAGAGAGAGAGGAGAGGGGGACAAGGGGAGAAGGTGGGGGGGGGGGGGGGGGAGCGCGAGGGACTAAAAAAAAGAAGAGACGAAAAGAAACAGTGCTATGTAGGAATAGAAGATGGAGACGATTTGAGAAGAGAGGCTTAGAGAGCAAACAGTAGAGATAGACAAGGGAGACAGGAAGAGACAACAAATTAGTAACATATGAGGAAAATCATAATTAGTGGCAGAAAGGTAGAGAAAGAGAGACGGAGAGAGAGAGAGAGAGAGAGAGAGAGAGAGAGAGAGAGAGAGAGAGAGAGAGAGAGAGAGGGCACCGTAGAGAGAGGGGAGGAGAACTAAAAGAAAAAGAGAAATGTGGCAAGGGTCAAACAGAGAGAGAGAGAGAAAGGAAGAGACAGTCATCAGAGAATGTGAGGGAGTAAATGCCTCAACTTGACTTTGACAGGCGAAGCGTACAGCTGTGTACTTGTAATTTATTTTCCGTTCGTCTACCCCCCCCCCCCCCTCCCCTCATGCAACCGCCCCCTCCACTCGTTGACCATCTATATAAGCATTGACAGATTCTAGACCAATGACAATACCAGATATAAAACAGTATACTGCTGTGTCATCCATGTATATTATCATATGCCTTGACAGTTGTGCCCTTTCATTTTTAGAATTTGTTTTCAGTCGACACTATTACAGGGTCTTCTTTAAATTATTCGATAAGTACTGAAATATGTGGGCTACACCTGCAGAGCATGCGAAGCGGGGAACAAAAAACATGCGAAAATAATTACTATTCGAATCATATCTGCAACCAGAGGTTATATTTCCAGTGTGTGCTTGTTTGTTTGCTTGCTTGTTAATTTTTTTAATCTGTTTTTCTTTTCTTCTTTGTCGTCTTCTTCTTCTTTCTCTTCTCCTCCTCCTCGACCCTTCTCCTCCTCTTTCTCCTTCTCCTCTCCTACCTCCTTATCCTTCGTCCTCCTTTGCAAAGCCCAAAAATTCAACGGTAAATATGAAAGTAGTATTCGAGTTCATCAGACATCTAACACCTCCTCGACGAGTGTGATCTAGGCCAGAGGCTTGCACTTTTGTATCGTGATCCAAGCCGCATCACAGCATGCATCTATGATTCATATCATACTGCTAATGCTCAATGGGATACGACACATTATCTTTTGTTGATGCCATGTTTGTGGTGCCTAAAGGCAGGATAAAAACTATTTGATAGAAAGTTGACTTTGTTCTAGAGAGAAGGGCCTCCAACGGAGCCAAAAGAATGGGCGGGGTCGTAACCAAAAAATGTATCATGATTACAAAAGTAGGTTAATGCGACTCCCGAGTGAAAAAGAGCATGGAATGAGATGGAAACGAGCAACAAAAGGGAAAATCTAAATCAAAGTCGGTGAATACTTTGAACTGTTATTGTGCAGTAAATTTCTATGCTCACGAAACTATTTGCTTCATTAGTTTCATTCTTACTACTCTCCCTCTCGTCTCATTTCACCTCCGCCATCTTGTTTATCTCTTTGTCATTTCACTTCTCATCACTCCACATCTCCGCTCCCTCCCCTCCCTCTCCCCCTCCCTGTCTCTCTCGTCTCGCTCTCCCTCCTCATCTCTCTCTCCTTCCCCTCTCTTTTTGTATTTGTTTATATATCTCTCTTTTTTTTCTCTCTCTCTCTTTCCCACTTCCTCCAACCTCTCTCTCCCTCTCTCTCTCTCTCTCTCTCTCTCTCCCTCTCTCTCTTCCTCACTTGCTTTCTACTTCTCTGAACCTTTGTTTTCTCCATCCAAACCTTTTCCCCCTTTATCTTCATTCATCTCGTGCTTCATCTCCTTTCATATTCTTTATTCAAAGCTGTTTTCGTTTATTATATTTCAATGTTAATGAAAAAATGTCTTCAACTTAACCGGACCCCTACCAAGCAGCTCGTATCGGTATAGGACCTAAGACCGCAACGAGAACTCATTTATTAGGCCCCTCACTGAGTTCCGTCCCTAGAATATTATTCTTCCAGCACCGAAACCAATCCTATTTACGATTTGGTTACATCTTTGTGTTGCTTCATAAATAAATTTCGTCTTATTAAGCGTAACCAAAATCAAAACCCCGTCTACGTATGAAATGATTAACATGAAACACCGCAAAAATATTAAATTAATCGCAACTTTAAAAAGATCACATGCAGGTTCTAGACACCAAAAGGTTTAACATAAAGCAATTCTGTCATGAAGATATCCGGTACATAATGACTTTGTTGTTAGTGGTGGTGGTGATGGGGTTGTTTTGCTTGTTCAGTTGTTTTTCTTGTCGCAATTTTTTAGTCATTTCATTTCTGGAAGTCGTTTCCCCAACGAAAAAAATAAAGTCATAAAACAAACCATAATTGGACAAAGGAATGCTCAATATCATAAACCGTGCAAGATAATTGAATTGATGTTGATCGACAGACTTGTTTAAAACTACATATTTTTAAATATTTTTAAATTTATCGAAAAAACTATCGCGAAATTCAGAGAGAACATAATTATAAGTCAGAACAATTTTTCCTCGTTTAAGAATCTCCGTCTTACAATATAAAAAATATATTCAAATTATAAAATAGTGTCAAGTATCATCTTGATCATAAAAGTGTTGTCATGTGGGGAAAAAATGCGGATATACTGCGTATAAACTGGTGGGAATAACTTTTTCCAGGCAATAATCATATACGATTTATTTAGTAAAACATATTGAAGTATGTTTTATGGTATTTTTTTTACCTGTTTTGGTGGACGAAATCAGAAGATAAAGTGAAGAAGAAAAAAGAAGGTCATAGTATAATTGAAACCAAAAACACAGTCGATGCATCACTGACTTGTATCTCGCGCTTTTCGTGGTCCTAGCAACTCGGCACGTAAGCCTTTCAGATTTGTATAAGTTTTCCTTTTCTCTCTCAGGCACTGTTACGAACTAGTTCCTTTCTACTTTATGTTCTTTCATAGATAAACAGATGTACTGTACAAACAATCAGAGGTACATACATGCATCGCGTTTGACCTTGTAAACAGTGGGATGCACTCTCATACATCAAGCCATTTATCACTATGAATTATTGTCAACTTATGAGACATTAAACCAAACATCACGATGAATTATTTTCAGGTTCAGAGATGATGCATTTGACTTGGCAATGTTTGTGTTGCATGATGTGTATTGCTCTAGTCTATTCAGACATAGAGCTTAAACAACAGATTGGTAGAGATGCGGAGGAGGAGGAGGAGGAGAATGAGGAGGAGGAGGAGGAGAAGGAGAAAGAGGAGGAGGAGGAGGAGGAGTAGGAGGAGGAGGAGAAGGAGAAGGAGGAGGAGGAGGAGGAGAAGGAGGAGGAGGAGAAGGAGAAAGAGGAGGAGGAGGAGGAGGAGAAGGAGAAGGAGGAGGAGGAGGAGGAGGAGGAGGAGGAGGAGGAGGAGGAGGAGGAGTAGGAGGAGGAGGAGAAGGAGGAGAAGGAGGAGGAGGAGGAGGAGGAGGAGGAGTAGGAGGAGGAGAAGGAGGAGAAGGAGAAAGAGGAGGAGGAGAAAGAGGAGGAGGAGGAGGAGGAGGAGGGGAAGGAGGAGGAGGAGGAGGAGGAGGAGGAGGGGAAGGAGGAGGAGGAGGAGGAAAAGTAGGAGGAGGAGGAGGAGGAGGAGGAGGAGGAGGAGGAGGAGGAGGGGTTAGTTAGTATAAAATTTGTCATTTCAAAGTGAAAAAAATATAAGAAAATAGAAGCGGGTGCCCTGTTTGGGAAATTGCACCGTTCAATTTTCAAAGACGAAGTGGTATATTATTTTTGTGAGTAGCAAGCACAATAATGACTCACATATTAACTCGAGCTCGAAGGGTAGATCAACCGCAAGTCAAGTTCAGATAATATTGACGGTCAAGGCTTTCGAGTCGAGGTATTTGCTCCAGTCATGCGAGGGAGGCCTCAGCGTTTTATAGTCCTTACAATTTTTGTTTTTCCTAGTTGCACATGTTTTGCTACTGATATGACAAGAGAAGAAACTACTGCCCCCCTATTTCTTTAGAATTTATCCGAGAGACTTACTATTCGACTATAGGCCCATAATTCTTTATGAATTCGACTCGGCAATGACATGACCCTCTTCAATAGGATGATAACACCAATAAACCCATGAAAATAAAGTATCCTTCACATGGGGAGCAGAGATACTCCTCTCCCCCAGAGTTCCCCTACCCCGGCATTTGCAGGCCCATGCGATCTTACTACATGTATTACTGGTTATAAATGTATTTCGTTACTGTTTACATTACTTGTTTTGCTTTGCTTTATAATGTAGTTTATAATTATTGTAGGGATGCCTCGGATTACAGGGAAGTATAGCTCAGCTTTTTAATTCCAGTCAAGGCCACTCCCGCCCAAATAATCGTTCCAATTAAATCTCAGCCTTGGGCTTAGTGAAATATAACGTGACTCGAGCAAAATAAAAATTGTCGGATCATAATATTTTCGTATCATTGAAATCTACCATTTACTATTCACTCTGAGGATTCTTTTTTAATCCCCCAGATCTCGAGAATAAGGCAACATAATCATAACTTATTATTATATTAAATGTCTTGTTATCTTTGAAGAGCACCAGAAATGGGTAATGGAATCGAATCTCCTTGATAAGTATCTTTTATCATCCTGATAGGAAACATCTCCTACTAATAACAGGATCCTTCACAAACTATGATGGAAATGACATTGGGGAAATTTTCCGGAGAACAACGTTGCACTATTTTGATTGGTGAGTGATTTCATTTGGCTTGTTATTGTGTCCGTTTGTTTTTGTTTTGTTAGTTTTTAGTCGGAGGTCCTTCTTCGCCAAATGAGTTTGGTTGCAGCTCTGATCGAACAGCTGAGTCCGCGAAATAGATACAATAATATTGGTAGTCCTGGATTTACATGTATTTGACCAAAACAAATTATCAGTACTTCCGTTGGAAGAGGTGTATGGTGTTGACCGATCTCTCTCTCCCTCTTTCACACACACACACACACTCTCTCTCTCTCTCTCTCTCTCTCTCTCTCTCTATCTCTCTCTCTCCCCTCTCTCTCCCTCTCTCTCTCTCTCCCTCTCTCTCTCTCTCGCTCTCTCTCTCTCTCTCTCTCTCTCTCGCTCCACCTATCTAAGCATAATTATATAATATCTATGTTTCTATTAGTTGCGTTTATCACTCTCTCCATATACATCTATATGATATGATTTTATATATTTCCATTTATTATTTCTACCTCTCGCTCCGTATAGGCCTATCTATCTATTGTCTATTATCTACAGTTAACAATATTATAATTCACACCCCTTATAAATGTTATGTTGCTTTTTGTGTTCATAACTCAAGAATGAAAGATGGACTGTTTGAATTCAGGGCCTTTGTTAAACACTCACCGAGTCTATTTAATTTGTTCACATACTTGAAAAATACATACAACTTGGATAGCCTATGGTATGAATAAATTCGTCGCTGTTTTCACGAAGTGACGGTAGTGAAAAAAAATTGCATTCACTTTGCGTTACGATTTTCCTCACTACCGTCACTTCGTGAAAACAAGGACGAATTATTGGTTATTACTTCATCTACTTTTAACTACCTAACTAACTCTCCTTGATGACAGTATTATTTTGAGGAATAGGCCTCGATCCATTTTTCTAAAGGAAGTTATTTGCATCACATGATTTCACAACGAAATAATATCAAACTTCTATATTATACCTTGGGAGTCGGGACCAAAATTTATCACCGCAATGCGAATGGGTTCTAGGACAATAAATTACCCCCTTTGCCGTTGGGCGATCACCCCCTGGAAAATTACCCCCCCCCCGAAAAACTACTCCCAAGGGCAATTACCCCCCCCCCCCGAGGATAATTACCCTACGAAAAAGAAAAAAAAAAATCTGCTTTAATTAAAACCAACTTATTATCGGGCTGGACTTTCCCCTTTAACGGACAGGGGGGGGGGGGGTGTAATTGACCTCGGGTGGTAAATTTCTGGGGGTAATTGTCCCCGGGGGGGGGGGGGTAATTTTCCGGGGGATAATTGTTCTTGGGGGCAAGGGCGTATCCAGGATGGGGAGGTGTTCTTTTGCTCACCTCGTGAGAAAATATAAAGCCGCGAATCAGCCAGTCAGTGAATAGGGGGGGGGGGGCGTAGTAAGGAGCACTTTTTTAAACTCGTGAGAAAATATTTAGCGGAGGAATCAGCTAGCCGGTGAATAGAAAAAGCGGGAGGGGAGGAGGTGTTCTTTTGCTCACGTCGTGAGAAAATATATAGCCGCGAATCAGCCAGTCAGTGAATAGGGGGGGGGGGGGGGGCGTAGTAAGGAGCACTTTTTTAAAAACCCCAATTCGTGAGAAAATATTTAGCGGAGGAATCAGCTAGCCGGTGAATAGAAAAAGCGGGAGGGGAGGAGGGGGGGGGGGGGGTAAGCACCAAAAAATAAAATTGCATTTGAACACCAACTCCCCCCCCCCCCCCCCCCCCTCCCTAACTATACGCCCTTTAGTGGGGGGTAATTGTCCGCGGAGGTGCTTGCCCTTGTTTGTCCTGGGGGAAGGGGTTAATTATCCACGTGTAATTTTCCGTTGGGGGGGGGGGGGGGAGCAGCAGTTTTCCGGGGGTGATAACCCAGGGGGTAATTGTTCCGATATGAGACAAACCCACATCTTCCATGCGATGATGGTCTGATAATTATAGACTACTTTTATACAACAAACTGCGCATGCTCGAAAGTTCTGGCGCGCGCTTTCAAGAAAAACAAATCGACAGGTGCTTAGCCTTAATTGTTGTGCAAGATTTCAAAATTGAGTAGACAACATGCTTGGACAGGCAAAAATATCGGCATTCTTCAGCCCAAAGCAAGTCAAACGACCTCTTTCAAGTATAGAAAATTCACAGGTATGTAATTATATTTATGCGTTTAGTATAGAAAGTTGCACTTAATTACAACTTGTTCCGCTAGATCTCTCACCAGTCCCATGCATGTAAATTACAGTAGTTTTTGTTGGTTTCTGACATGGTGGGGATTGGTTGTCCGCAGCTCGCAGCAGACGTACACAGGCAAAGAGATAGTGGTCAATGCTAATATGTATTGGTGTCCGGACAATTAGCTTAGCAAACAAAAAGCCTTCTCTTTATAGATGTACATTTTTTGTTCTCTGTAATAATTAATAATATTGTTCAACATAAACTCTCACTCTCACACAAGTCTCTGACTGACTTAGATCTAGAGACAGAGTTGGAATAGACTCTAACTGTTAGATCTAGATCTAGATCTAGATCTAGATCTAGAATCTATTTATGAAATAGGATTTTGATTTAAATTAAAGGGAGTGTGTCATGACGAGACTACGTGTCTTTCCTGGGGGCCTACTCTGGGCCAATCGGGTATAATACGACTACGCCTACGGACGACCCGAACGCAACATTTACGTGCATGCAAATACGCGAAACTGAAGCGCGAGGAGAACTTCGGTCTGTTTCACGAACGCTAGCGCGCACTGACCCAGTCTAGCGCGCGCTGACCCAGCTAATCAAGTTTATTCGTTTACGTGCAGTTGTCCAAAAGAAAACGTAGATGGCGTTAACCAATATTTCCCATGATACACTCCCTTTAACTTCTAAGTTCTAAAGACTATTGCTGTTTTACAATCCACGTCCTGGAAACACAACCTGTCCGAACACGCAAGGTCTGCACGTCTGGGTTGGGTATACCGGTGTCATATCGTGTTGTCGATCCGGCGCGTGATCAGTGAATATTTGAAAGATGAAACTTTCACCATCTGTTTTTTAGTATCAGATTCAGACCATGGTCATGCTCATGCACTGAACGATATAGCATGTTCGTCTGGTCAGCTGTTTGTTAAGCAAATTAAACTTACTGGCATTGCTACACAGACAATTTCACGACAAGAATTTGAAGAAACTTTCATGAATTCCAACACTTAACTTTAACTTAGTCTAAGAAGTTAAATGTGTCAATACTCTAATTGTGAATTCTGAATCAATGATTCAATAATTTCATATGGCGTGATTCATGAAAAGTTCACAAATTCAAATTCTAATATAAGTTCTCATACAAATGATTATTTACCAACATGCTTTCATGCTTTCCAATAATATACTTATACTAACAGTAGGTTTTGTGTTCAATTCCAATGCTGTGCCTGTGTTTGACTATAGTCTAAAGAGTAAAGATAACCATAAAAATTGAATCCATCCCAATGCTAAGTCAATGGTAAGTGGCAGGACTCTGGTAAAAAGAATAGGCCTAGATGTAATTCGACTAAAAGAAATTGTGTTTTCAAGTTTACAAGTACAGCCTACAGTACAGGTTTTGCCTTTGAATTTGACCAGTTTATGTGTAGACCCCTGATTCTGAATACATGTACAGTACATGTACATCTCTAAGTCTAGAATATATCCTCTAATGTAGAATAGATCCTCTAATGTAGAATACATCTAGACTAGAGAGTTTTTTGGACCATGAAAATGGCTATGGATATTTTGAGTACAGATCCAGATCTCGATGGAGTTGGCTGTTTGATGCTGTTTGACATAAATTCATTTTACCCCCGTGATTTGTTTTTGCATTCAGAGCCCATCGCCAAAAAAAGCAAAAGCTGTGAAGGATGGTAAATCTACAGGGCTTAGCCCAGAGCAAAAACATAGGATGGAAGAGAAAAAGAAGGATGCTATGGAGAAACTCAAGATGAAGAAGACTGAAATATCTCCTATCAACTCTATCAAGAATGGACCTGATGGCATTGGTGCTTCCTGGGCAAAGGCTTTGTCTTCCGAGTTCTCCAAACCATATTTTATCAAGGTAAATCAAGATGCTAATAAATATATATATATATATATATATATATATACCTTATGCTCAATGTTTCTCCAGTAAACAATGTAATTGGCACAATGAGCATTGTTCAAGTATAATAATGTTTATATTCATGTGAGATATTGACAAACAATTAAGAAAAAATTTATAAACGACATTGAATATCCAATCCAGGAATTTATAAAAGGCCAATATCTAGTTGCCTAATCGAAGGCGCTGAATACCAGGTAGTAGTCATGATATATTTTTTTAAAAATCAAAAAATCATAGTCATAGAAAGGCATACATTTACAGTTTTGCCAGTCTTCCAATTATTACCTGCCATTTACTTGAACATCTTGTTTTAGGGAAAAGTGCAGCTAAAAACATGCACAATTTATGATTATTTAGCATTTTAGCACCAGGACCCTGTTGGCAAGTTGCCTTAAACTTCAGTAGAAATGCGGCATCGGCGTCTGAGCTTCCTGGAGTTACATTAGTCTGTAATTTGCTTATAAGGATACATTCTCCATTGTCATAGATTGATTATTATATTATATTTTCTTTCAGTTGCAAGAGTTTGTAGCTGCTGAGCGTAGAAGCCATACCATCTACCCACCCTCACATCAGGTTTTCTCATGGACACAGGCTTGTGATATCAAAGATGTAAGTACTGCATAAACTTGACCATTACACCCCCTTGCCTTCTCACCCCGTGGAAATATTCCATACACTTCCCTTTCATGTACATATTTGACATATTCTCAGTCTTTCCTTGTCTATTACCATGCTTGAGGCAGAAATGTGATCACTTTGACCACATAGAGTGGCACAAAGGCCCAAAATGATTGAAATGATGGCATAAGCCTAAGGAATTGACATCAAGATTGTCATTATTTTGAACTTAGGGCAGTAACGTTCATGTTGTGTGTTTTGTATGTCTTCAGTAATTAATGGCCTCACTTTTACTCATCTTTGTACTGTTGTTGTCTGTCTCATTTTTAAAAAAATTTCATTTTTCTAAAGGGGCATTTAATGTATTTGCACCAATTTTGCCCAGTATAAAACTTTCTGTCTGTCTGTCTCTCTCTCTCTTTCTGTCTCTCTGCCTCTCTTTCTGCCTCTTTGCCTCTCTTTCTGTCCGTCTCTCTCTCTCTCTCTCTCTCTCTCTCTCTTACTCTGCCTCTCTCTCTCTTTCTCTGCTTCTCTCTCTCTCTCTCTCTCTCTCTCTCTCTCTCTCTCTCTCTCTCTCTCAGGTTAAGGTGGTGATCCTTGGTCAAGATCCATACCATGGACCTGGTCAAGCACACGGTGAGTAGTTAGACGTCACCGCCATCCCAACAAATTAGAATAAATCCAGATTACTTTTTTAGATGGTCACAAGTAACGAGTTGAATTTCTGTTGTATTGTATACGGTTAAGTAAAGAAAGAAAATATATATAAAATCAACCATCTACATGAATCCATATATAGTAACAACTTCATTTAAAAACTATGCATTATCATATAAACTTATGCTTTTTCATTTCTATTCAATCATTTTTCAGTTTTCTTTGATTTTGTTCTTCTTTGTTGTAGGTTTATGCTTCAGTGTGCAAAAAGGAGTGAAGCCACCACCAAGGTATGTCCTGTATATAACTTAAATAGATGTTCTTTGTAGTTTGTTGTGGTGAGAAAAAAAATGTAAGATGTCTGAAGTAACACCATGTAGATGTGTCCCTATATCTTTTATGAACCAAGAAGAAGTTAATTCCAAGTACTTCAATGAGTTACAGTGCCTTTTTGGTAATTTTGGAAAAGAATTGTCAAGGTAATCTTTCAGAGGAGGGGTAATTGACATTTTCAGATAGTGCTCTCTAACTTTTCTCCTGATGAAGGATAGAGTATATTAAAGTATGCAGGGTATTTATCTGTATACACTACGAAGTAGTTCCAGGGTGACCCAAAATTTGCTCCAGTGAGAATTGCTCCAGGCTTTATTTCAATAAAGGTATTGGGTTAGTTGCAATTGTGTTTTGCGTGTGGTTTAGTATAAATGATAGGGATAGGTAAAGTGTTGGGTTGAAGTTATGAATTTTATTTGTGTAGAAATTGATGCAGAGCAATTGCTGCCCAACTAAGTGCTGTACCACTGTTTCTAGCGGCCCTAACATTATTTTCCTGCCACCCTTTTTTTCTTGATTTGTCTTCAGTCTGGCAAACATGTACAAGTGTCTGATGAAGGACATTGATGGCTTTGAGCACCCAGGGCATGGACACCTTATTGGATGGTCTAAACAAGGTAGGACCCATCTTCTATTGTGTGATGGAAGGTCGTTGGGGTTGGGGCAGGCTGGATATCTAGTATAGTTTCAGTACCCAGGACATGGGCACCTTATTGGATGGTCTAAACAAGGTAGGACCCATCTTCTATTGTGTGATGGAAGGTCGTTGGGGTTGGGGCAGGCTGGATATCTAGTATAGTTTCAGTACCCAGGACATGGGCACCTTATTGGATGGTCTAAACAGGGTAGGACCCATCTTCTATTGTGTGATGGCAGGTCGTTGGGGTTGGGGCAGGCTGGATATCTAGTATAGTTTCAGTACCCAGGACATGGGCACCTTATTGGATGGTCTAAACAAGGTAGGACCCATCTTCTATTTTGTGATGGAAGGTCGTTGGGGTTGGGGCAGGCTGGATATCTAGTATAGTTTCAGTACCCAGGACATGGGCACCTTATTGGATGGTCTAAACAAGGTAGGACACAACTTCTATTCAGTGATGGGAGGTCGTAGGGTGGATATCTATTGTTATTATTATTATTTATTTGGCAATTTCATACAAGTCATACATGCAATAAACATGAAGTGAAAATGTAATTATAACGAATAAAAAGAACACAATGGATACTTATTCATTCGCAAGGGTGTTCCCCCTAGCTGCCTGGATGGTTTCAGTACCCTGGACATGGGTTGAAATAAGGTGTGAAACAGCTAATATTTGTCTTGATAAAGTAAAAGTTGTCATTATTAAGACATTAAAAAAAAAAAGAGTTCTGCTTTATCAATTAATAAAGAAGGGATCGTTCAAATTTGGAACTCATTCTGCATGTCAATAGGTATGACCTCAGAACTCTGTCAGTTTTGAGCCCCTGATGATATCCTTTCTTGACAGCATGAATCCTACTGTCTTGATAGCAAGTACCAATGTGCTTTAAAGCCCCACTGTACTACTTGTAGCTACTTGCTCCCTCTATATAGAAAACAATGCCTAAGCCATGCCCGTTGATCCCCCATGATCCTCTTTTCCTTTAATTGAGTGCTAAGTTGGTGAGATAGCCACCTGCCAGTGACCACCATGGGTGGTCTAATCCCTCCTGGCCAAACTAGAACAGACGGGCTGTAATATAAAGTTCTTATTTTGACATTGAAAGACATTTTCCTCTTCCCTGCTGATAACCCTGAAAATATACTTTATGAAAATCAAACTGTCACTGGGGGCAACTGGCCTACAGTTTTGTTGTAGTTGGACGTTACAATAAGCTGTGCACTGCTTCTATTTTTTATAGGAGTGCTTCTCTTGAATGCGGTCTTGACCGTAAGGGCCAACAACCCAAACTCACACAAAGACAAAGGCTGGGAGAAACTCACCACAGCGGTCATCGCCTGGCTCAACTCAAACCTCAATGGAGTCGTTTTCATGCTGTGGGGATCATATGCACAGAAGAAAGGAAGCATCATTAACTCCGTGAGTAGAGAACTTTCCAAAATTTCTTTAGTTTTGTTCATTTCCAAAATTGATATAAGAAACTGAGGGAAGGATAGAAAATTAGCACTCTTTACTTTTCCATTTGTGTGCCTACTTTAACACTAGAACTTTGCAAACTAGAAGGATTGGATGTGATGTATTCTGATGTATTTTGCTGTCTGCATCTATCATAAATGTTGACTATCCCCATACTTAACTCATTGTGTACAGGAACTGGGTGTTCCATGTATTAAACCCATGGGAATGAAATAATTCAATGGCCTTTGGGTTAATGAAAGTATCTGGTTTTACTGTTTGTCTAGACATACATGTACTGGCAATAACAATTATCAATAGATTAAATACCAATATCTGAACTTTCAAGGAACATGTATTTTCATGCCATGTACTTTACCTGTTGGTTAAATTGATGATAAGATTGATAGATGATGCTAAGGAGAAGGATGACAGCAGTATCACTCCTGCATGCGTACAATATTGGTATGTGCGGTCACAGGGACATCCACTTCTATCATTCTTTTTTCTTTCACTACATAGAAGCGCCATCATGTGCTGAAGGCCGTTCATCCATCTCCTCTCTCAGCTCATCGAGGTTTCTTCGATTGCGGGCACTTCTCAAGAACAAATAAACTCCTGCAGAAAGCTGGCAAGGAACCCATTGACTGGACAAGGCTCTCAGATGAAAATTGAACTAAAGAACTTGGGATATTTGTTTCTCTTTCAAAGAAACTTGATGTAAAGAGAGATAGAGTGAGATGGTGCTATAGGAAAAGAGAGAGAAAGGAAGAGAAGGGTAGAGAGAGATAGAATGAGAGAGAGTGAAAGAGAGAGAGAGAGAGAGAGAGGGGGGGGGGTGGAAGAAAGGTAAATATAGAGGCAGAGAAAGAGAGTGGAGAGATAGTGAAGTTCCAGTTACCCCCATAATTAGAGATTGAGCTTTAAGTGCATAGTTTACTCGACATCAAAGATAATAGAAGTTGTACATTGCATCAAGTTTAATAGTACATGTTTATATAATGACATACATCTGGCATGGCTGTAGAAGATGCACAGAGTCATATTTTATGGAGCACACGTCTTTGAAGCTCTTAAGTGGAACCAGGAGCAGAGGAGTTGATCACTTCCTAGCTTTATAAATGTTGTACCACCCTTGCAAAGTTAGTTCAAGGGTTTTGGTCTAACTAAAATTGTATTCAACTTTGTTGTTTCCTATTTGTCCGCTGTGAAATTACACAAGAGCTATTAAAGGAGATAAACCAGAAATGTCATTTTTTGTGGTCACCCTGTATAGAAGTAATCTCACTCTTAAGGACTGCAAACAAAATTAAGTGCAATGTGTGTACTTGATCACCCCCACTTTGTTACACATGTATCTTTTTGCCAAACATTTTCTTCCAGTTTTTAAGCCGAATCAATCGGATCTACGTGATTGTGAACCGTTACTTTTCATGTTTCATAACGAATAAGATCATAATATCATATGACCCACCATTTTTAGAATCATCACATGATTTTACATTTTGAGCATTGGATTTTTTGTCACTGAAATTATCAAGCACCTTGCCAGGAAGAATTGTAGAACTTTGTACTTGTTTTACTTTTTAATAGTTGTCCTGGAAAAGTTTATATTTAAAATGATTTTTATGTGAAATGCACACATTTCCATTTTTGCACAAGACATCATTACCCGATGTAGACCTGAAATCGGACGTAACCCCAACAGTATTTTCATGAATCAAATAAATTGTACTGTGATAAATCCTGAAAGATTCCAACCATAGAAGTAAGATACACTTGTGTATGAATCTCGATAGTGTACTCGGCGTGCAGTAAAGTATTAGTTTAAACTGTGAGATGATCTATTTGCATAGGGCAGTTTAAAAGCCGTTATTGTGTATCATTTGTATGTATCTTTTTAAGTTGTCAATATCCTGTCTTACATTATGCAAGACACTTTGACATTTACTGGTTTATTATCCAAATCCAAACATTCATGTGAAATGATATAAACTACATTAAGATGTTTCTAATTCACTTGAAACATGTGTGTAAATGTGATTCTAAACAAGGAAGGATATTTACAGACTCTGAGGCCCGAATTCACAAAGGAGGTTTGTCGACGCATTTTTACGCGTTTTTACAAACCAGGTTTGTAAAAAACAGGTTTTCAGTATTAAAAGTGTGATGCAGCTGTGTTTCAATGCTTGAAACTCGATTCCAATTCCACGTATGCAAAACACTGTATGCAACAATTGTGCCTTACATTTGTTTTCGTGCCATAATAAAAACATTTTTAAAACTTTTCTAAACATGTTGCTGTGTAGAATTTGTTATTCATTGTAAGGTTTCTGGAGGTGTGGTGATACTCGGTTTAATTGTTGAATCCACTCTTTGTAAGACATCTTCAATCAAGTCTTTTTTGATGCCACCTCTACCAAAAAAAATATAATAATTTGAATATATTTAAAGAAGTTACTGCAACATATCTACCCCCTAATTTTGTAGGTTTTGTTTCTGTCACCCTTAGAAGAGACAAACTAGTGCTCCTGCTCCTCTCTCTCTCTCTCCCCCCTCCCCCTTTATTCCCTTCCTCGTCACAGAAGGAAACTCTCTTGCTTTGTCTCTCAATCTCTGTACTTTGTTTCCTTCTCTGCCTTACTCAATATCATAGAAAGTACAAAATACTCCTGCTCCCCCCTCACTTATTTCCATTCTGCCTACCTAAGTGCAAAAGAAGAAGAAAAAAAAAAAACAGTTCACATATTTTGACATAATTTTTTTATTTCTCTCAGAGACAATACACATCTGGACTGCCTTACAAAAATGCTCACAGAGTTTTCGGAGCATTGTCCAATGGAGCCATTTCAATTCTATGGAATTCAAGACCATTTAGCCGTCTGCCATTCGTGTCTACATGCAGTCACACACAATGGCGTCATGGCAAAAAATATAGTTGAAAAAAACAGGTGGCTAGGACACCTTTTTAATCAAAATCAACTTAGAAGCCCACAACATTTCAATATTTTAGCATATTGCTCATGCATAAAAGCCCCTATAGTTTTCAATCCAGACCCTCAATGATGAAAGTTGGTGAAGAGCCCCGCCAAGGGAAACCAAAGCATAAAGTCATGCCCCGGTTACAACACAAAATCTTGGCCATTTTAAGTAATAATTTTTTCTTCTTCTTTCTATTCATGGCCTTGTGTTGGGTCTCTTCAGAAGTCTTGGAGACGAGTCTTCCCTAAAACCCAAGAACAAATGATGATACAACCACATTTGAATTAGTGTAGCATTCCACCATCATCTGTCGAGAGCCAGACAGAAATCCTTTAAATCAATCAAGGCCGGCCTTTTCGCTCCAAGCAGGTGATATCGTGAGCATGAATAATCAGAGTGTAAACAAATGTGAGCACAAAATCTAATGAATACCTCAGAACTGTCTTGTAAAGGCTTGTGTAGAATCTACACAATCACAATTTATAATTTCCTCTCCTTCAACTTTCAAAGAATGAAAAATATAACAAAGGACAAAGGATGATATAAATTATAAAAGAAAACAACTCCAAATCTGAATTACTGATAAAAACAAATCCTTCAAAATGAAATAATAAACACCATGCATGATATCACACATATCCAGCACAAACATTCTGAATTGCAATTACCAAATGTGAATGAGCGTTTAAAAAACTCTTTGTTTACAAAAATTAGTGCAGATCATTCTTCAGGACAGGCGTGTCTTTTTAGCAAGCTATGTACATCAAGCTATATCATAGCGATGGAGCATATCTGATTGGATCCGTTCTATTTATGCCTTACAAACACTGTACAAAGTGCAATAATTCACAAACATTCAAGGATTAGGGTGGGGGGGGGGGGGGGGCAAGTTGAAGTTATATGTATTACTACATTAACATTGCAACTGTATAAGGTTGAATGTCATTTTATGACCATTACAACCATCTTGCTTACTTTGATTATCATATTTTGGATTTACATTGTGCCTAATACATCTATGATGTCACTCGGTGCTTTACAGATATATTGATATCCCATTCACCATTGTGATATATTTGTGATGTAATATAAGTGGCTGGCATAATCCACATAATGAATGAAATTGAATTTATATTATATTTCATCTGTTCAGAGCCAGAAGGTCGCTAAATCTCTTTAAGCCCTTCTGGCCCCAAACAGACGATTCAACATGCTATCTAGATAATATGAATTTAGAATCTCTTTCACTGGAAGTGCAACCCTCCCAATCCCGAAGCAGACGCATGTGATGAGAGGACTGATGCTGCTTGACTGGTTTCCAATAGCAACCGTGCTTCTCTCAGCCAATCAGAGGCCACCTTCCTGGGCATACCCGTCAGCTGATTTGCATACCTCAAGGCTTGCTCTAGGTTGCCGTTCTCCATGTGATACGAGGCGTACGATACAAGCTTGAAGGTATCGAGGGTGGAGAGGTCGATGGCTTCTTCCGAGTTTGGTGGAAGGGGGTCGTTGAGGAGGAGGAGGGACTGGAAGTAGGAGAGGAAGTATGCAAACATGCCACTACTGGTCTCATCGATCATGGCGACTCGTTTGCAGACCCGCTGGGTTTGGTCCCATCGTTGACGTAGGGAGTCTTCAGTGAACACTCCCCTGCAAGACAAATCAAATACAATGTATAAAGCTATGTATACAACACAAACAGGCTAAATATCACACAAAATATTTTTACCATTTGAGCAGATTTCACTTTATTTTATTCTTTTTGCTCTAATGATATCAAATATGCTTCAAAACTTCTTATATTAGGGATTGTAAAGCAAGGATTGATACACTGCTGAGGCATAATTTGCAGTGTACTGTTTAGAGATCCCTCACAGAGATATATATCATCTTATGGGGATATGTGGACTATAATTCATCACTTCTTCTTCAATATCATATTGGACCTCATCGCTTTTCTCCATCCATTGCCCTTCTTTCTAAACGCCAATAGGCTGAATATCACCACTTTTTTCATGATCAAGAAATTTTATACCTCTTAATATATTTGTTTCACCTTTCGACGGACTTGTTTTCACGAATCGTTCCCTGCCAACGATACTCTATTTCATACCTTGTAAGAGCCTCCTCTGGTATCGTCTTGACAACCGTATCCACAAAGTCGTTGCTAACGGATGCTTCTTTGATTGCTTGGACCTCACTGGCTAAGGGTTTGAGCTTCTCCTCCCATGAGGATGCCTCTAGCTTACCTGTCAACAAACCAAACATCATTCTACTTATTAAGCACACAATCAACCTTTTTGTTCCTCAGCAATGATCTAATCTTAATGTATTTGACTTTTCTGTATGTGTATACTTGGGGGACTACGCCTTACAATTTTTTTGCAAACTTTTTAGTAGTTTCCATTTTTCCTTAATCACACCTTGTTGTTGTTGTTGGGTTTATTGGCGCTATCCATCGATGCCGATGATTTCCGCCAGGCTGTGTGTGAGGGCGTCTTGCTCTCTCTTCTGCAGCTCTACGTTTCTTTGATTCTGATATACCTGCCCAGTGTGTGAGATAAAGACTTACCTTGACCTATGTTATTGGCGTAGTGCAAGGTTATGGAGGATCAATCTCTGAGCTCATTTTACACTACATATTTTATTATCCTATTTAAAAAAAAATGATTGATAAATAGACAAAATTGAACCGGGCATTAAACCATTGAACCATCTGATGGTCCAGCTATTGAAGAAACTAACACATATGATAACATTATGAACACTTGCACAACAAATATTTTCATTGATTAGTTGAAAATGCTACAAAAGCAAATGTAATGTGTTCGGCATCATTGTATAGTTGAAGAGGAGACTTTAAATTCAAATAAATAAGAGAATAGGTCTTTCAGATGATGATAGATTCTTCCTTCAAATCATATCTCTTGAAAAAGAAGAAGCTACACTTTTATTTCACTGATAGCATGGAGTGTGACCCGTTAACTTCTTCATCCTGGAGGTGTCATAATTTTGCCCCTACACAAAAATACGAAAATTATACCAGATTCATGATATTGACAAAAAGTTTTGTGGGAAATCTTTTGATACACATAGAACAAATAAAAGACCACATTGAAACAAGTTTACTTTTCTCTCACTCAAAACTCTAAGAATACATCCTACCTGTAGCAATTGTTCTCTTGAGAGTTTCACAAGCTAACCAGAGTTCCTGCGCTTTCTGATTCTGTACCTCCAGTCCTGCTCTCCCTGAGAAAAATAACAATCACACTAAGTCTATAAATACCACAATGATATTCATGATAATGGGACTGTGGGAATGAAAGTGAAATCTGTGTTTTATCTAGTTCGATGGGAAACTTATCTTACTTATACTTTTGTTTAACCAACTAAATATCATGAAGGAGTTCCCATTCAATGTGTAGACAAAGAGGCGAGTTGGCTCAGTTGGTAGAGCGTCTGCATGTAGAACCAAAGATCATGGGTTCTTTCATCAAATGGATGACCAAAGCTTACATTGCATTAATGTGCCCCTCCTATGTTTCATAGCTGCAGGCTATGTTATAGTAGAAAACACTATGTCCCTCAGTAGGGATGTTAAGTACAGGCCCCATGTAGAGAGTAGTCACAACCTATGCATGTTACAAACTCACTGCACTATTTGTATCGAGTGTAAGGGGGATCCTGGTTTAAATGTCCACCTGCACACCCCAAATCAGTTATATCAGGAGGAAAGACCAAAGGGTTACAGTTATTTAGTTTGCTTTTCCCTCCCAGGGACAGGTCATGTCAAATACTTCAATAAAACTAAATAAATAATAATAATAAACAGAAAGGCCAAATTCTCAAAGGAGTTTTAAATTTAACCCATGATTTAAACCCTCAATTACATAGACCATGGGTTATGTAAATGAGGGTATATAAAACCATGGGTTAAATTTAAACCTCCTTTGTGAATTTGGGTCTATATCATTAACAACAACAATAATAATAATAAGTGTTTTTTATATTTTAAATAGTACAGAGATGTGACCCAGGATGTTTACCTTCTACTGCAGCTTCGACGCCCCTGAGTTTAGCCATAGCACCAGAGAGTTGCTTATAGTAGTTATCCCTCTCTTGATCCCTCACCAGAACGTCCTGTACGGAAAGCTGACGATCAAACTCCTGCCGCTGTTGCTGGAGTACGTCTGAGAGGTGGTCACTGTGAGCTGCAGCTTGACGTCTCAGCTGAAGCCTTAGCTCCTGTTCGGCTTCAGCCAACAAGTCTTCTTGCTGTCATTCAATTAACAATGGATGTACTTTGAAAATAGGGTTCTGATATATCGTACATGTGAAATTGCTTTTTTGTTTTTCTTCTATCATTTGTTGCAAAATGTGAGTAACATTCTAACTTCACATTTACAAACTTGTTCTATGTGCTGAAACAACAGACACTCAGTGAGAGGTTTGGTGAGACAATCAAAATATTCCTGTCATTTTAAAGTTGCTCATTGTGGGTATATAGAGGGCAGCACACTAAGCCAACGGTTATTACACTTCCGAGCGTACTAGTGTCCCTTTATGGCTCAGTGTTCGCCAAGTTGCCTACTTCACGAACGACTATATACCCCTGCATGAACATCTTTAATGTACATTTTCCATGTACAGCATTATCCAACATTAGGATAATGATGATTTACCAAATCCATCAAAAAGAAGATCTGCCCCCAACTCTGTCAGTCTCTGGATATGCCAGAAGCAGATAGAGTAAAAAGTCTATGGAGTGCAGTATAGATCATTAAGTCTTACTAGTCTCACAGTTCAGCCACTCTGTTAGGCTCAAAAAAAGAAAGATGCTGTATTGACCTTTGCGACTGACCCCAAAATCTTGAAATCTATGGTCGGCTTTCTTTTAAAGTTTTTTTTTTTTTTACCGTTTTTTTAGAAAAAATATGTATTAAAGCATTAAAAACTGTGAAATATCAGCCCAAAGAGGGAGTAAAATGGGTTTTTTTTAAGTTAAAAAAAAAAAAAAAAAATCTAAACGACCGCCCCGTGTTTTGGCACCTAAAGGGGTACAACATCTTTTTTCTTCAGGCCTTATACATGACAACTGCAAGGGTTTGTGCCTGCTCACTACACAATGACATCCTGATGAATATGGGACTTCCCCTAAACTGACCTTCCTCTGGTAGAGTACAGCCAGGTCAGCTGCCTGTCTCTCAAGCTCCACCATGACCTTTGACTTGGTGACCCCTTCATCTTCCTCTTTCTGTACCTCCATAGCAGCAGCTAATCTCTTCTGTTCCATGGCTTGTTGCTCAGCAAGCCCCTTTTGTAGCTGGTATACTCTACGATGGGCATGGGCTATCAAGGCATTCAGCTCTTCCTCTGTTAGCTTCTTACCTACATGAACCATTAACAAATAATGATGATAGTACTAACAATGAGGATGATGATGATGATGATGATGACGATGATGATGATTATGTGAGTCAGAAATTAGTATAGCACTAAATACTAAATGCACATTTCTAAGCACTTTAAATTTTCATTTCAGAGCTCAATATGAACTTGTCATTGCTCCAGTCTCTGAATTCAATTGCCATTCCTTACGCTCCACTGCGAAGCAATTCTAGTAGCCGTTCGCCTTGTAAAGTTATGCACATGCCAATAAAACATAAATAATGTTTGCATCTCACCGGGTACCCAAATTGTAAACCTGGGTGGAGAGAAACAATGTACATAAAATGCTTGTTTAAATGCTCCATGCTACACACCAAACACACAACCTTGACATCTCCAGTCAAGTGACTAGTACAGTGTTCGACTACGACAAACCAGACTACGAGAAGCGCTATCTACAGCCCTACGACATCGTCACTTTAGAGTATACCAATCATGAAGTAAGTTTGATGTGAGAGGTTCCATGTTTGTATACTGTAGTCAAACTATGAGCTCCAACAATTTCTATTACAAAGAAATATTGCATTTTATATACCGGTACACTCCCAGTGAACTGTAAAATGTCTTGCTGAATAGACTACTTAAATAGGGCATGATGGGACCCAAGTCCAACTACGGTTAAGTTTTTACCCTATTTACGTAGGTTTTTGTGTTATCCTTAATTTTATTCATACTCCTGGTCCGTTTACCAAATACCAGGTAAAGTTTATTGGGTTGATTTTATATATTCTACCTACCGGTATACACTATTTTTTTTATTGAGGTAATTGGTACTCTTTTAAAAATCTTACCCTTTTTGCCAATTTTAGCCTCTGGCATCAAGCTTTGAACTTCCTTCTTGAAGCTTTCCCTACCCTCCTGAATCAGTTCATGGTAGTTCTTCAGAATACGCGCTTCATTCTGGGCTACCACAACCTGAAAAGTAATACATAGTAGAATAGAATTATTACTTTGAGGCAGGAGTAAGTCATGTTTTTTGTACAAACCTGAGCCGGAGTCCTTTACATCAATCAGGCCCCGGAGTATTGATTCATTAACAACAAAAGTAAAGAAAAGAAAAACAAAACAAATGCTTTATTTGCCTGCTATTCCCCCTCCTCCTGAAGTGAAAGCCTGAACTGCTACATGTTTTAGACTATATGCTACATGACTGTGGCAGTCCCCTGCATGTTACAGTGGTAAACCAGAGATTAAAATATCAGTACAATAGAAAACATTTGGTATATATTCCTCTTACCTCTGCGGTGGCAAACTCCAGGTCATAGACCATCTGATTCAGATTAGCCTGAGCTCCTATGAGATTAGAGCTTTGTCCTGCCGAGGTCTTGGTCCGGTTGGCTTCTTCTAGGACTGCCTTCAGTTTGGCCAATGCTTCTCTGAAGGACACAACAAGAATAATTAGTTTTTTTTTTAGCTTGACACTGAATATATAAGTGACAGACCTAGAAATAAAATACAGATTGCCATTTGTTTTGCAATCAAAACACTTACATTCTTCATTTGGGCTGAGATTAGGTCACAAAGGGTATAGTGACCCTGTCGCATAATTCATACATGCCAACATTTGAAAATCAGAAATCTGTACACTATGTGCGCGAAGCGCACATCACGAGCGCGAAGTCCTTTTAGCCGGGGTCCAGGGCCCGCTTTAGGGCCCTGGAAGCTCTGGGTTCCAGATGCTCTCTGGTGCAATCTGAGCCTATTTTAGGGACCATTTCCCCTAAAATTCAACCCAAGTTTATGGGTAATTTTTGTGTCATAGAGGGGTCTACTAGGTCTAGGCAAATTCATGCAAAAAAATATATTCAAGAAATTGACTTGAAAACACATCAGACAATTAGTCTGAACCGAGTCAGGAGCAAATTTGAAGAAATTATATTTTTAAATGTTGTAAAACCAAAGATATAAGAAGAAAACTGACCAAGTATCTGTACTAAAAATCGTACATGTAAAATTGGTCGTAGACATTCGACAGCTGAAAATGACGCGCACGGTTGTGGTACGTGCGTTCTCGAATCCAAAATCGTATCTCACACACACACTCTCGCCATACCGCGAATGGTCCGTCGTGGGGAGCTAGCCGCCCGAGAGTTTGCCAGCGATACCAACGCACCCTCGGAGCTCCGCAGCGCACAATTTTAGCGGAACTCGAAAGGTTCGAGGTGGGAAGGTGGCGGGCTAGCTTTTTGCCATCGTTCCTTGTATTCCTGTTTGTACTTCTGAATTCGTCTTGCTGCTGTTTCGCTCATTTTGACAGATTTTCTTCCGAGACAAATCACAAATCACAAAATATACGGTACCTCGAAACACGTACTTTGCATGGGGACCCTATGCATATACGGTGCGCTAGCCGCGATAGCCAATGCATGCATGCTGCGCTGATATGCGTGCAAACGTATAGAAATTATACTTACGAGATTTGCCAGCGCAAGTATTTACGTACGGAAATGTTACGTACGGAAACACATATCAGAGTGCACGTGGCGCGCAGCAACACGCTACCACTGTACGTACATATCAGTGCACGCTGCACGCACCTTGCGCAATGCAATCCGTTCAGCACTCGATCGGATCAATGCTATGTATGGAAAGCCAAATTCCCCAAAATCGGAACGTTCCGTTTTTTAGGGCTATAAAAACTTCAAAAACGGAACAGTTCCGTTAAAATCGGAACGGTTGGCATGTCTGCATAATTGATAAAAGCTGCAGAAAATGTGCCTACATCTAGGGACAGGGGAAGAAAATTCTTGGTTTATGATTATCAAACCTACATTAATACATCATCTGTTCAACCTGTAGGGGTGTGATGGTCTAGACTTTATTGGATAAGTAACAAATTCTGGATCACACAGTACTGGATTTGAATCCTTGCTTTGCAATCAAAGTCCATTAGAAAGGCCTATATCTACATTTATCACACTCAACCCAAATGAAGTAAATGAGTAATGGTAGGAATAATTCCTGGAAATGTGTTGTGTGCTTATAACAGTCGTTGGAACGAAAGCTTTGTAGTCATCTCAAAAGCTCTTTGAAAGTTCATAATGATGTTTGGTGCATATCATAAGGGCAATGTGTGCCATATACAAATACTTTAGGAGGCGTGATGGCTCGGCGATGGAGCAGTGGTCTCGTTTCCGGTGGGTCCCAGGTTTGAAACCAAGTCGATGGGCTAGTGCCCTTTGGTGAGGCATTAATCCTCATTACCAAGTCCCTTGGTGAGGACTTAAAGCCATTGGTCCCCTGGTTGCTTACTGACAAGCATACACATGCTTTCATAGCAGTCATGTATTAACAAACAAACTTACACATAGAACAACATTCTAACCATTCCATTTAACTTTGTGAAGATGGTCCTTTGTTACTGACCTTGCAGCTGCTTCTCCTTTACTAGCTTGTGTCACTGCCTTCAGTTTGTTTTCTGCTGCTACTACCACCTCATCCCACTGCTTCTTTTTCAATTCACCATTCTCCTCCTGGACATCAGCAAAAAATATTGATACATGCACAATGTTAGAGTAACTGAATTGCAGTCACAATCTATAACTAATTCAGCCAAGTGAAAAAGTTATCTAAACTGTCCACAGTAAAAAAAAGAATGAATAAAGTGCATAATAAATAGAGACATGTAGTTTCCACAAAGAATGACATTTTGAGAGCAGAGGCACTGGCAGGATGTATCATATAATTAGAAATGATAATTTAGAAACCCAATCGAACCATATTACATGATCATATTTGAAGTTTTATATCTAAAGGCATTGCAATGTTTTTCGAAATGGGCTCATGGTTGGATCATGAAATGTTTGGTAGACCATACTGACCTCGAGATCACCCATAGCAAGCTTGAGTTTATCTGTATGTTGTTTAGTAGCTTCTACCGCTTCTTTCTTTGATCCCATGGCAATCCTTGTGGCTTCTACGCTGTCTGATACACAGCTCTCTACAATGGCTTCATATGCTGCGGGAGGAAATAATGAGACATTGCTCAGTTTGGTTGTTATTAGCTTCTTTATTTACTTGCATTGGACTTTCATATTCGATCATGATTCTTTTCATCATAACCATCATTAGTCTGAATTACAAAATGATAGTTTATTTTTTTCTCATAATATTTAAATTAATGCTTAGAAAGTTTGACATCTTATTGAGCTATCAATCAAACAAAAACCTGACCATTGGCAGATTTCAAAAAGATGAGGGCACCTCCCCCCCCCCCCCCCCCCCCCCCGATTTCAACTATATCAGGCTAATTTTAGAAACACAAAGATGTTTTTGTCGGGAAGGAGGGGAGGGGGATGCTTGCTTGACATACATTTGGGCTATTAAGCCCCCACCCTCCTTTCACAATCCAGGGGAGTGTTTCACAAAGATCCTAAGTTGAACTTATCTTTAAATTGGAATTAACAGTTATGGAAGCCGTTAGCATCTATAAAAAATATTTTGTAAAAGTTATTTCAAAAGGCATAACCTTTTGAAACAAATCATTCATATTTGTTTATTATCAAAGAGATTTCATGTTCTCGATGTGGAATTGATAAAAAGTCTGAAATACTTGAAGTTTCGCTTTTTAATATATTTAATTTTAAAACTACAAATGGCTCTCCATAATTTTTAAGTCCTACTTGGAGTTAAGTTCACCTTAAGATCTTTGTGAAACACCCCCCAGGACGACTAATGAATCAAACTAACCTGCAAGACTAGCGGCTTCGTCAATCTCTTGTTCTAGAAGCTTCTCATGTAGCTCCTGGCTCCTTCTAGCCTCCTCCTCTTTCTTGAGAGTAGCCTCCAGCTCAAGGGAAGCCTTGGGAGCAACACGAGCTTTAGGCTGTACTGCTGGCTCTCTTGTGGCTTGCACAGATGGCTGAGAGAGAGACAAATATAAAGATTATGATATAAATAAAAGATAACATTTGCAAGGCGCCTATTTCTACTTGATTGAAATGTTCAAGGTGCACTAGTGCAAAAGATGAAACAAAATATATAAACAAACATCCAATTGAGTAGGATACAACATATGAAAGAGTAAAAGAAGAAGAACAAGTACAATTAATCATAAGCCAAATCAAACGGATATAACTTTAGATTGTTTTTTAACATTTCGACTGATCGGCTATTTTTAATCTCTTGAAAATTTGGTAGCTAGCTACACATGTAGTGTTTTATGAATACATCAAATTGCTCCAACGATCAAAAGAAACGGTAATATAGAACTCGCATATTTCATAAATTACATTTTTATATTCTCCCTTTTAATTGATGTCTGCAGAATATGGACATACATGTACAGGGCTCGAAATTAGCGGTTGCCCGGGTGCCATTGACCACCTAAAACGCCACCGGGCAACCTAAAAGTCCCGTCTTGGCTGCCCGGCTGGCAACCAACAAAATAAATGTCAAAAAAAGGAAATGATCTCAAATAGCCCCGGCCCCCGTAACGATTACGAGCGGCCGCTCTCTACTAGCTTTGTATTCATTGTGTGCATTTCTTGGTCGGCACGCACACGCGCGCTGAATCTCCGTCTAAAATTGTATACACAAATTCGGTCATAAAAAACTTGATTCACCTGGCTTACCATGTCGCACGCACGTGTACGCGAAAACACGTACATTTTCGCGGTTGCGAGACGGAGCGCAGGGATCGAGTTTTTTGCGGTCGATTTTGTTTCGATAGATCATATTAGCTGAACCTAGACCATTTGCTAAAAAAGATCGCCAAACTGCAATCAATTTCCATCATGATTGCCGCTATTGTATATAGTTTTCGTGAATAGAGGTATGAAATCAAAGCTTATTTTGTGATTATTCTCGCCATGATATTCATTTTTCAAATAAGTTTTCACAAGAAAATCGGAGAAAATGATCGTGACTGACAGTTCAGTTGCACAGTGCAGTGTCACTGCAGCTGCTGTGTGAGCTGAGCTGAGCTGAGCTAGAGTCGAAGAGACTTGACAACACTTTGAAATTGCTATCTGTTTGCATCATTATTGCCGTGATTTCAAAGTAGGTTCGTGAATCGAGGTATGAAACCTGAGCTTAGAACTAGTAAAAGTGTTACTTATGTCTTAGTTTTTAAACGACTGTCTGATTTTCTTGTGAAAATTTTACTTTGAAAAAAATAATTATCGAAATTCAGTAGAAGATCTGAACATGGTCATGGCCAGAATAATCACAATCTATTATGTTACAGTCAAATGCATTAAAACTTAGGTTTTTAACTAGATAAATGCTTTCTTTTTGAATGGGTAATTATGACGCAGGAAGCCCGAATTAAACCTTAGCATACAAAAAAAAATCTCAACAAACTATCCTTTTATGAATTAATGAAAAAGTAGCCCCAGAAAAAAGAGCCCTCGAAATGAAAAAAAAGCTCTCGGAAGTTGAAAAAGTAGCCCCCCAAAAATGTCCCCAAAACCTGAAATGGAGCCCCTGAAATGAAAAACTTAATTTTTTCCCTGACTGTTGTACCGGGCACTGAGTTAATTATGATTTTTTTATAGACCCTCTAGTTTAAATATTTTAATTCAAGATTTCAAGTAGCGCCCCTTATAACAAAAAAAAGTGCCATGGTAACCATGATTTTGTTGTCCAAATTACCATCCACCATGGTTACCATAGTATCAAACGATAAATATAGGGTCATCAAACAATGTATTTTATTGTTTGGTACCATGATTACCATGGTTACCATGGAGGATGGTAATTTCGATGGCGCGACAATTGCGACAGACCCGATGGCAGATTTATGCATTACACAAACCCCTTTAAACATATTCACTGTGACCACCTAAACTGCCATTTGGCAACCTAAAAAACTGTATAGGATGCCCGGCTGGCAACCAAGAAAAAAAGTTAAGTGAGAGCCCTGATGTACTTACTGATTGTGAAATTACTGCATGTGTCTCACCGGTTGGAGTAACAGTATTTGGTGAGCTACAAAGATAAAATAATTGTTTTCATGCCAAATTGGGAAATGAATCAGACCATCATGAAATAGACATGATACACTACATCATTTCATTAAAGTGTAAATATAAGAAGCACAAGTATTTAGTTTAGTATTTATAAATCATAGAAATCAATGCCGTACAAGAAATCATGTAAAATGAACAAGAAACCATTTACAAGATATGTGAGTGAGAAGCAAATGGAAGGGTAGGAATAAAAAAAAGATGGGGGAAGGAGAAGAAAACAAAGTAGTAAAAATCAGAGGAAAAAATACAGGTGAAAAGCACTGAGGAATAAATTGACTAATGAACCGGTTACCTAGGCTTTGACAGAGACGTACCTGATTGGTATTAACGGTTTCTTCCCTCCACCAAGAGACATAGAATCTGCTTTGGACTTCTTGGTGTCTCCTGCCGCATCCTCGTCTAAGAAATAAGGGAAGACATCTAGGAGCATGGGCCAGTTGCCTTCTACCTGCTTCCTGAACTCAGGGTTAGCTTTAGCGTAGGCTAATGTACCCACGGTTGCTCCTACTCCTACCAACAAACCACCCATGATGACCTTCCCTGCACTACCAGACCTTCACAAAAAACAAAACAGATAAACAAATACACAATTACAAAAGAAAAATGAAAAAAAGGAGAAAAAAAAAAATCATTATTTTAACTTAATTTTATGTTGTGTACAACAATTGGAAAAAAAATTTCTCTAATCATGACTATCATTAGTAAACAAATAATTTTTGTTATCACATACAATATACATGGGATTGAATACCCAAAACACACAATACTTTGGTTTTCAAATTTCTCAGAGAAATAGGGTAAGGGTAAAACAGACTGTGTGTGGTTCTGTTTTTACTCCCATGTTTTTGCCTTGTTTATTTTTGAACTACGGGTACGTGTTCATGTTGAAAACATCAAAGGGATAGCCATCTTCAAGTTAAGTGTGTATTTGACTTTAAAGAATGTTCTGCATGGCAAAAATTGCCATCTTCACTCTACAACTGCTAGAAAAAGGGAGCATTTTAAGTAATACATGTATAATGTATGAAGATGTGTAAGCCAACTCTTCACAGAAAAAAATTCTACAAATCTAATTTCCTACATTTGTAGGCATGAGCCTTGTATTATTCCAACATAATTCTGGATTGTATGCATGGAGTATGGTTAGACAAACTTACTTCTTTTGAACACGAGGAGGAGGAGGAGGAGGTGGTGGGGGAGGCGGCGCTGATTTTGGAGCTTCAGGAGGGGTTGAGCTCGGCTTGGAGCAATAACTGCATTTTCCTCCAGCCTTATGGCTCACTGGATTAGGTGTCCGACAAGTACATGCCTAGCAGAAACAAAAGATAACAAAATAAACATTTTTTTACCATACCAACACATAGATTCAGCCATTTTAAAGGGTTTATTTATTATGACCCATGTTACCGGGAAGCAGAGAGTTGCTTGGAGGTCAACTAGGGTGCACACTTTTTTTAATTTTTCGATCTGACTACTAGTAGACCTAGTTATTGTACCAATTAGTAATTTTGAAAATTTCAAGTGTAAAAAGTCTTGCTCGTTTTTAATTCCGTTGATGTCTGCATGTGTTTGTAAACATGCCGTGAGTAAATGTTCGTAATCGACACATGTCTTTGGCCGTAATGTGTGCTCAACGATGGGGACTCATGCTGCTGCTAAATTACTGCATGAGAAATGGCAAGACAGCTAGCATTGACAATACAAGTCAATAGTTATAAGTTAAGCACAATCGCATAATACGTAAACAATGAACATGATGAACGATTACACCATGTACACAGGCATGCACGCTGAGCTAGGTTGTACAACAAAATGACACAGCACATGGCGCCTGCTATTTCTCCGAACCAGATGCAGAAATTAGCCTGGAAAGGTCCGATATGTACAGATAGAGTAAAGGAGCCGGTTTTCGGCCACTTAAGACAAAATCCATTTTTTGGACCCTTTACTTCCTATTTATTATCATTTTTTGTTCAAATCATGAAGCAAATATTATTATTATTTAAACAAAATAAGAATCCCAGAATAAAAGCACGAATTGCCATGACAATATTCATTTCAATTTTCACTGTTTCGGAGTCAGTTTTCGGCCGCATGTACAAAGTCAATAGGAAGCGCGCGCACGCGCCGTGCGTTTCCGCGCTGATCTATAGCACTAGCGGGCAGAGCAGATATCCCACGCCGGAGCTCCCCGGAGCTCGCCAGGCCGAAAACTAGTTCTGCGGTGATCGGATATTGGAATCTGAATTAGACAGAGATATCGTGTGTGCGTTGCGGTGTGCGGCTGCATTGATTTAATACATGCGATGAGATACTTTTGAGCTTGCGACTAGCACAAAATCGGGCTCCAAATCTGAAAAATACTTGAAATAAAGCTCATTTTGTGGTACCCATATTTCTTACAGACACGCGTAAGATACTTGATTTTTCAGATTCGGGTAGCGGGACCGCCGATTACATCGCTAAAATGTGATATTTTAGGATATATTTTTCATTGCAAATGTGGTTCTTCAGTGACACTGGCATGGTATGGTATGTGTGGGATATGTGTTATGCTATTATGCAATGTATTTTAGAGGGATTTTACCTTGCATCCAACCAATCGGCCGAAAACTGGAGCTGGCCGATTACTAGACAGCAATAACCATCTGATTTGGGTCATTTCTTTAATAAAACTGACATTTGTTGTCATTCCCCAATACAGATGGCAACCCAGAGATCTCGTACCGTGGGGATGGCTATGTTACTATATGTACATATTTTCGTCCACGACATTTTCTCCCCGATTTTCTTTATTTAGATCTAATTTCCTGATTTCTAAATCAGATTTAAATTAGGTCGGTATGTCATTTGTCCTAATAATTACAGTTATCAAAATTTGATAACTCAATATTAAATGGATAATTTACGGACTTACTTATATGAATTATCCAATTTGTATCTCCGAACGTTCATGCACTCGGAACATAGGGCTATATGACCCGGCGGCCAAAATATTTCCGGGTCAACCTACCAAAACATAGCCAAATGGCCAATCAGAGCACTCGTTTCGTGGGAGTTCATTGGTCAAGCTGGGCTTACTCGTACGTAGCTACGGTAGCTATTGGACGTTCGAAAAGAAAAAATGAATATTCATCAACTAACACCAAGACGGATAATGTTGACGACGAGACTTTCTCGGATTAATCATTAATTTAGGATCTAAATGAGCAAGCTATCGTAAGTCAAATAAGCTATATATATGTTATTTTTAATTTGTGTTATAATTGCAGCAGTTATGAGGATGTAAAGAGTGAAAATCTCATTGTAGGTATGTGACTAAAAAAATAAAAATTGTGGGATTACATTGTATCTTATATCATTGGAAAGGGCTTGAAAAAAAATTTAAAATGGTATATAAACCATAGCTCTAGGACAAATATTTAGCGAGTTATGATTTTTTTTAAGATTAAAAATCTGATTTAATTATCGCCATTGTTTTACCATTGAGACCTCTCAAAATCTGTGACCGACCATGACCAATATAAAGGATGGTCTTTATTATTATTCATTTTTGTAGATAAAACCTTAAGGAAAGAACATGTGATAGGGGAAGAAAACCAATATTGTATTATTTGATGTATTATAGACCCTTCTATAATTAATTAGTAATTAGCAATTAGCAAATTAATTAGCTAATTAGTCATTAATGAACTCACTGCCACAAAAATACAGACAAATTTCCGTAATTTCCTGACAATCAATTTTGAGGAAGCAAAAAAACAATGATTGTATGTTCCGATTTGATTTATATTCATCAAGTAACGAGAAAAATGTATAAATAAACGAATTAAATTAGTTTTAGAACTATTAAAACTTATCTTCAGCGAAGATTACGATGACTAAAGATGACATTGAACTTTGACTTGAACAAAAATGCACTTTCACATGTCCGTTTCTAAAAATTCGAAGTCGAGGCGAAAGGAAATTTTTCCAATGACGTCATCAGACAAGCAAGCCAAATCTGGCGAGAAACCGCCGTTTCCACACGCAATCAAAGAGGAACCCTGCAGAGTAACTCGTATTGGGCGTGAAACCGCTGCCGGGCACGCTGAAACCAAGCCAATGTGCGCGATAGTCACATACCTACTCATTGCATATCTCATTCATCGCGGTCCGGTCGAACCGAACCATTTGTTCCGTACAGTGCCTCACAGAAAGAGGTCCCCAGACTTCAGTCTCTGTAATCGGAGGTCTAGTGGAGCCAGACATAGTCTCAGTGGAACAACCGACGATTAGAGAGACTGAAGCTTTCGGTCTAGCCGATTACGGGCTAGAATCTAGTCTACGTGTGTTTCAAAAGACAAAACAGCTTTGCGTTTATCATCTCTCAAAAACGTGATTCTGGCATGGCTCATTCTCAAATTCATTTTTGTCGGCGTTTCAAAATAGTCTACCCATATTAATCCATATCCATGATAATGATATCTAAGTAGGGAGGCCAATACCAATGGGAGCGTGTAAACTCCCTGCACTGTACAGCGCTCAATGCGCAAAGTTCTACGTGCAGAGACTGCACTGGCGATCGGTTGACTTCCAATTGCATGAAAAATCAGATGGCTCTTTACATTATTTTAAACTTATGGGACTACACAAATGGAAGAACGTACATCCAAAAGATAATTCATGCCTTTCCTAATCAATACTAAAGTAGCAATTGTGAAACTTGATTATTTATTCTGATCAAAATATACTTACTCGTATTGTTCTCGAAATATTCCCTGATAACCGCCACATTTTTCCTTGATATAGAAGTGAAATTGTAGACTTCCCTTGGCCTGGCAAACGGTAGGCAATCTTTTGGAACCTGTAGAGGTTTGCGCACGTCACTACGTAAAGGAAATGTTGACGCCCCCTAATGAATATGCATTATGCTTGTGCCGACACGGCGTGTGTACTGTCCGTACACGCTGTGCATGCATAGACTATGGCTATGTTGACAGCACATCTGCACTACCGATTCAAGCAAGAGAATATATATATTTCACTACACTTGTATTGTTTTGAATACATTAATTGCATCTATACTTGCATCAATTAAGTTAGTGCATTTCTAAATTTGTATTGTACTGTTGTGACTTCATACTTGCATCAATATAAGTTATTGCATCTAACCTGTTCCAAACTGCATTTTGCGTGTCCCAAATTTATATCTTTGTCATGGGTGCATTGTTTGCATCAATCAAGTTATTGCATTGTACATGTTCCAAGCTGCATTCTACGTGTACCAAAATGTCTATCTTTTGGTAATTGTGTTGTTTTGACTACAGACTCCCATTATTTAAGTTATTGCATTGTATATGTTCCAAGCTGCATTCTACGTGTACCAAAATGTCTATCTTTGGGTAATTCTGTTGTTTTGCCTACACACTCCCATCATCCAAATTATTGCATTGTACATGTTCCAAGCTGCATTCTACGTGTTCCAAAATTTCTATCTTTGGGTAATTGTATTGTTTTGCCTACACACTCCCATCATCCAAATTATTGCATTGTACATGTTCCAAGCTGCATTCTACGTGTTCCAAAATTTCTATCTTTGGGTAATTCTATTGTTTTGCCTACACACTCCCATCATTCAAATTATTGCATTGTACATGTTTCAAGCTGCATTCTACGTGTTCCAAAATGTATATCTTTATTGTTTTGACTACACACTTGCCTTAATCAAATTATTGCATTGTACATGTTCCAAGCTGCATTCTACGTATTCCAAAATTTCTATCTTTGGGTAATTGTATTGTTTTGCCTACACACTCCCATCATTCAAATTATTGCATTGTACATGTTCCAAGCTGCATTCTACGTATTCCAAAATTTCTATCTTTGGGTAATTCTATTGTTTTGCTTACACACTCCATCATTCAAATTATTGCATTGTACATGTTCCAAGCTGCATTCTACGTGTACCAAAATTTCTATCTTTTGGTAATTGTGTTGTTTTGACTACAGACTCCCATTATTTAAGTTATTGCATTGTATATGTTCCAAGCTGCATTCTACGTGTACCAAAATGTCTATCTTTGGGTAATTCTGTTGTTTTGCCTACACACTCCCATCATCCAAATTATTGCATTGTACATGTTCCAAGCTGCATTCTACGTGTTCCAAAATTTCTATCTTTGGGTAATTCTATTGTTTTGCCTACACACTCCCATCATCCAAATTATTGCATTGTACATGTTCCAAGCTGCATTCTACGTGTTCCAAAATTTCTATCTTTGGGTAATTCTATTGTTTTGCCTACACACTCCCATCATTCAAATTATTGCATTGTACATGTTTCAAGCTGCATTCTACGTGTTCCAAAATGTATATCTTTATTGTTTTGACTACACACTTGCCTTAATCAAATTATTGCATTGTACATGTTCCAAGCTGCATTCTACGTATTCCAAAATTTCTATCTTTGGGTAATTGTATTGTTTTGCCTACACACTCCCATCATTCAAATTATTGCATTGTACATGTTCCAAGCTGCATTCTACGTATTCCAAAATTTCTATCTTTGGGTAATTCTATTGTTTTGCTTACACACTCCATCATTCAAATTATTGCATTGTACATGTTCCAAGCTGCATTCTACGTGTTCCAAAATTTCTATCTTTGGGTAATTGTATTGTTTTGCCTACACACTCCCATCATTCAAATTATTGCATTGTACATGTTCCAAGCTGCATTCTATGTGTTCCAAATTTTCTATCATTGGGTAATTGTATTGTTTTGCCTACACACTCCCATCATTCAAATAATTGCATTGTACATGTTCCAAGCTGCATTCTACGTGTTCCAAAATTTCTATCTTTGGGTAATTGTATTGTTTTGACTACACACTTGCATCAATCAAATTATTGCATTGTATATGTTCCAAGCTGCATTCTACGTATTCCAAAATTTCTATCTTTGGGTAATTGTATTGTTTTGCCTACACACTCCCATCATTCAAATTATTGCATTGTACATGTTCCAAGCTGCATTCTACGTGTTCCAAAATTTCTATCTTTGGGTAATTGTATTGTTTTGCCTACACACTCCCATCAATCAAATTATTGCATTGTACATGTTCCAAGCTGCATTCTACGTGTACCAAAATGTCTATCTTTGGGTAATTCTGTTGTTTTGCCTACACACTCCCATCATCCAAATTATTGCATTGTACATGTTCCAAGCTGCATTCTACGTGTTCCAAAATTTCTATCTTTGGGTAATTCTATTGTTTTGCCTACACACTCCCATCGTCCAAATTATTGCATTGTACATGTTCCAAGCTGCATTCTACGTGTTCCAAAATTTCTATCTTTGGGTAATTGTATTGTTTTGACTACACACTTGCCTCAATCAAATTATTGCATTGTATATGTTCCAAGCTGCATTCTACGTATTCCAAAATTTCTATCTTTGGGTAATTATATTGTTTTGCCTACACACTCCCATCATTCAAATTATTGCATTGTACATGTTCCAAGCTGCATTCTACGTGTTCCAAAATGTCTATCTTTACGGGATAATATTGTTTTGCCTACACACTCCAATTATTCAAATTATTGCAATGTACATGTTCCAAGCTGCATTCTACGTGTTCCAAAATGTATATCTTTATTGTTTTGCCTACACACTCCCATCATCCAAATTATTGCATTGTACATGTTCCAAGCTGCATTCTACATATTCCAAAATGTTGAGTAATTGTATTGTTTTGCCTACACACTCCAATCATTCAAATTATTGCATTGTACATGTTCCAAGCTGCATTCTACATATTCCAAAATGTTGAGTAATTGTATTGTTTTGCCTACACACTCCAATCATTCAAATTATTACATTGTTCATGTTCCAAGCTGCATTCTACGTATTCCAAAATGTTGAGTAATTGTATTGTTTTGCCTACACACTCCCATTATTCAAATTATTGCATTGTACATGTTCCAAGCTGCATTCTACGTGTTCCAAAATGTCTATCTTTAGGGGATAATATTGTTTTGCCTACACACTCCCATCATCCAAATTATTGCATTGTACATGTTCCAAGCTGCATTCTACGTGTTCCAAAATTTCTATCTTTGGGTAATTGTGTTGTTTTGCCTACACACTCCAATCATATCCAAATTATTGCATATATGTTCCAAGCTGCATTCTACGTATTCCAAAATTTCTATCTTTGGGTAATTATATTGTTTTGCCTACACACTCCCATCATTCAAATTATTGCATTGTACATGTTCCAAGCTGCATTCTACGTGTTCCAAAATGTCTATCTTTACGGGATAATATTGTTTTGCCTACACACTCCAATTATTCAAATTATTGCAATGTACATGTTCCAAGCTGCATTCTACGTGTTCCAAAATGTATATCTTTATTGTTTTGCCTACACACTCCCATCATCCAAATTATTGCATTGTACATGTTCCAAGCTGCATTCTACATATTCCAAAATGTTGAGTAATTGTATTGTTTTGCCTACACACTCCAATCATTCAAATTATTGCATTGTACATGTTCCAAGCTGCATTCTACATATTCCAAAATGTTGAGTAATTGTATTGTTTTGCCTACACACTCCAATCATTCAAATTATTACATTGTTCATGTTCCAAGCTGCATTCTACGTATTCCAAAATGTTGAGTAATTGTATTGTTTTGCCTACACACTCCCATTATTCAAATTATTGCATTGTACATGTTCCAAGCTGCATTCTACGTGTTCCAAAATGTCTATCTTTAGGGGATAATATTGTTTTGCCTATACACACTCCCATCATCCAAATTATTGCATTGTACATGTTCCAAGCTGCATTCTACGTGTTCCAAAATTTCTATCTTTGGGTAATTGTGTTGTTTTGCCTACACACTCCAATCATATCCAAATTATTGCATATATGTTCCAAGCTGCATTCTACGTATTCCAAAATTTCTATCTTTGGGTAATTATATTGTTTTGCCTACACACTCCCATCATTCAAATTATTGCATTGTACATGTTCCAAGCTGCATTCTACGTGTTCCAAAATGTCTATCTTTACGGGATAATATTGTTTTGCCTACACACTCCAATTATTCAAATTATTGCAATGTACATGTTCCAAGCTGCATTCTACGTGTTCCAAAATGTATATCTTTATTGTTTTGCCTACACACTCCCATCATCCAAATTATTGCATTGTACATGTTCCAAGCTGCATTCTACATATTCCAAAATGTTGAGTAATTGTATTGTTTTGCCTACACACTCCAATCATTCAAATTATTGCATTGTACATGTTCCAAGCTGCATTCTACATATTCCAAAATGTTGAGTAATTGTATTGTTTTGCCTACACACTCCAATCATTCAAATTATTACATTGTTCATGTTCCAAGCTGCATTCTACGTATTCCAAAATGTTGAGTAATTGTATTGTTTTGCCTACACACTCCCATTATTCAAATTATTGCATTGTACATGTTCCAAGCTGCATTCTACGTGTTCCAAAATGTCTATCTTTAGGGGATAATATTGTTTTGCCTATACACACTCCCATCATCCAAATTATTGCATTGTACATGTTCCAAGCTGCATTCTACGTGTTCCAAAATTTCTATCTTTGGGTAATTGTGTTGTTTTGCCTACACACTCCCATCATCCAAATTATTGCATTGTACATGTTCCAAGCTGCATTCTACGTGTTCCAAAATTTCTATCTTTGGGTAATTGTATTGTTTTGACTACACACTTGCCTCAATCAAATTATTGCATTGTATATGTTCCAAGCTGCATTCTACGTATTCCAAAATTTC